ATATTTCTAATATTTGTAATATCAAGTCATACTCTGTACAAAGATGATACATATGTATTTTTTCTTCAGTTGCTGTTTTCCTGTTATTTTCTAATTTTTGTTCCATTGATCTCTGTTTCTGAAACACCAATAGCGTGACACAATGTTGATAATATAATACTTCTAATACTTGTAATATCAAGTCATACTCTATACAAAGATATATATGTATTTTTTCTTCAGTTGCTGTTTTCCTGTCATTTACTAATTTTTGTTTAATTGATCTCTGTTTTTGAAACACCGAGTAACATGACACAGTGTTGGTAATATAATACTTCTAATACTTGTACTCTGTACAAAGAACAAATACATGTATGTATTTTTTCTTCCAGTTGCTACTTTCCTGTCATTTGCTGATTTTTGTTCCATTGATCTCTGTTTATGAAACACCGAGTAGCGTGACACAGTAGTGCTGATAATACAATACTTCTAATACTTGTAATATCAAGTCATACTCTGTACAAAGACATATATGTATTTTTTCTTCAGTTGCTATTTTCCTGTCATTTGCTAATTTTTGTTCAATTGATCTCTGTTTCTGAAACACCGAGTAGCGTGACACAGTAGTGCTGATAATACAATATTTCTAATACTTGTAATATCAAGTCATACTCTGTACAAAGATATATATCTATTTTTTCTTCAGTTGCTGTTTTCCTGTCATTTACTAATTTTTGTTCCATTGATCTCTGTTTCTGAAACACCGTGTAGCATGGCACCGTGCATTCGCCGACGTCGACTACGTTGTCGTCGTTGTCCGTAGGACGACCGCGAAAGGAGGGATGCCACGACGACCCACATTCCGTCGAATTTAATTTCATGCCTTATCTCTAGTAACCACGGTACAATGCTTCAACTGGGGCGGCTGCGAATCCTTCTATCTTTCCCTTGTACGCTCCACGTACATACACGACCGCGCGACACCGGTTCACGTCTACAACGGTTCACGGTTCTGGCTCGTACCGACTCTGCTTCGTACCGCCGCAATTTCCATCGGGTATTTTTCTCACCAAGTACCATTCACCTGGCTGTTTTTTTTTTTTCAAATTTCTTCTCTCCTTTTCTTTTTTCTTCCCTCTTCTTTTATTTCTTCCCTTCAATCGACGAGCGTTACATAGCCCAGGTCGATGAATCTTTAAATCAATTTCTTGAAAGTCATCCACTTGAAATGATTTTTCTCTTAGACGTTGATCAATCAATCAATCAAGAGAGAGAAAGAAAATTTTGTCTGAACATTTAACAAGTCACGGTTTCATTTCTTCCTTAAATAATCCTTAATTAATGATGACGTTTCTTCCTTGTTGCAAATTTACAATATTTAATTCAAGTGAATTTTCTCGCCTCAGTTTCATTTATCTCTCTGGATATTAAAATTTGAGAGACAAACAGAGAGAAACGCGGCGAACTAACGCGTTCATTCTCTCTTTTTTTTTTTTTTTTTTTTGATAAATCTTTGTCTCTCGCGAACGTGAAAAATTTTTTTCTCTTCGCGTTTCAATCTGTACATACAGAAACACTTTTATCGCTCTTTATGGCAAAGCAGCGGTGAATGACAAATGCAGAAAATTAATACCAGAGAGATCGTAAAAGATAACCCTTTCATACCCTCTATTGCTTCCTTGTAAACAAAGGGTGGCACTTATTTACACACGCGTGGCTCACCCCTTTAACAGCAACCCCCGTTTTATTTACATTCTTCCACGACAGTTAACACGCAATCACTGAAACACAACTTTTGCCACGTTTATTTAAAGACACGAAACAACAAAATGTCGTCGATGTTACCCTCTTTCATAACTCGCAAAATAAAACTGATCGTTTTTTCGTTCTTCCTCCATTTCGAATAAAATATTCACCGTGGAGGAAACGCGCGTAGTATGTCGGTTTCTTATAAAATGTTTCACTACTTCGTCAAGACAATTTTGTTTGTTTGTAAATTTCTGTCGTTTTGTTGACTCTGGTGATTATTTCAGATAATTGAAAGGTAGTGATTCACGCGAGAAACACGTGAAAATTTTGTGAAAAGCCGAGAGATATGATTTAAAAAAAATTAAAGTTCATCGATCGAAGAAGAAATTTCGCAGGGGTGAGGAAATGTTGTGTCAATTCAAGTAAAATGTAATTATTCAGCAGCTGATCGTTGGAAGCCTGATTGCTTTACAAGATGATAACCAAGGACTGATTGATGGAAGCTTGATTGCCTCTAAACTTGCTGAGCGTTGATCAAGGAGAACTCTGTTTGCCAGAAGCCTGATTATTTAAGGAGAGATCCTAACTGGCTGACTCTACCAAATTCCAAATCCCTTTCGTGAGATACAGTTTCAAATTGTGTGTTCGAACATTTGTTTGTGGACAATTCGATAAAATTTAATTTTAAATTAATAAAAATTACAAAATTATAAATATTGAATCAATAAAAAGAAAAAGAACGATTTACTTCAAATTTATTGTGCAGTTTGAAGATTTATTACTAGGAGATTATTTTGAATGATTGAAAAGGTTATTTAGAGACTGATCATCAAAATATTCTGAAAAGTAAAATGTACAAATAATATTAACGCTTCGTTATTGTTTCGTGAAAACTGAGAAACTAAATTAATTTCTTATTAAAAAAGATAAACATTACAAGATTACTAACCAACTCTGGCCGATCGACACATTTTGAAATGTTTTGAAATATCAAAAAAAAAAAAAAAAAAAAAAAAAAAAAAAAAGAAACTCATTTACTTGAGGACACATGTATGTCGAAACGTAGGCTATGTGTGCGCACGATACACGTGTAGTAGATGGTATTCAAATGCTCGTCGAGGGACAAAGAGGCGACTAGTTGAACAGAGAGAGAGAAAAAGGGAATAGTTCACCGTGATAGCGGCATGGAGTTGTACAACATGCAGTATCGCTCGCAATTATTCCAAGATGTAAATAAACACTAAATGTAAAACGCATGCATTCGTTGTTACATGCATGTACCATGTCCAACATTGCACATATATCCTACTCTCCTTCGTTTCTCATAGATATGGAATTATTCTTTAGTGAAGTGTCGATATTTGCGCAGGTCAGTGAAAGTTTTTTATATTGATCACAATTTTAATGAACTTGTCGGGATTTCGTGTCTCTTGTTAGCGTAAAAATCTGAGTTGCTTTCAATGCGATGCTAGAACAAAAATGTGTACCCACAATAAAAAGCAGCAACTTGCATTTAAATTCACGTTCTAAAAAAAAAAAAAATAAAGGAACTCGTCAATTAAAATTTTTCTCTTCATCCTCGTGATCAACACGCGATACGCAAAAAAAGCTTCAGTTATTAAAATCTAAATATACATCGTCTCTGTGAAACATCAGAAACGGACAGTAAAATTTCTCTTTCGCCCTAAGTGGACTAACACTCCGTATACTAACCGCACGTGTGTACACGTACGCGTGTATCTACCCCGGTTGCTCCGTTAAAATTAGAATTTTCCACGGTTCGAACAATTACGAACAAGCATTGTAAACTATAGGCCAGTTACTTGAAAGCGTACAAGTATTTGTATGCACGGATGAAAAGTGGTATGTGGGAGGAACATATAGGTAGGTACGATATTAGTTGGAAGCCCGATCGTGGCTATTTCTGCTTGTATACACGACGCAACGCGACGGAACGATCGCTTTATCAGCACACGGGCTCTCTCTCCTCCTCGCGGGGGGGCCGACTGAAAGCGCGAAAACGGGACATTTATTTCGGGAAATCGAGTCGTCCGATTATTAACTTTCTGTAATGGGTCGCGATCCGGCAGGAAATTGAAAAATACGAGCACGGAACCGACTGGTTGCAAACCGATTCTGTTACCGGAGCAAAATATCGTTTTCAGACGCCCTTTCCAACTTTTTTTCCCCCCTCCAAGCTTCGCGAAACGCCAAAAGTCGTGCAAACGACCACTGAATCATTCTTTATTCAACATGATATGATACAGATTTGTACTTTTCATAGAAAAAAAACGTACCTCTGTATCAAACAATTTTCAACAACTTTTACGTTTTTTGAAACATATACACACAGTGTTTTCAAACATATACACATACTTACCCTCCAACGAAGCATCTCTGAGACCTCCACGACTTAATCGTACATCATTCTTCCGGCTTTCACAACATACATCAAGTCACACACACACACACACACACACACACTCTCTCGAAGCACAGTTCCTGAAACGCGAGCCAACGTTTACATATTGCTCATAATTGAAACGCATCTGTTACATCTCAAACACGTTGAACATACTCACTCCCTAAATTTGCCAAGATCCAATCAAGCTCAACATTTCCCTTGATTAACCGTAACATCGTTGCTCATATACCCAATCGCATCCTCCTGAGCTCACACTCGTCACCTGATTCCATCTCCAGTGCCGGCGTGTGACCATACTGATCATAGACACCTACAACGGAAGTACATTCCCTCTCGAGGGTTTCCAGAGGTTCCAATCGTCAATAGGGATGCAATTGATACCTGATACAGACGCACAGAATGCATTAGATTTATATAGGAATTGCTCGAACATCAACATCAAATGCAAACTTCCCCAAGAGAAATGAAACGTAGCTTGAAAGAGCTCAAATAGTTTTGGAAAGCTTTCATTTCAACAAGGTAGATACTTGATCCAATCAATGTTTGAAACCCAATTGTACCATTTCCTACCAATTTTAACTAAAAATTTCGTGTTACGAAGAACTGAAGTTTTATTAATCCTTTCAAGTCAATTTTCTATGCACGTTTCATTTTTCATTTCTCGACGAAAATGTCACGAGCCCCTCTCACAAGTCAAACAAATTTATCGAATGGTACAGCGTGGCAAATCGAACAATTGGACGAAATCGGAACAATCCGTCACACCGCCCCGGCTTGCACAGAGCCTTAGGGCGACATAGTTGCGAACGACAAGATCTAATGGGATCACGGTTAATCTGTACGACAGGCTTGCCAGCGTACCAAATGGACGAGGCTCGAGGGAGGATAGTGGAACGATAGGAGGAGACCGGTTGCGGCTGCAGTTGTGGCGTCGGTCGCTGCACCTGCAGCTGCAGCTGCGGCCGACGAGGAGGTGGTTGCCGGTAGCGGCGTCTAGACGGTGACTGAAACGATGCAGAGCACCGGCGACTACTATCAAAGGGCGCCGAGATGCTGTCCAGGAAGAAACGCGAACGCGAACGCGGACGCGTTACGGATCAGCGCTTCCGTCCGTGGAGCGGAGTTGCTGTGCTGTTGCTGCAGCTGCAGTACGGCAACGTCTACCAAGACACCAGGACTGTTGGCCAGCCTAGGGGTCTGCGTGCTCGTCCTCGGCTATACGCTGTTGGGTGCGTTCGCGTTCATGGCGCTGGAAGGTGGCCTCAAGTCGGTAGGTGCCCTCTTTCATCATTTTATCTTTCCTTCTCAACTAAATCCTCCAGAAGGCTAGCCGTAACCCTATGTAAATGCATTCGCAAATTCAAATGAGATTTCAACGTCGGGTTGAAAGATATGTTACATGTAAATGAAATGAAAAGAGCACAAGTTACAAGAGGGCAAGGAAAATTCGTTAAAAGTGGATTTTTTCTTTAAGAAGTACAAAGATTGAACATTTTTGTTTAAAAATAAAGAAAGACTGGTGAGAGATAAAAAAAATTGTTGTTCACCTTCCGTGGCAGGATTCAGCGAACGACTTGCTCGTTCCCGGTGGTTCCAAAACCGAAGGAGGATCGTACGTGATGTCTAACTTCGAGGACGAAACCGCGGCCATGGAATTAAGAGCGCGCACCGTTGAAAGGCTGTGGAGCATCACAGAGGACTTGAATGTACTGTACAAAGAAAACTGGACGCGTTTAGCGGCGAGGGAGGTGTTCGAGTTCCAGGAGAACTTGGCACGAGGTCTCAGGAGAACGTCCTCGCAGTACGAGCCGGTTGGACCATCTTCTCAATCCAAGGGCCATTCCATGGAGAGAAGACCGCACAGAAGATGGACCTTCAGTGGCAGTCTCTTATACTCCCTGACGCTAATTACCACTATTGGTGAGGATTGCTAATATTTCACAAGTATATAAAATTTCTTTCAAATGTTAAAGTGTAAAAGTATTTTTCTTTTGAAAATAAAACAAAAATAGAAAAAGAGAGAGAGAGAGAGAGACAGCTAATAAATTGCACAAAAATTGTGCTACAAAAGCAACGCAACACCCGGTCGGAAGCTTTGATTTTCTGACGATGTGAATTGGCTGAAAGCACATCTGTTACATTCTAATAAACGCCTCGTATTCAACCAGTCCTCGCTTGTTCCCTTAATAACAGTCGATTGTGATACAACTCGGTCAATTGGCGTTTCAGGATACGGTAGCGTGGCGCCTCGCACAGTCTGGGGTCGTTTGATCACAATAGTATACGCTCTGGCTGGGATTCCCCTAATGCTGGTCTATTTAAGCACGGTTGGTGACGTTCTCTCAAGGAGCTTCCGCCGTTTGTATGGCAGGCTATGCAGGCCTCGAAATTGCAGCAGAAAGCAACAACCGCCGCCACCGCCTCCTCCTGTGGGTGGCATTATGAGCAAAACTTACAGATATGATAACCACGTCGATTCGAAATCTGGAAATTACTATTCAGCTAGCAGAGAGAGTTCTTGCGACGATCTGGGAACCCGAGGCACCAGCAGCGCCATCTTATTGGATTGTGGAAGCGAAGGATTACTTCACGCTACCACCAGCTCCACCGCAGCGCTTCAGGTACAATGTACATTCTGAAAACATGATGATTTCACTTCTTACAGTGGTGTATTGGAAAGCTTGATCGGCTGGACAATTTACGGTGAGAACGCTAATCATTTTCTTGGAACAAAAGCAAAAGTGAAGAATCTGCTAGGAAAGTTACAAATAAAAATATGAATCAGAAAAATTACGTAAAAGTAACATTCAGTAGTTGCTTTCTACAGTTTACCTTTTTTTCTTTCCTCCAATGTTACAAGTTTAATGAAAAGATTCTTTTTTTTTTTTTCTTACGAGCTCTCAAGATTTATAAATAACTTCCCATCCACCCTGGAGGAGTTACTTTTCAAACGCATATTTGCTATGTCACCCAGAAATGGTATCAGAAACGTTCAAATTTCTTTCAGGACGTGACATCAGGGAACAGCAAACGCCATTTTCACCCGTGCTCGCTGTCCCTGTCGACGAACTCGTCGCCAGGCTACGTGGTGGAAACGAATCCCGTGAGGATACCGATCAGTCTCTGCCTAGTGATTATGTTAATCTACATATGCGGTGGCGCGGTGATGTTCAATCGTCTGGAGGGTTGGAGTCTCCTGGAAGGTGGCTACTTCTGCTTCACCAGTCTCGGAACAATCGGTTTCGGCGACCTGATGCCAGTTGGACGAAACGCCGCGTCCCCCACCTTGGAGGAGCTTAGCCTGTGCGCCTGCTCGCTCTACATACTCGCCGGGATGGGCCTGATCGCCATGTGCTTCAACCTCGTCCAGGAGGAGGTGGTACGCGTGGTCAGGGTCTTCGGTAGAACCTGCGGCATGTCGTCGGGGGTGGTGGTCGGACCTATCGGTGGTACAGGTATCCCTGATGCAGGCATTCGACGGGGAACCGCTAGATCGTTCCGGGCGAGAGACTGTTTTACTCGGCCACGCTTTAGATTATCTGATTAACGCTTTGAGCCTGGCGATGATACACACTATTTCTCTATACAGAATCACCATATTAGCTCGCTATTGTCGGTCATCATGGTCAACTGTCAGCAATCCATTAACGAGCTGTGCACCGGCTATTTATTTATGTACCACGTCTTTTTACAAGACCCAAGTTTCAGGTTCTTTGCAGATACATTTATTTCTGTATTTACGAGCTAATTAACTGAATTTTGTATCGTTTAGTAGTATCTTCGCGCGATTGCGAAAACTTTATATCGACGACAAAGAATTGATAAATGAGAACAATTATATGGCATCATAATTCTGGTCAGCTAGTATGGCAGTATTGTACAAATATAGATAATGCTACTTATAAATTAACAGTGTTTCAATGGCAGCGGTGATTAAAATCGTGCAATTTTAAAAAGCTAATGGAATTTATATCCTGCTTTGCACCTGAAAAAGATTAAGAATCGTCATTAAGAATCGTACTATTCTAAAATGAATTCGATAAATCTACTAATTTAATAATCTTCAGTCTCCTCAAATCATATTTGCGACTTTTACTTTACCATTTTTACCAAAGTATGTTTCACGTATATCTTTCTTTGCGCATCGAAATGATCATCTAACAATATCAGTGATCACCTTAATCTTCATCCTTCATCTAACTGTCAAAACTTCAGCTATTCCACCCTAAAGCCAAGTTTCCAACTAAACCCAGGCTCAAAGTGTCAAAGGCGTCACGAATAAACGAGTCGAACTCTCATTTGTTTGCACGTAGAGCGGTTCTGATCCACTCGCGTCGGGGATTTCGATCGGGCATCTTGACCACTCTGCATAACCCCTTCATTAAGAAAAAAAAAAAAAAAATAAAGAAACTAACATACAGTTTAATCAAATCAAAGATCGAAAACTCTCTAATTCGTCGGGGATAAATGGCCATAAACGCTTTTATCGTTTCATCAGGTTCCGGTCCTGGGCTCAAGGCCGACTTGGATGACGGAGGGGGCACCAGTGACTCGCGACTGTCCGAACAAGAAGAAGAGGCGATCGCCATGTCCATGGTGCCAACATCCTGACAGCATCAGGCCAGGAGTCCCGGCGATGGGAAGCTCCTGGCCCACGCGTCCAACACTGCCATAAAACCGTCACCTGGTCATCATTCTCTACCACGAAAGAAAACGCCGTCTGAATCTAGAAACTCGTCGACCCAACAGTTCCAGCGTGCCCAGTCTCTGAGACGCAGCTGCTTGTCACCAACGCAGTACCATCATCAACAACACCATCAGCACCGTCAGCAGGAGAGTTCTCTACACTTTGAGTACTTCGTGCCTAGAAGCGTGAGCGAGTTCAACCTGGCGGCAGCGGCAGTTACGGACATGGCTGTGCCACCGCCGCCTCCTTCGTCGGTTCTCCGACCCTCAACGGCTATAACGCCGCCGATTGCTTCCGCGTCGAATTCAGCATCGTCGTCGAATCAACCGCGGTTATTAGAATGCTCTGGGACCGCGACCAGGAGTCGCGAGAAGATGGTCACCTTCGAGGACGAGGGTGTAACCTGCGCCACCTCCACGCCCACCAGGAAGAACGTTTCCGGGCTGGAGAACGTTTTCATGTGACGCTGTAATCACGAGTGATTTTGTGAGGAAGGGAGGACAGGAAAAGGGAATGTCACGTTGAGTGAAGTGTTTCCGCGTTTCAACTGTATCGAGGGAAAGGGATGGCTAGGTTTTCTCATGGGAGTTATTTTGAATATTACGCAGGCGTACGAGGAACGAGTGTGACGATGATGACGATGAAAGGAAGCAATTTAAGATTAGAATGGAACGAAGGAATTATATAGCAATACTGTTGTATGTTTTTCCTACGTGCGATTTACAGAAAGGCAAATGATTGTGAAACTGGGCATAATTCGTGAATAATTATAATTACGTAGTACTCTTTCGCTGTATTGTGAGAAAAGAAGAGAGTACAAATCGCATGGAATGACAGTTTCTGGAAAATAATCTTAGAAATATGAGATGACGATGACATGGGATGTTCGTATATAGATTATCCAGGCTCTAAAGACACGAACTTCGAGCAACGAAGGTGTCGAAAATGAAAATCCACGAATTCTGAGGATTTTTAAGGGCGACTCGCCGTCACGAAAGACACTAGATTTCTACCGTTTACATTATAACTATTGTTATCATAATAATACTATTTAACGCTCTTATCAGCTGCTGATATTCTTCTTCTTACCATTATCGTTGTAAGGTTACTCGAGACGGGCGGATTTTCTTCGTACGAGTTGTGTGAATTATCGAAATGTACATACACTGCGTCGTCTCTTTCTCCTAAGAACGTGTTTTCCCCTTCATGAAGAGAAATACGAAGAAGACAATCGAAAATAAATAATCATCCGCACGAGAAAACTGAAATTTAATGGAAATTGAATTTAACTTCTTTCGTGAATAAATCAACAGTCACGTGATAATTTAAGTAATTTTCGATGAATATTCTCATATTTAGTGGAATATTTTACTTACCCTATTTGTGTGATGAACATAAAGTGTTCTAGGAGAAAGAGATAATGCGAGAAACGAAAGAAAGACACAGCCTTAAAAAAAAGAAAAAAAAAGAAATACGTCTAACCAGACGGTTCAATTAATTATTGTTGCAAAAAGACAGATAAAATATAAAATATAGAAAAAAAAAGACGTGCACAATTACGAGACGATCTGTCCTAGTATAACTTTTAAGGAGACTCGTTTTAATCAAACGTCGAACACCGCTTAATTTTAATACAAAGTCGATAAGCAAATGTACGAATAAAACTATCATGTAAGTGAATGGTTAAACGGTGAAATTTATCAGGAAAAATGAGACTAAAGAGTGAAATATTTCGAAGGAACAATTATCAATATCACAGTGAACCAAGTCCAGTCTGGCAGATTTCCATGGTTTTCCATGATGAAACGACGGCGTGATGGGTTTCCTCTGGCTTGCCAGGCTGGATCAAGCTTCAACAAGTGTTCAGATATACAGTTTGTACACGTGTTTCTTTCTTGAAATTCACTGAGTTTTCATTAAAGAGGGACAAAGTAAAAGTATCGAACAATCTCAACTTGGACTTGGTTTCTTGTAGTTTTGAACCCTTGAGCTAAGAAGTTGTCAACAATTCAGAAAGAAACTTCTTTCTCCTTTTTGAATTCTACAAAAAGACATCGCAATCTCTCGTTTGGTTCACATGTAGGTTTCTTCTTTTTACCTGTTTACATTTTATAATTGTAACAATAACCACTATAAAAAAAAAAAAAAGGAAGAAAAAGCCAAATAACCCGAGATTACTTTAAGAGGCCCAAAATTTTATTTCTTAATAATGTAGATCTTCACCTGCGTTTGCAAGAAAATACCTTTTTATAATTTTGACCCGTTCTTGCTTCCCCTTTCTCTACCAACTTCATCATGCTGTTTATTAATTTTTCGTTTATTAACGTATTTGAGATGCATGCAATATAAAAGTTTCGCTACAGTACTTATCGACGACGAAGTCTTTCAGTTTCTCCTGGAATTTGTCACATTTTTGACATTCGTTACTTGTCCTCGCAATCGTCCTCGTCGCAATAATCCCACTCCTCCTCTTGCGAATTTGATCTAACCAACGATGACGCTTGGCCCTCGTTCGATTTGGGATTATTAAAACCGCAAATGTTGCATAAACACCCTACGTGAAAAGTAATTATTTGATATTTATATTACTATATACATTGTGTGTGTACAATTTGGACGTATTTAAATCTAAGAAGAAAAAAAAGACCTGTGATCTTGCTCATTAAATTCTCGCTCCTCTCCTCCTCAACTGCCTCCACGTCTTCATCTGACTTTTGCATAATGTTCTGATACACGGTAAGTCCAATGTCCATAGTATGATTAATTATGAACTGAATGGTGCATAGAACCATAATAATCAATATCGGCAAGCACAAAGTAGTTTCCACGTCGTCCAGGAAAAGATTTAGCCATTCCGGTAGCAAATCGCAGCTCATCTTCGATTTCAAAATGTCACCAACCGAAATTCTAGAGTACTTTCGCTCTGTGAAAATAACAACAATAGTCTCACACGCGCCTCGTCCTCAAAACACCGTTCTGCATTTGCGAAACAATTTCGTGAACCATATTCTTGTCAATTTAGCCGAAGAAAGTAGTCATTGCCGAAATATGCACTTGGACGTCGTTTTACAGCACTGAATCGGTTCAAAAGCTGAACGTTTCGTTGAATTCGATTATCGAATCAGTTACTAATCTCGACTCTGTTAGACCGCGAACGAACGAGAAATTTAAACGGAAGAAAATTCCAGTTTCAATCAAACTCATTCAATTGCTTTACGTTACTGAAAGATCAATAATGAAAATATTAAGAACATTATTATATGTAGAAATATTACAACACAATATCGTGAAAAGAAATAAATTAATATAAACATTAAGCTTATTTCTAAATTTCAAATTCAAGATGATCCTCGCCATCTGACTTGAATCAGCGAAACTACATGCATAGACGTAACCTCGTTATCTATAACATAACATAACCTCTTCGGTATTGATTAGAGAATTTTATTTACATGTAATATTTTTCAAATGTGTACGTTTGATATTCTAAAAAGGTTTATTATCGTTGCACGGAAATTTTGAATCTTTTTAACGGAACAAAATGTCTACCCGTTGGTAAGTGTACATTATCTTTACAAAGGGATAAAACTGAAAGTACATTGGAAAGAAAAAGTAACAAGATCAATTGTGTAACGATTATTTTATATTTTATTTTATATATTGATTTTATATTTTATTTTATTTATTGAATTCATCGCCTTGTCTATCATTATAGGTATCCCTTGTATCAGAAAGGTAACCCACAACGAAGAATATATCTTCCAAACTTTTGGTTGAAGCTCGTAAAACCAGAACATAATCAACCAAAAAATATAATAGAGTTTCACTGTTCAATGGAAATGACAAGATTTGATGTGAGAAATTATTTAGAAAAAATTTATAACGTACATCCTGTGTATGTGAATATGAGAATTGCTCTTGGAAAAACTTATATCCCTCATGGTTCTAAATTTGTTGTTAAAGATGATGATGTAAAAATAGCTTACGTAGCTCTAGTAAGTATTAAAGAAAAAAAACTCAATTTTAAACAGAAAGATAACAAAAATATTGTAATATACATTTTATATCATTTCAGCCTAAAACTGAAACATTCACATTCCCTGATATAATCCCTAAAGATCAAGAAGATATTAATGCAAAAATATCACAAAATTTGGAGGACAACTTTCGTGAATTTTCAGAAAAGAACAAAACACCTGGTTTTCCTAGCTGGTTTTCACACTCATGAATTTATTAGTTTGGTATAAAAATAAATGACATCTTAATTAAATCAGTCTATATTTGTCCTTTCTTCCAACATCTGTCACAATAACTTAATACAGTTAGTATATACATATGCACATACACGTTATATATATCAATGATAAAATTATTTTAATTTTTTTAAAAAAACCATAGTCATACAGAACCTAATCTTTTTATATCTCACTCAATGAATCAAGATGAGCTTTACATTTGGAACATTCTATTATATCAGTCACAAAAATAATCTGGAAGAAAAAAAAAAATAATCAATCAAGAGACATTAGCTCATAATTATAAAGTGCAAGTAGTTTGTTTTGACTCACACTTTATTTAAAAAGTATGATATATTAAGGATAACAAACCCGATGGTGAACAGGACAGGAATAACGTATTCTGCCAGGTTCAGAAAAACCACAAGCATTGCAGACTACGATACCACTTGGTCTGTGACAAGTGCATTCACCAGGAGCAAAACTATTAATTACAGTTATTCTTCGCGTTATGCGTTGACTGCCAGGTTGAACATTATCAGAATTATTAGGTTGAACATTACCAGAATTACCAGAATTACCAGATGATGATGAAGGATTAGACATTTTGATTTTCTATTCCTATTGAAAAAACTCAATGTTTATCACTCAATATTAAAATCAACGATAAAAACAAAATAACAACAAACATACACATATACACACGATACAATTTGTATATCCCTCATAAAATATACCCATTACAAATACTTTATTATAGCAATCAAAACACGCAAACTTCGAAAACGATTCGATTTTAATCGATACTTTCTAAAACGTGTCCGTGGAAGTGTTAATAAATATATAATTAACGAAAGATTCATTTCGAATCGTAAATTCATGACACAAATTCCTTCACGCGACATACAGCCGCGACGCTTTCGGTACTTTCAAGCAACGTTTAATTTCCGGCACACGAGCAATAATCGTCTCTTTGTGACTCGCTTTTAACATTTAATTCACATTAATTCAACAAAACAAAACGATATTTTTAACCGTGCATCCGACGCGTACAGAACACTGGAAACTATTTATTTAAAATGTTAATTGAAAAATGTTTCCAACCATCAACAATGGTACTAATAATGAACCACGAAGTATTTACAAAAAGCTCGAACCCTTTGTACACTACATCTTTTTGAATATAACACTTCTTTTTTATTATATACCTTGTCAAAGTCCAAAAGTCAGTTGTTCGATGCGAAAAATTAGTCAATAAATCAGTGTAAAGTATCACAAATCAATCACAGGACGATAGTCGAAAAAGATATTCCAAAGCAATAAAATTATTTGTTACACGCGTAATTTGCAGCGTTATAATTGTGAGATTACTCTTTCTTTTTTTCTTTTTGTCGAAGAAATTGAACGGTTGTATCCGTCTTTCTCGTTGAAACGTTACGCGTGTTTGAAACCTGTATGTGAAACGCGTGTGTATTTATATGTAAATTGCTCTATACCACAGCTGGCTGACTAACGGCCCGAGAACCTTTGCCCCTACTTTCCTGGTCGCTATCCCTTCACTGCATCGATTTCTTCACTAAATCGACCTGTCCATTGCATCTTTTTACCGTTCATGAACCCTATTCTCTCGTCAGCTATATAGCAGGTGGAGAGATCAATGCAACGGAGGGGATAGTGCCAGCGACCAGAAAAGTAGGGGCAGGAGCTCGTGGGCTAGATAGCCAACTCTGCTTTATACTGTCTGCTTGCACCGGTTGTTGTTAAAGTTACGAATATTTAATAGAATAAAAGATAGGATTGTCTCATTGGTCTCAGTTCTCAAAATGCTTAAAATATTTAAAATTCATAAAATATATTAAAGCTGAAATGATTTTGAACCAGTTACGAGTGAAGGAGGCTCTGATTTATATCGATTTTGATTCCGACTCTACAGTATCAATATTATGTATATCGATAACGGCTCCATGGTAGTTACGTGTAGGTTACAATACATTGTTTTTGTACTAATCAGATATTAATCAGGTAAATGTGTAACTAATATATTATCAATGGCTATTTATTTTATTTTCTTTCCAGAAAATCATTCAAACGAAACGACAGAAATTGAAAATTCTAGTTCACTGGATCTTTAACGCTCTGATCTGAAAAGTTGCTTTTTTCATTTGTTTGTGTTTACATTTCAAACGAAAATGCCCAACAACAGAAAGATGTAAACATATCAACTTTCGATATATATCCGTACATTTCAGGATCAAAAATGTCCTGAAATATACGGATATAATAACAGATCTTATAATAATAGCATAATAGATCAAATGTAATATCAGTTTTGTAGAATCGAAATCGATACACTCTTTTCACACATACATAATTGTTTCAAGTTACGTCCTTCAAAATTGTCTTCAATCAGAACCTTTGTGCTAATAACTTTTCAATTATATTTCAGACGTTATGTATGCGCGTGTCAACTGGCATTTTTTTTTTTTTTTTTTTTTGACAAGAATATTTTCTTGAAAATTACTGGAACATGAATGAACAAATATATATCTACGTATGTATGTATATTATATTCAGTCATAATCAGGCTTGTTGCATTTCTTTTAACTAATGGATTTTTCTATTTTTCTGAAAAGAATCATTGAAATCATAACAAACGCCTTTGACTGAACAAAGTCAACGAACTTTAATGTCCAGTCGAATAATATGAAAACAAAAATAAAACTATTGGTAAGTAAACGCACTTACCAATAAACATAGAAACTATTATATACTTAGATAAACACAGAAATCAGGTGATTGTCTTCTAATGGAACTAATAGATCGAATGTCAATTTGTCACGGTATAACCAAACATTTTTTTTTTTTTTTTTTTCAAGAATTGCCGTGTAATAGAAACGGTCAAATTTTTTGAAATTATGATCAATTTAAGAGTGGCAATATATTATAATACGAGCATACATGGCAAGAAGGTAAAATGATTGGCCGATTTAATTAGAAATTTACAAATATAAATATTGTTAATTTTAATGTAGGATAACATTAAGCCTTTTAGGTTAATCTTAACAGTATTATATATAATTATGTTTCGTTACATGAAATGGAGAAATTCATTGAAATAGTTTCAGATATCTGATATAAATTGAAATTAAATATTTTAGAAGAAAGTCAAAAAAGAGCTCTCAATAACGAAAACCGTATTTTCCAAAGAGATATCGTATTTAATGATACAATAAGAAAATGAATATAATTTGTAAGTTTTTTATAAATAGTGACAGTCTTTAAATTTAAATTCTACAAATTGGCTAAATTCTACAATTGGCGACAATCTATACAACATAACTTTCTTTTTAGTCTCTTTTATATGGTCAAAACTTGAATATTTAAAATACATGTTACATTACATATGTATATGCTATGTAATATATAAATTTCAAATAAACAATAATTACGTTTGATAGAAAAGTAAAAGTAATAATATTAATAATTATAATACAAGCTAATAATGTAAGCTAATGTAAAAGAACAACCAAGCCAGTTCTTTGGCTTTAATTTTATTCTTGATTCGTTTTTACCGTTTCTTTGTTGCCACGTTTCCTTGTATCCACGATGAATCGATCTAACTCTCAATATCAGAAACTATGGCGTCCGGTACAGTAGCAGAGAATAAACGTGTTACAAATTTAAGCGTATCAAATCATATCAATCATAGCAGGTAAACAAAAACAAAAAAGAATGCAATTCAATGTCCAAAGGAGCATAAAAAGGAACATCAAGCCAGTCGAAACGAATTATCGCATAAAAGGAGAAAGGGATTGTTTCAATGCTAGTGATTAGCCTTATTTTTTCTTTTTCTTTTAGAAAAGTTCTAAACATTTACAGAGTATCGGCAAGTGGAACGGACAAGACGAAAGTGACGTTTTGTACGGACGTGGATAAATCTGTAATAGTACATAACTTCGAGAAGAGGGGATGGGTTCAAGTTGGCCCGGAGGATGATTGGAATTTCTATTGGTAACAATTGCTTCTCATTTCTCAATATAGAAAAAAATAAAAAATAGAATTATATTATTCAAATATTGAAAACTAGTATATAAAAGTGACATTTTTTAATTTCACTTATCAAAAAATCTGTACACTATTTAAAAAAGTTAGACATTCAGTCAGGTCATGTAAATTTTTTAAATTATTTTAGGGCGGTCACTCAATCATGCAGAAACATATTCAGCGTGGAAACCGGATATAGAATGGACGACAAACAGTTAAATATCAATTTTTTAATAAAATAATATAAAAGTTTCTTATGATAGATAAGTATTCAAACAGTATGTTATTACTTTTAGACTGATCAATCATTTCCCAAATCATTACGAACTAACACGAAAGGATCTATTGGTAAAAAATATAAAACGCTACCGGAAGGAATTGGAACGGGAAGGAAATCCTCTGGCAGAAAGAGGGGATGGCCCAGGAAAATATCTTTATCTCGATTTCATACCTGTCACGTTCGTCTTACCGGCAGGTAAATTATATTATTATTATTATTATTAATATAGCATAGTACAAATATGGTATCTACAATATTTTTTATAAGTATAATATATCTTTCTACCAATTATAACATTTATTTCAACATATTAAAAAAATGCACACAATATGTCCCACACTACAGTTTCTAAATATTAATGTGTTAAAGCAAAATTAATTCTTTCAATTAGACTATAATATGTTCGTGGAAGAATATCGGAAGTCACCACAAAGCACATGGATCATGAAACCGTGCGGCAAATCACAGGGTACTGGAATATTTCTAATCAATAAATTGAGCAAACTTAAGAAATGGTCTCGAGAAGCAAAAAACCCATTTAATCCAAATTTAACGAAAGAGTCATATGTGATATCTAGGTAATACAGTTTATTTAGCGTTATTTTACGTTAAAATTGAGAAGCTTTATAAAAAAAAAAGATTAACTTCATAAACATAATTCGCTGACTTTGCCTCGCGATTATCCATCTTTTCCACAGAAAGCTTCTCAATTAGTAATATTAAAGTATCAAAATGAAGAATATTTTTCTATTTTCGAAATAAATATATAGGTACATCGACAACCCGCTTTTAATAGGAGGAAAAAAATTCGATCTCCGTTTATACGTCCTCATTACCTCTTTTCGGCCATTGAAAGCGTATCTATTCAAACTAGGATTTTGTCGATTTTGTACAGTCAAGTACGACACTAGTATTCAAGAATTAGACAACATGTATGCCCATCTTACGAACGTATCTGTGCAAAAGCATGGTGTAAGTGGACTTTTTTAAAGAAAGAAAGAAAGAAGAATCTATATTTTTATGGATATAACAAATTTCGATAAAAAATATATGAATCTATTGCAGGAAGAGTATAACAGCAAGCATGGTGGTAAATTGAGTGTTCATAATTTGAGATTGTACTTGGAGAGCACGCGCGGGAAAGCGGTCACGGAAAAGCTGTTCGCGAACATCATTTGGTGTATTATACATTCTTTGAAAGCTGTCGCCCCCGTTATGGCGAACGATCGCCACTGCTTCGAGTGCTATGGTTACGATATCATCATTGACAATGATCTAAAACCGTGGCTCATAGAGGTTTCTCAATTTCTTAATAATCTTTTCAGTTATTTAGTTGAGACTTATATTATATTACTGTCTAGTTAATATATAATGATAGATAGTGTAGTGTTTAATATTATTTATCTTATTTCTTCTTGCGCTAACTAACCTTTCCTACTATTCTGCAGGTGAACGCATCTCCGTCACTGACCTCCACCACAGTGAACGATCGAATCTTAAAATACAAATTAATCGACAACATAATTTCAATCGTCGTACCACCCGACGGTGTACCAGAGTGAGTCTCACATTTATTTTTTAAAAAGCCGTTTACAACTTCGATCAAAATACGGTTGTTCATAGCGTGAAATGGAACAAATGCCCACCACCGGAAGCACTGGGCAATTTTGAGCTTCTCTTGGACGAAGAACTCGTCGCTCAAGAGGAGAAAGAATATTCATCTGGGAAGTATCGAAGTTCTTCGAGCAAATGGAAATAAATAGTCTGCTATCTCTGGATAATGATAAAAAGGATATTGCAGAAGCAAACAATAGTAAACGATATTTTGTATATAACATTATTTTATAAGAAAACAAGTGTCCTTTGAATAAAACATCGAAAGGAGGTTCAGAAGACGAAGCATGCGTAGAAGCAACAGGCATGGTCTGCTTTAATCATCAGGGCGCATGTACCAAATCTTCGAAATGAATATATTCCAGTTTATTTTGCTCGTGACACAGCATGAATTTATCATAATCCACCGTGATTCACCGAACAAACGGCTACACGCATGCTAACATCGAAGACATTAAATTTTGCAACAAATGTTTAACAAATTGATACGAACGCTTTATATCAATCGGTATATAAGGGTGAATCTTCTTCGGGAATGGTTTAGATGTGCTCTAGCCGACCGTTGCGTCACGTGATACGCTTTGCAAAAGTTGTAATAGAGTTACGCCAGTCCAATAAAAAGTCAATTCTTTTGAATCGTGACTATTTAATTTGAATTGTTTTCTGATATAATTGAATCATGCTAACCGAGTGTAACGTTTCGTGTCGTTAAAATAATTGCAATAGAAAAGAATGGAGAATACTTTACGTAAACAAGTGCTATTCGTGAGTTCGAAGCTTTTAATAATCGCAGTGGTTTCCCTGACTTTGGGTTCTGTCAACGTTACGCCAGGTGAGATTAAAATATTTTATTATAAGTTTTTTAAATCATATCCATTGAACAAAGATACTAAAAAAAAAATCTCATTTCTTTAAATAAATAATAAATTAGTAAGTGTTTTTGATAATTAAAATATTTCTAATAAAGTCTTAACATTTATTTAAAATATTGCTGTCTTGTTATTAACTGTCTATACATATGTAAGAGCAAAAAAGGATCGTAAAAGAGAGAAAGACTTGAAAATATACTATGAAAATATATTATTAGTACAATCTTTTAGCGACCCTCTTTTTTCCGATGTAGCAAACAGTTACGCTTATGAATGAAATAACCATACTTTCTGTACGATTTGTTCCGACGGCTGACACAACAACGACTTCTTCTACTTCGTTTGGATCACGATTCAGTTTCTGTTTGATGCGTCACGTTCAAATATATATCCAAATTTTTGCCATTAATTAAAACTAAAAATGGACTACATCTTCTTCCGAGTGTGAATTTTTGTTATTAATTTATTCTAATAAGTTGTACTAATTATAAAAAAAAAAGAATTAAGTTCAGATAGACGTAATCTGAATAACTAGTTAATAAAAATTACTGCGCGTTTTATTACTGTGACGTTAATAGAGTTAAAAAAAAAAATTGAGAAAAATTACGTTGCACGAAAACTAAAAAAGATGAAAGAAAGTATACTTATCGTGTTTCTCCAAATGGAAATTAATTTAGCTTTATTTATTTTTTCAGCGAATTATGAATACTCCATGAGAGTGTACAACGTCGGGGTTCTCATGGCTTCTCATTTAAGTAGCCCTTTCGATTTGGAAAGATGCGGCCCAGCCGTTGATTTGGCTTTAGCCGAAGTAAACGATTTTCTGAGCATCCACAATGTGAAATTGCGCAAGGTGCAAGGAAGGTAGGGTAAATGCAGAAAATCTCTTACTGCTTTCTCTATCTTCGATTTCTTAACATATATATGATTGTACAGCCACTATCAATTTTTACGTAAAATAAAAGAAAAATAAAAGAAGAATAGGAAAAATAATTATTATTATACGTGTAATAAAGAATGTCTGTGTCCTAGATAAAACGTTTACACCACACGTGATTCTGTGTAAACTGATTCACTTTTCCACCGCTTCCGTGTCATTACATTAATCCAATTGGACAGACGTTTGCGCAAAAAACAAGCCGTGATTGTGTGATCGCTGTTTGGCAAAACGAGAATAAAGTAAAAGTCAGTAAAAGTCAGAAAAAAATCATTGAAACAAAAATTACGCCTTTATCGAAACGCCAAATTTTTTCAAAATTTTGACAAAAATATATAAAAAGATATCGTGACATTAACTAACAAATTACCAAGCATCAAATCTTTGCAACAGATCTAGAGTTAATAAATGGCAACAAATCCCCATTTTCCCCCTTTTCAATCGAACGATATAGAATTAGACTAATCGAACCGAACGAATTAATCCACGTTACAATTGGTTAACGAAGGGAACGAAGAGCAAGGACCACCGAGCGTGATAATATCCCTAGGATCGGACAGCGGATCCAATTATTGGCTATTCAACGGTACGATTAAATCTATCATTATTTCCAAGTCGTTCCTTACGCTTGGAATGACACTGCACTTTGCCAATTCCCCCCCGACAATTATCAATCATTCTAGTTACGAACGTGAGTTACGAACGCGTTCCACGGATTCCCCGAGAATGCGGACACCCTGTTTCCATCGTTTTCTCTCTCCCCTCAGACCGGTAATTCAATCGCGACCTGTTTACACGGTGGAACACGATCATCCATCAACCCGTTTGCCCCCTGTTCTTTTTCCCAGTATTGTTTGATTTCTGCGACCCATTGTCCCACGCTTCCTTTTCCTTCCGAATTGATTCGGATGGAATCGTGTTGCGGAAGAAAAAAAAAACCCGCGTACAAGGAAGTACGTGAGCCTGAAAGATGCCAGTAAACAGTGGGCTGTGAAGTCACGTTAAAGTGGATCAACTTTCTTCACATTTTTTACACGTACTTATGTATACGTCACGTATAAAGATTTGTAATTTATATTGGGTTTATTCCCATAAGTAATGTCTCATTTTCGCAATAGGCGATGGTCTTTTGTTTTTTCCGTGACGAGCCAGTGCTTTTAACCTACCAAGTTTAATCGTATGTTAATTGTTGACACTTTAAAAGGTTAGTTGAAAGAAAGCATTAAGGATTACATTTTTTTTTTTTTTTAGTTTGATCTTGCTGTAGCGATCTCGAGCGACGAGAAGACGTATTTCCGAACTATGATGCTTTTTTATTTCCGAAAAAAAGGGGGAAACGCACAAAGAAAAAAGATTTGCGGCGTTCATGGTGATGATGTAAACGTAAGAATGGTACAGAGATGGTTTACAAAGTTTCATGATGGAGATTTCAACCTAAGTTTTCTCACCAGAAGCGGCCCGGTAGACTTGATGTTGACAATGTTCACTGGGAAGTTCTTATCTACATTCCCTTGATTATCATTTATTTAAATTATTACAAAATTCGTTTAATGGCAAAGATTTTGATTCTCTAAAGACTTGCAAAAAATGCATGTGTCTGCAGTTTTTGCTGAGAAGGATAGTGAATTTTGGTATATCATGCGATTGTCCACAAGATGGGAAAAAGTCATAATACAAAATAATGGATAAATATATTATTCAATATATTTATAAAGTTTACCTTACTTATAAAATTTTCGTTACTTATAAAAAGATATTTGTTATTTAATGCGACGTTATTTATGAAATAACCCAATATTATAGACACCATTAAGTATTAAGAACACGATAAAACAGCTTTTTCGAAGAAGGAAAGTTTCAATGTTTTCAAAAGAAGAAAACAAACTGTTTATTTTGTTTCATTAATCTTTCTTGATAAAACACTCTGTGTTAAGCAATAAGCAATGCAACTATGAAAAGGTAAAACTATGAATTAATCAGAGATAATTCTGCTCCATTAACTCACGCGATATTGTTGTTTTATTAAAATTATTGATAAACGTTATAATTGTATGATTCGCAGCTATCCATCATGCAGTGGATCTGCAGCACCAGGTTTAGCTGCCGATATGCATTTCCAGGCGAACGTGATCGCGTTTATCGGTCCAGCTTGTGCTTTCGCCCTGGAACCTGTGGCAAAACTCGCCGCCTATTGGAACACTCCTATAATCACTGGAATGGGTGACCAAGTACCATTTTTCACAGTCATTCATAATTCACTGCAAATGAATTTGAGAATTTTCAAATTACCGCAAATATATAAAATATACTACATAAAATACATTCTGCATTTACATTTAGATTTTAATCGCAAAGCAAATAAATTATTAATCCTTTTGTATCAAATGACAAATCTCTAAATAATCGTTCTTATATAACATAATGCTCTCTAAATATTTAATAATTATTTACACAATTTTGGCAATATCCAATTATATATTTTCAATAATTAAGCCGCCATCAGAAGAAGAAGAACTATCCGTAACGTCGGGTATCCTTGGAAGAATCAATAAATGGAAAAATGAAAGCTCGGTAAGAAAATTGTAACTATATTTCCCATATTCATTAGGTTAATTGATGTTATTTGCTTATCACATGTAACGAACGTGTTACATGAGGAAAAACACGAGGTGCTTCGCATGATACAAAATCCCTATTTACAACTTCATTAACTTTTAATTAGTCGCTTGCTTGTTAACACGGCCAATATAAAACTAAAACGAAGTAAATGAAGATCACAGGCAGTGATAAGTTCATTTTCAGTTGATTTCCTGATTTTAGTTTCATTTGATGCTTTAAAATTTTATAAACACGATTAATTTTATGATTAAACTACAATCGTTTATATATAAATTCATATTTTTAACGTAACGAAAGGAGATCGAATCACAATCGATATTTGTTTCAGTTATTAAAACATTGCAACATTTTGAATATTTATTTTTACATATGTGCATTCTATGCACAAGCAAATGAAATCAACGTAGATATTGACTTTAAGGAACTTTCTTTCCTATGAGCTGAAGAAAAGAAAATTCTCTCAGTTTCTTAATTTGCAAATTATCCTGAAAATTGCTTGGAATTTATCTCTCAATCTTGAATTTTTTGTTTCAAGGGAATTTTCAAGGATAGAAGCAAATATCCAACGCTCACAAGGATGTCCTATTGTCAGTGTCGACTTCGATTGGTTTTCTCTAGCATTTTTAAAGAATTTGGATGGTCGCACGTAGCGTTGATCTTGGATAGATCCGATTTATTTTCGTGGACAGTTGGGAAAAATTTGGAATACGGCTTAAGGAAAGAAGGATTGTTGAAATTTGTAAGAGAAATCGATGGAAATTCCGAGGACGAGTCGTATAATTTTTATTTGCGTGATGCTAGTATGTATGCACGAGGTAAACATCATATATGTATCTGAATCCTTCCTTGAAATTAATATATCAATATATTTATTTATTCCTAATTAGCATATAATTCATTTCTGACAGTGTTGATTCTTAGTGTCCGGGGAACATTGGTTAGAAAATTTATGTTGGCTGCTCATGATTTAGAAATGACAAGAGGAGATTGGGCATTCCTTGACGTTGAAATATTTCAAGTAAACTGAAGATTTTCTTTCCAACATTTTTAAATTATAGGCTAGTTAGCAGAGGAATGACAAAGAGATCTAAGTGTGAAATTTTTATAAAAATTATAGAAATCTTTTTGTATAATGCAAAAGCTTTTTGTAATAAATTCTTAAGAATGCAGAACAATTAAAATCAGTCAATGCCCTGCTCGCCACCCTATATATAAATAAATATAGTAAAATTAATCTCAAAGTGAATGTACGTAAAAGTTAAAAATGTTCAATCTAAATTCAAATTTAAATTCAAAGTTGGAATGCTTTAATTTGGATTAAAACTTGGAAATTTAAATTTGATGAAATTGTGAAATGTTGTTTTATATCCATATATAAGAACAACGAACGTGTTTCTTTTCTTTTTGATAAAAATTCAGGGTTCTTACTGGGGTGATCACGATTGGGAAGTTCGTGATGAGGATGACAGTATCGCTAGGAAAGCGTACGAGGCATTGCTCAGAGTGTCTCTTTTACAACCCACCAGTCCGAGATTTCAAGATTTTGCTGAAACTGTTCGCCAACGAGCTCAAACTGACTACAATTATTATTTTTCAGAAGGAGAAGAGGTAACACTTCTGTCGATTAATCTATAAATGTTGTATAAAGTTAATTTAGTTTAGAAAGAATTTTTCAAGCAAAATTCACCCAATTGTAATACAGATGTAATGACTTACAAAATAATGAAGAAAGCGGCCGTTAAACAACAACGTTAAATAATATTAAATAAAAATTATGCCCAGGTAAATTTCTTTATCGGAGCTTTCTATGATGGCGTATATTTGCTGGGGATGGCATTGAACGAAACTCTGTCCGAGGGTGGAGATATCACAGACGGCATATCGATAACGAGGAGGATGTGGGACCGAGACTTCATTGGTATTACTGGGCACGTGAGGATCGATGACAATGGAGACCGCGACGCGGACTACAGTATCCTGGATTTAGATCCTATCACGGGAAGGTCAGCGTCAATTAAGCCAGCCATTTCTCTCGAGCCCGTTTGCTCGTGTTAATCAACCTCCATTCTACCAGTCAACTGAATACATTCGATCCAAATGCCGTCGCCATTGCGATGAAACCTTCGAATTCACTTTGAATTCCATGCAGAATTTTGATGAAGCATATACATACTGCACGTGCTGTATATTGGGTATTATGTTGCAGATTCAGGCGAAAAAAATACTCGAATTCGAAATTTGCAGGTTCGAAGTAGTCGCGCACTATTTAGGATTAAATCGAGAATATAATCCTGTGACTGGAAAGAAAATTCATTGGCCTGGAGGAAGAGAAGGCCCCCCTGCTGATATTCCTGAATGTGGATTTCTGGGAAACGATCCTGCTTGCACATCCAGGACTGAAGCTTATACTTTTGTCGCGTATACTAGCTTGGCTCTTGTTGTGTTTCTTCTTGTTGCTGTTACTGCAATCTGTGTATTGTACAGGCTAGTACTCTTTTTGTTATTTGAATCAATAACGTCAATGTGATTACAAGAACCACAATTTAGAAAATATGTACCATATTATTGAGAATATTATAATATACAATATTCCTGTTAAAAATTTTTTTATACACTTTTATATACACAAAAGAATTAAAAACTTTTCTAAAAATTTGTAACTTTTTATAAAAAAAGGTCTCTCGTGAGAATTGATAATAATACATTTGCGGTAGGAAATTTTCGTTTAAAAAAATTTTAAAATTTCAACTCGAACAATATGTGTAAAAAATTGTGAAACTATATAGATATGAAAATGGAAAGTTTAAATTTAATTCAGCGGCTTGCAAATTATAATATTATTATAATATTTTAGACATCTGAGAGTGTCGGCTGACCTGAACAACATGTCCTGGAAAATCAGACCAGAGGAACTACTTCTGGAAATAGGGAAACCTTTCTCTTCGAAGATCAATCTACACCAAACGATAGCCGAGGTGAATGCAACTGAGTCAAATAAAGAAAACGTAATAAAATCAGTCTTGCCGTTACAGAATTTTGGATTGGAGCAGCATATTCGCCGTGAGTCACAATTCAGCTGTGAATCCTTACCTACAACTACAGTATTCACCACCGTTGGAATCTATAAGGGAGAAAGAGTGGCTATTAAGAAAATTACTAAAAAGAAGGTAGTTGACGTCACCAAGAAATTGTTGTGGGAAATTAAACAAGTTCGGGATGTTACTTCAGAAAATACCGTCAGGTTTTTATTATTATATATAATTTTATTTATTAATAATGATACAACTATATAAATATAATATTAAATGACGATTTTGTTATAAACATTGAAAACAAATTACCATTTTACACGTGAAATATTAAAAATGAATTTCAGGTTTATCGGTGCATGCTTCTGTTCTCCATCACCAACGGTGTTGATCTTGACAGAGTATTGCCCCCGAGGTTCCTTGAAAGATGTCCTAGAGAACGACGCTATTAAATTAGATTGGAATTTTCGAATGTCTTTAATCCACGACATCGTCAAGGTAGAGCAGGTGCAAAAGTCGTATCACATGTTTATTTTATCCAATTTAAAGCAGGATTTAAATTCTATTCCAAATAATACATCTTTTCACCGCTAATTTACTTTCAAAAATAAATTCTAAAAAAAGAAATAAATTCTAAAAACACTTCTTTCCCAAATTTTTAACATCACTCTTTACAATTATATTTAGATTGCGGATATTTATACGTTTGTAGGAAATGCATAAAAATATGCAGAATTGGAACGTATAAAGTAATTATTATAACATTTAAAGGGAAAAAAATGTAGGTTCAATTTCTTTCTTTGATTGAATTTCTATAAACATTCGCAGTCCAGTCATACTTATCACTGATTCTCGAATATTGAAATAAAACTGTTCTGATATTACTAGAATTTTAGAAATACAAAAAAATGATTTCATTTACAGGGAATGTCTTATCTCCATGCCAGCGAGGTTTCAGCACATGGAAAGCTTCGGTCTTGTAATTGCTTGATCGATGGCCGTTTCGTCTTGAAAATTTCAGACTTTGGCCTCAAAACACTCACAACCCCGTCTGATTTGATAATGGACGATAATTATTATACCAGTAAGTAAGATCAATTCGTGAGAAACAAATAAAAGATCATTGACTGTTACAAATTATCGTTTGGACAGAATTACTTTGGATCGCGCCGGAACTTTTACCGTTAACTGTGACACCTGGCAGCGCAGCGACTCAAAAAGGGGATGTTTACAGTTTCGCGATCATTTTAGAAGAAATTGTGATCCGTGGTGGCCCGTATGAATCTGTGAAATCGTTTATGACTTCCCAAGAGGTATGATAGAAATTTTGGTATGATTTTCAAAACGTGGTATAAAAAAAAAAATAATTAACGAAGTAAATGAAAATTTTATAATATTACAAAGATCGTCGGCCGCGTTGCAGCTTCAGAGATGCCACCATTCAGACCGGAAGTAACACCAAAAGACTGCCCGCCGGATATCCTATCCCTCATGGAGAAATGCTGGAACGAAATCCCAGAGGAACGACCAACATTTCACGCAATTCGCGAAACTATACGTAGCATTATGAAGTAGGTTTTCCAATACAGTTTTTTAAAAAATACAAATGTTTCTTCGAACGAGGTTTGTCTTTTAAAATTGCGAGGAACATTATATTTAAAAAAAAAAAGTAATAATTTTCCAGGGGTTACTGTGAGAATTTAATGGACGATTTATTGAGGCGTATGGAGCAATATGCGAATAATTTAGAAGCCCTCGTGGAAGAGAAAACGGAACAATTAAGCCTAGAGAAACGACGTAGCGAAGAACTTTTGTATCAAGTGCTTCCAAGGTAATAATGTACTTAATAATATAAAAATATAGACTACATACACTATTTTCTTATTTCGAGAGTTTCTATATTCATTTTCAATTACAATATCATAGACAAGTGGCGTGTCAACTAATGGCTAGAGAGCTGGTACAACCAGAGCAATTCGAGTGCGTGACAATTTATTTCAGTGACATAGTTGGCTTCACAGCTCTCTGCGCGCAAAGCACACCAATGGAAGTGGTAGATTTTTTAAACGACCTTTACAGCACTTTCGATCGTATCATCGAATTCTACGATGTTTACAAGGTATTTCAATGTCAATGTCAATCACATTCAAACGATAATCACTAGATTGTAAATATTTATACATTTGTGAAAAATTTAAAAACTGATGATAGAGCACATAAAAATCTGCTTCAAGATATTCAAAGTAAAATGCTACAATACAGGCGAACAAATCTCCATTTAGATTCTATTTCTTTTTACTTATTTATAAAAATATAAATTTATTGACCTAGCTGTTACAATTTTTTGACATTCTTCCATCATTAATAACATTTTTATGTATTAAGGTGGAAACAATAGGAGATGCATACATGGTGGTGTCTGGCCTGCCAGAAAGAAACGGCGACGAACACGCGAGGGAAATTGCCCTAATGGCTCTAGCGATTCTTGTTTCTGTACGTTCCTTCACCATAATGCATAAACAAAATGCGCAACTCAGTGTCAGAATTGGCGTACACAGTGGGCCAGTTTGCGCAGGTGTAGTTGGCAAAAAAATGCCACATTATTGTCTTTTCGGTGATACAGTAAACACTGCATCGAGGATGGAATCCTCGGGACTACGTACGTTATTTGAAATCAATTCCAAACTCATTATTATGAGATATTAGTCTCACTTTCATCTTCTTTCTAAATATAGCATTACGCATACATATTTCTGAAGCAACGAAATGTATATTGGATAAATTTGGAACGTTCGACTTGGAGCTCAGAGGCGAAGTGGAATTAAAGGGGAAGGGACGAGTCATTACTTACTGGTTAAAAGATTGCTCCGAACCAGATCCAAGGCTACCGACACCGAAATACCGCAAACATAGCATCAGTACACCAGAAAATAATTTAAATCCCCTAATCTTCCCGCCTAACAATACAAATGGTCCAAAAGCCAACAACAACACTTTCATTAATTTATCAGAATTACAACAGACCGTATAATTTTCGTAATTTGAAGGTAATTTGAAGACGTAAGAAGAGTCATTGTCATCGATGGTAGATGTTCTTGCGATTTAAAAATTATAAGTCTTAGTAATTATAATAAATTTATTTTTTTTTTTTTTTCTATTACAATATGTCGATTTGGGATATTACATCAATAACATTTAATTTATACGTAAATAGAATACACGCTTGTGTCGACAGGCATGTGCATTAAATTGTTCATCTCGAGCAACATGATTGGTCAAAAAGTCGTAATAAAATCGTTTTTTTTTTTTTTTATCTACTTATGGAAACAATTCTATTCACCAATGTCGGTACATTTAATACACTTGTCTAACAACAATAATCTACATAAAGCTTGAATGAATTGGAAGAATCAATGAAAGAAAATATGAGGACGTCCCGAAATAAATGGAGAAATGAAATTAAACATTGCACTTTCTTTAGAAGTATTCGCACATTACTTCTGCTACTCCTTCCGTGTTAAAACTATTCGCGATTTCAACGTTGTGTAACTTTTTCTGAATGTAATATGTGTATAGACTACAGCAGAATTAGCATCTTTATCTTCATTATCGTTACGGTTAAACACTACTAATAATTGGTTAAAAATCTCTGTGTGATCTATGTTCTTATCGCTGTTGAATCTAAAAAGTTATCTCAATTATAATTCTTTCTCCATAAAGTCTTGGCAGCAATTCTCGTGTTGAACTACTTCGATGCCAGGAACATTATTAGTCTGAAACGAAAATATTTTATTTATGTATAAAATATTTTGTATACATACATGTTATAAACAATCTTTTTCTGTGACCTTAATAAAAAAAAAACAAAAATTAAGATATAAATATATGTCATTACCTGAAACTAATAGCTCTCGCAGCAAGAAGTCTATTGCATTCTGCTGTGTCAGGCAAGGGTAAAGGTAAATAAGGGCTTTCATTTTCTTGGTCAGTGAACTCGAATTTGTGTATTCTTGGTTGTACTTTCATGTCGCCAAAAGGTCCTTTCAATATCAAATAATGAAGTGGTAGTGGATACGTTGTTTTTGTCTTCAAAATCAACTGCAATGAATTAAAAAGCGCGAATCAAAGAATCTGTGTTAAAAATTAATTGAGACACGAGTCGGAATATCTTTGGATTTTTACGTACTTGATAAGTCATATCTCTTTCTGAACTCTGAGTGGGATCACGCTGACTATTATTGATCCTCGCTTTAACAACCCATTGATTGTTGAACGCAGTGAAACGTGAAGTTTCATAAAACAGTTTATGAACAAACTCGTCCGTACGATATGGCTTCATTTGCAGATCTATAAAGGATGAAAATTCCACAGATAACTCCAGTCCTACGTTCTCTACGTTTCTATTAAAACGAGTTTATTTAATTTCTCAAATATTTCCAATGAGGCATCTAAAAATCTACGCGAGCATTTTAATTTCGATTTGACGACAGAGATTATCCCTGTTGCTGCCAAACAAAGCACACGGAACAAAGTAAAGTCTCTTTCGCAATGTTTTTTTGGTCTAAACAGGATTGAATGAAAGTTTGAGAGCCTTAATGCACGAGAAACAGATACAGACCGTTGAACGTGATTTTCTCGTAGGACAAAAGATCAAAGACATTGTCATACAGCCTACGTTCTTCAAGAGTACGGGCATCGATATCACGTAGAGCTTCCATCACGTCCAGCCCTGTACGATGTGGATGTACACAGTGTGCCTCGTGCTCTGGACGTTCGTGGTTTGGTCCACGCCATGGACAGCCGATTCTACTGTACTTGCAACTGGATATTCTACGTACAAGAAACAAGGGATTAACGTTACTTTTCACGATTCTACACGTTAACGTTTGATTACCTCTCTTCGCACATGGTCTCTTCATGGCGCTCCAAGGAATTCCTTGGGAATTCTTTCGCACAATATTGACATTCTGCCGGCAGTTCGGAAACTGCTTTCTCAACTGCCAAATTTCGAGACGGGGATGTTCTGCTGATCTCGATTCTGCAATTCGGACATGTTGCCATTTCATCTCTTAGCCTGGCATCTGCGAGGACATGAGTGAAGCAACCGGCACACATCAAGTGTCCATTTGTACACTGTAAACATTGTTGCAGTATGTATTACTAGCATTCTTGGTTTCATATTACAGAGGATAGAAGCCTAACTTTGTTGATAAGTTTAACAGCCTGTTATACAATACATCTCGTTATACAGTACATGTACAGCTGTGTGCAAAATTTAATTTACTACTTTTAGTAAAAAAAAAAAAAAAAAAGAAAATATCGATTAGAGGAAGAAAAGAGAGAATACTTTTGTTTGGAACGAAATTATTTAACTTTTGCACCAGCTGCCATATCTTTTCTCTTTTTTTTTTAAATATATATATGTACAGCCCTTACAACAACATTAACCAAACTAGAATAACAAAACTAATGTTCATGTATATTACCATAATTTGATGTTTTTAAACCTGAAACACAAAATTGTAATAACTATTAATAATTCAATTCATCATATTGTGAAACCAGTAGGCTTAAAAACAATGTGAATATCACCAAAAGCAATTGTTATTAATGCTGCCAATATTGATAAATAGAAAGGAAGAGAAAGGGATAATGATGCGTAGGATAAGTGAAAAAGGGTGTCATATGCGAAATAACTAACTAATAACCTTTAAGAATGTTTATTTTGTTCAATGCTTTTCAACTATACATGTTGTACAGATTTTCTGGAAATGCGCTTTCTCTCTCTCACTCTCACTCTCTCACTATTAATCATAATTGGTAAACATCAGTTCCGCATGGATCTACAATAAAATTTTCTCCTAGTAACTAATATCTGAGTAGCTCCTTCATCTCGATTATTATTTCTTACAATAAACGTAATAGTTTATAATTGGAAAAATGTATTTGCTATATTATGTGCTAAAGACTATAAAAATCTGTTGGGTTTAAATAATTTCTATTTCTCTTTTACTCTCCTTTATTGTCTCTCCTAATTGATCTTTCAGAATACCAGCAAGAATGAAGTTAATTGTTTAAATTACTTAAAATCAAATATTCTGTGTAATATCTACGAGTTTACAAATGCATGAATACAACGTTCAAACTTGCATACCTTAGTAAAATAAAAAATACATTATGCGCTGGCCAGCGCACTGAGTAACTTACATGTATGCATCTCTATCATGATGGAATAAACGCAACATTCTTCCCATTTTTACAGTTAATGAGAATAGTGAATATCAAATATATGTTACATATATTTCCATTAAAAAAAAAAAAACAAATTGAAAAGAGAAGTGAGAACAAAATATAGAGTATGGGTAGAATGAAATGCTACAAATTTAATTAACAAAGGAACTTCTGTAAATAAACATTACTAAAAAATGGGATCATTGTTTGAGCATGCTTACACACAATAATCCTCGATATGTCTATATGTTTCTCGCATGAGTTGAAAATTCGCCATAGACATACATATTATAGAGATGAGAATTACTTTTTACATGCATGCATAATTATGTTTATCAGAAGTATCGTGTCACCTTTACAATACAAACCATATGAGAAAAAACACTTGGGCAATATGTTTGCTAGAAATGTTCAATAAATAATGAAAGATCTCAATGTAAAGAATTATTTTGTAAGGACATACTATGTATGAGAGTGTCTTTTTTTTTATCTTTTCTTTTTCAAGTCAGATTTTGCTAAATTTTCTAAATATATTCAACATATGTGAAACTGCAATATTTGTATTTAACAAATTAAAGGCTGTTCTTCATACATCTGTTTTTTTTTTTCTTTTTTTTTCAAAATGTTCAATGCAACTCCTATTAGGAAAAAACATATAGTTACCTACCTGTAATTATATAAATACTATCTTAAAGAAGACAATCGTTGACAAACGTTTTTCAATTGTCAACAAAAAAAATGCTTGCAAGGTCAAAACTTGAAGCAAACAGAAAACACGAAATTTTATTATCCTGCAATGTTAGAAAAAATAAAATTCTTCACCATAGAGGCAAACTATTGAAAAATATTTACGTTGTAACTGCCAAGAGAAAAGGAGGGTAAGAAAAACAGAGTGAGAGAGAAAGAATTTAATACAGAAACAAAGGTACGTAGCATCAAAGCCTGTTGTCAGTCAATGAAAAAAATTCAACTCGACTACAATCAGGAATAAAATATATAATGTATAAGTCTTGACTGTAAGAAGCGACAACTTCAAAGAAATATTTCTACGTTTCTCAGAAAAAAAAAATACACGTCCGACTGTTTAAAAAGAAAAGAGAAAGAACATATCTCCAATTTTGTCTCCCTTTTATTCGAACTTTTATGTCACTTTTCACAATTGAAGCGGCGTGAAAATTGAACGAATGTTACATGGTACGTTACGCTCCACCGCGGCCGACATACTCTTGCACTTCAAGTAGGACGTTCCTGCTGTCTACCGAGAGTGTCGAGTCAGAGAAGATACAGACAGACGCGATGTCGGATGTAAAAAAGCAAAATTGCCACGGTGCATAGTGCGCGCGGTCATGATGATCAGGGATTGATACAAAAAAACAGTTTGCCCCTCGCACGTGCGTGTATGCACAAAGGCATCAACGATTAAGAGAAATCCACCCGACTGGCCTCGGGTGAAAATGTCGGATAGAAAGAGAGAGACGACGACGTCGTCGGAGGTGGGACGACAGTGTCGCACGTACTGTTAATACCCGGGATACGTAAGACGGCGGTTACACTCGTGAGAAAATATCGTGAACAGCGTCGAATAGCATGACCACACGTCGCCGCCGATCGTACATAGTACACAGAAATATATCGAGGTGAGAAGATATGATATGAAAAATTTACTCGTGAAACTTACCTGATAAACGGCTGCCTTAGGCAAATCGAGGCAAACTGCGCAGCAGAGGATGCCGCCCAGGCGGTGCTCCAACTTCTGCTCGGTTTTCCCATCGTTCCGCGACAGTTTACGACGCTTTTTATCCGGCTCGAGGAAGTCCTCGATCTTCTCGAGGTCGTCGCGAATCGGAGTGGCTGACGGGGCCTCCTCCGAAACGCTACTCGACGATGCAGCTTCGTTGCTCGGGTCCGCCATATTGATTGTTTTGATTTTTCCTCAGGACGTGAGCGCCAGAAGTGCGCAGATGTCAAACGCAGGCTACGCAACAGACTCCCTGGTATAAGAACGATGCCAAGCGCGTCGAACACTCCGTCCCGACGCTCGGTCGGTAATTTCGAATCGCAATTTTCAAACAAATTGGGACACGAAATTGGAGATGTGTGTATATATATATATATATATAGGTTTATTATATATATATGTTGTTTTATATACATATATATGTTTTAAATATAAATATACATATATATATATATATATACATACAGAGTGGCCATTGAAAGACTAAATGATATAAAACAAAAATAACTTTTACAAACACGTTTTTAAAATTTTTTATTATTTCATTTGGAAATATAATTAATAGGTTAATTACATAATTAATTATAATTAATCTCCAAGGGATGCTCTACAACCTACAAAAAAAGAAAATAAAGATTTTAAATACACAATGTAGTTTACGAGAGATTGAATATTGATCAAACTAATGTTTCGATCTGTGGAGAATAATTTATCGATCTATGGAAAATATACATCTTATGAGATAAATAAAACATAAGAAGAAAGCTGCAGGTCTAAAATTGAAGAAGGAATCGCGAAAATTTGCAAATTAATTGTCTTAATTTAGTTTTTTTTGCAAATGAACCTTTGATCGATTCATGGGCATGAAAATGCTAGCGCCGCGTAGCGGTGAAACGATGGAACTAAAATCTATCGTTGTCCTTGTTGCGCACTATGTCTGCTCTTTGTCTGTCGCACTGCATAAGTCTGTCCTTGTCGCACATTAGCGCGCTCTTTGTCTACGGATAGTGCTGCCATCTAAGCCCTTTCATTTTCGGCTGGCACTAAAAAGAGAAAAAGGAAAAATCTGATAGATGGCAGCACGTTATTTCTCCAACTGTGTAATTCTGGACGTAGACGTTAGATGGCAGCACTTGGCTCATTCGTAGACAAGGAGGGCAACAATGTGCGACAAGGACAACAATAGATTTTAGTTCCACCATTTCACCGCTACGCGACGCTAGCATTTCAGGACTTATGGCGGCACGAGTATTTAAAAGAACGAGCTTAACAACCGGCGACGCCGATTTAAAATGAAGAATGAAAAAAATTAGACAGCAGAAAATATTTTGTATTTTCAATTGTTAATAATCAGTCAGAGAAAATGATCGTCATAAATTCCTGTTATATGTTAATATTAATAGTTGTTATAATTTCTTGTTAAATCTCGTGATACATTTAATTAAAGGAATAAACTTCCATAGGCCGGTGAATCGATCAAATTTTCATTTCCAAAATAAAAGGATAAATTTTTACAATCTCGACCCTCACCTTTCTTCTTACGTTTCATTCATGTATAACTTGATAAAAACTCTTATGAAAATTATAAAATTTTCAAATAAGTCGATGTAAGTTGATGACAGGAAAACAAAAGAAGAGAACAGTACAACTGAATCTGAATAATTAGCTCTTTTATTCATACATCGCATCGACGTATTGTCGTTCATACGCGTCCAGTTTTTCTGCATGTAAATTCATACCAATTTCATGCAGTCCTTTCGCATGACTTGTTACTATTATCTTTTTCTTTTAGACTCCGCCTCATCCCGTAAACTTCACGCTAAAAATGACTGAAACACTCTTTATGTACGCTATGTTGGCGACCGCTACGGTTCATTCGTTGATTGCAACGCGCGAAAATACCATTGCACAACACTCGAACGGAGAAAAATCGAAAATTAACGTGTACCTCGCCTCGTAACGAGCTTACAGCGCGTATTTCAAACATAATAATAATTATTATAATTACAAGTCACTGTGTAAGTGTACTGCAAATACCAATTGCAGTACATTCGCATTGTCTCATGCAGGGTGATCCATTAAATTACACATAAATGAACGCATCTCAAATACAGTGGCTTATAAAAATACAGAAATTTCATTAGTACATGCAATGAGATTTATCGTGACCGAGTAACTGATAATAATTTTAAACAAATTCGAGGATATACACAGAAGTTGCAAGATATTTTATTTATGCACGAATGCATACACTTTAGAGAGATCACAAAAGTATTTATTACCTTTAATACTCGTTATATGCACACATACATAAGTTAGCAGTGTCTTGCAATTTCTATAGACATTTTCAAATTAGTTTTAAATTTTGCAGCCACTTTTGCGAGCCACTGTAAATATAATATCAGAGTTGTAGTATTTTATACGTTTCTCCGCATAATTTTGTATATTTTGCTTATCTCACATGAAAGAGAGAATACATACTGTTTACAAAAATTTAAATGACCCTCTATATAAATTTATTATAAAAATATTTTAATATCTACAAGTTCCTTTTTGTAGATAAAGTTAGAAATGATAAAAATGACCACCCTGCAAAAATAAACAAAAATACAATATTACAGTTTTGCTTTACTGTTCAGCTCAAATAAAAATTCTACGCAATGCGTCTGGCTCGGTATACACTGGCTAAATAAACTCTTCTCTAGTGCGATATGGATAGTACATTTCCTTGATATTTTTAGTTCTGAACATTTTATACAATATGTCGTTACTAAAAAGATGAATGAATAATCTATGAATAAACGGAAACCAAATTGATTATACTAACATCTAGAATTTTCGCAAATCGTTGGATCTCTCTAACATTTGACAAAATTGATAGACTATGCTGCGCTATAAATAGTAGAAGAGTAGAAAAATTTATTGCGAGTTAGTGGACATTGTAGTATGGACTCTAAATTTTGTATTTCTTCTGTTTTCTTTTTTTTCTTTTGCTTTTACTTCCCTCCCCCCTTTTTTTGTTTTGTTTCCTCGTTTGTGTTTTACAACGCAAAAACAAGTGTAAACGCTCTTTGTACTTTTTCGATGGTGTATCAATGTATCTGAATAAATTCAGGTAGTCACATTACAGGCCATAGCGTCTTCTAGAAAGTGGCATTCGTCATAATCGAAACACTCTCAAATACATATGGTATTCGATCTCGACAATACTACGGATCAACGTACACATCTTATTGCTCGTTTATAAATAGCTCTCCCTAAATTAGATTCAATTTTCAAACGTTATCTTGCCCTTTTTTCTTCTCCTTTTATACAATAGAATAATCCATTTAAATGTGGATTATTTTGTGCACAATTAGAGTCGGAAAGAGTAAGAGATCACATGATTCAGGTCATAAATATTTACCTTTCTATATACATGAAATTTCTCAATAATTATTCACTTAATTTTATTTAATATATTTACAACATACACACGCACAATATCTCCTTGTGCTCTCTTCTCGAGAAATAGGTGATTTGTTATCGTACAAGATGAAAGCTCGGTAAAATCATCGCGTTACAAATAAATTCCTCTAGAAATACTTTACGGATCGGAACTCAAGCGTTTCAGTTTATCTGTCGCTACTTTTTTCGCCAACGTCTCGTCTGATACTGCAAGATAAATAGATCCTTTTAACTATTCTTTACGAATTTGTTTGCCTTTTTAAAATTCGTTTGCCATAATTTTAAAATTTCGAATGGTTAAAATCACGAATTATCAAAATATCCTATAAATTTTATAAATTTCGAATACGAATATATAAAATTAAGTTCACTTATGCCAATCGTACAACGAGAAAAAAGATTGAAAATTAAAGTGAAATAAATTTATTCGACGTACAAAATACTCAATGCACAAAAGAATACATGGAAATGTCTTCATCGACAAGAAAGTTAAATATTTTTTGCAGACGTATTTGCTTTCTAAATTAACGGATCAAGGTACGTCAATGAATCAGCTTACCACTGCGGTCTTGTTCTGTGGTCACGTCCTCGCTGACTGGTTCCTCCAAAACTTTCATCTTGGTCAGCTTCTGGACCTGATTCGGTATCATCGCTAACATTAAGCTCGTGGAATTTTTCAAACTACCGTAAGACTGCTCCAACTGTTTCACTTTTTCGCCAAGTTCTGCATTAGACGCGTGAACTTCACTCAGCTGTAAAATTTACAATTAACTCGAAATTAATTATATCCTTCGTTATATTTTAAGACAATTCAAAACAACAACATCTCTAATATTCAACAAAGATTATAAAATGATCCAAATGTTTTCTCCAAAAACTGTAAAACTGACATTTAAAGATATTAGACAATTATTTTTTTAAATCATATAGAATGTATACATACTTGATTATTCAGTTCCATGACAGACTTCAATATGGTGGTCTTTACACATTCTCTTTGCAGAGATATTACCTTCATGCTAACATTCTGAGTGGTCTCCTGAAGCAACACCAACGTTTCCTGTAAAAAAAAATAACATTTTTGTCAGTGGACATTACAATTTGTACGTTTTTTATAAATTCTCAAATATTTACGTGATCTTTCTTCTGGTCCTCTGCCACCCATTGTACAGCTCTCGACAGTGTTTCATTCATGTTTATCAAATTATCGGATAAATGTACAATTGCTGCATTCAATTGATCAGTCTTTATTTTTGTCTCATTTGTGATCAGCATCTGAGGTTTTTGTGTAACATTTGACAATTCTGTTACTGCATTCTGCAATATATATAAATGAAGAAAAAATAATTTTATAAATTCTATTCTTGACGTGGACTTTTAAGCATGAAGAAATATACTGTATCTACATAATAAATGAATAAATAAATTATCATAATATTTAAGAGATGAAAAACATTTCCATTTCATTTCAGTTTTTTTTATTGCATTAATAAAAATCTGAATTCTTGAATTTCATGATCGAATTGTAACATTAAATATAATATTATTAAACAAAACGTTTGATCATGAACCTTGATACTGGTAATATTCTGCTGCATAGTGGTTTGAACATCTTGTACCCTAGCATTGGATTCTTTCAACGCTTTTACTGTGGTACTCAAGTCTTGTATTTGGCTTCCAAATGACACCACACTACTGGAGAGGGCCTTCAAATCTGTTGGCACATTAAATAATGCTGGATCCTCTTTGAACCATTCTTCTACTCGATGCAAATCACGTTGGATAACTGCTAACTGTAGATAAATTTTTATGTAAATCGTTCTTTCTGGCAATAAGTATAAAAGTTATGTATAAATGTCTTTAAATAATTGTAGACATTCATTGTAAAATCTCGGCTCATTAACCAATACAAATATTTTCTACTGTCATTGTAGAATACTATTTATTTTAAATTTCTGAGGAGAAATTATTTTCATGACTTAAACACAGTTCCAAGATATTGTTTTCACATTCACAAGGTGAAATAATTCATTTTATTATTAGAATTTAGCATTTAAGAAATTTAAGAAATATTTAAAATATTCCAAGGTGATGATTTCAAATTTAGAGTTTAAAGTTTAAAAGCAACTTAATTATACAAAGAAAAGAAAAAAATTAGCAAAACTATACGCAGTTCAGAAATTTAAAAATCCATTTAAGAAAATTAAAGCACTGTGAATTTACCTGCGTTGTAAAATTATTAATTTGAAGCTTGAAATCTGATAAATGAGTGAAAATAATGGTCTGGTTGTTCTGAAGATCTCTCGACAGAGAGTGACATTTCTGCAGAGCGTCAGGAACACCTTCGCTACCGGCAATAACTGCAATGGTAAATAGTGTTTTTGTTTTCTCACTTTTCTCATTTCTTTTACAAGTATAATAATACTGTACGTAAGTATACCTGATACAATCATCTCGTGGATAAAATCTTATCAAACAGATTCTAATCAGAAATAGATAGAAAACGAATATGTTCGAATTGTAATCTGTTTTTCTTTTCTTGGAATTAGTTTTGAAAAAAAAAAAAAAACAATCGAGCCTGTGAGGATCGAAGTATAAATACTTGGAATTTAATTAATTAAAAATTTGTCACAAAAGTAAGTAAAATAATGTTTCAAATTACTTCAAAATTTCAAATTATTTTCACGTTTCTTCATCAATGTGAAATTAACCATTTCTGGTACTTTTAAATGTTATTAATTAATTAAACAATAAATGTTTCAACTCTAATGCATTGTGTCTTCTTCGAATCACAGATAATATCAGAAAATGTGTGCTTTTATTTTCGAGCAGATGAAAAAGTATTTTCCTCAGTTGAAGGAAGATTTTAAGAATGAAAAAGGAAAATTATTTAAATTTCTCTTATGAATTCCAAAACTTCATTTTCTTCATATAGAATAATATTGTAGATTATCCTCAAAGGCCCACAGCACAACTCGAATACGTACTACGCGCTAAACTATTAAACCAGAGGATAATAATCCAATATTTATCAACTTATCGAGCCGACGATCTCGCTTGGTTAAGTGTACCCACGCAGCCATAATTGTCGCATTATAAGCGAATTACTTGGCGTGTCGTAGCCACTATCAGTCTCATCTCTTCGAGCCACGAATTAACGTAACCAAATTAAAAAAAGAAAAAAAGAAAAAAGAAAAAAAACACAAAAAAAGCAACAGAAAGAAAAGGCGCGTTTCTATTCTGGAACTCGATCATACGTATGTAAATAAATATATATAATAGCACAGACGAGGCATGTGCCTCATATAACCTCGTCTGTGGTAATATATACCGGGCATCGATCACAATCTTATTCTTTACCAGAATACACGAAAACGAAAAACGAAATATTCCGAATTTGCGTGCAAATATCCTTGACCCGATTTTATACATAATTTCTCACAAAGATGCAGTATTATACCTTGGTCCAGCTCGGTCCGTAGTGCAGTAAGTTGCTGACGAACGTCGATGAACAGCCAAATTAAACTAGCGGTTGCTAATACAGAGGCGCAAGCCAGAAAGGCACTACAAGCTTTAAAAAATCCGGGGCAAGCTCGACTTCGTCTGCCTCTGCATTTACGGCCATTTCTAGTCGATATATTCCAGTATTCCGAGCGTTCGTCGCTGCTATCTGACAGTAACTCCTAGAAATTGTTAGGATGATCAGTCCCAACCTGCTCCCTTTCCAACGTTCCTCTTTGCTAACACAATTGTGACGTATCACCTCTCTTTAGTATAGTCTCATTTACGTTCGTACAATATATATTTTCATCGTATTTTCTTTTTTCTTTTTTTCTTTTTTCTTTTTTTCTTTCTTTCTTTCGTTTATATCGTTCGAAGTGTCAGGAATTCGCGTTTCGTGTTTCATGAATTTATATGGGGGCCTTTGGTCAATGAAATAATGAAGCATCGCATTGTAATAAAGTAAATGGACGTTGTTACACTTTCGTGCGAAAATTATTTCAATTGTTTCGTTCGAAAGACTCAACTTTTTTTCACCAATTTTTCACTTTGTAATTACCAAAATTTCGTAATTTTCACTCAAGTTAATACTTGATTGATTTTCACGTTTCGAATATTTGAATTTTTGTTAAGAATAATTGTTAAAACAACGTCGGTCCTCTTCTATCTGCGATTTCGATCAAATAATTAAACATTTTAATTAAACATTTGTTTCAGCTAGACATGTTTTTTGGTTAAGAAAATCAATTGTGGAGTGTTGAAATTCTCAAATGGAAAGATTTTTTACAAAACTTATAATTAATTAATTTTATATATTAAAAGAAGAAACGAAGAGGGAGATAAGTTTACGTATTTTTTACTTGGAATAATTTCGCAATTAATTGAAGCAAGAAAAATTGTGTACATTCAGTATTATATATGAAGTAGCACAAAAATTTATCTTATAATTTTTTTATCTATATCTACTTAAAACAAACTTCTGCGAACTTCACCAATATTTCACTCCATGTTATTGTTGTTATTATTATGTTATATCTATATGTCATTATTGTACAAACTATATATGTATTATTATCTCGTATGTATATTCACACATTTCATAAATATCATAAATCATAAATGTGAACATGAACTAACAGACGAGTTGCAATTCTAGCTCTATTTCAAACATGATCCAGAAACAAATGCACTTCGTTAAATTTAAACATTCATTAAAGATTTCAAAATCCACAAAGTTACAGTTCACAGACTATTATATTATTACTATTATATTATATTATCATTATTACTATTATTACTATTCAATGGCTTCACGGTCAATATTCAGTGTACGAAAAATTATAGCACAAGTGCAATTTTCCATTTGACGAGGCAAAAGTATTACCAAAAGCGAGTCAAGTTTCATAAATTTCACAAATATTGAGAAACTGCACGGAGAAAGAGAAATTACGCAAAATATTTTTTATTCTTCTTACAAAAAAAAAAAACATTTTCGTACAAAATGTACAACTTTCCATTTCCAAAGAAGGGACAACTTAGCTCAGAGTGATTTCTACAAATTTCAAGTGACTCTACCTACAATATCTCAAACATGAATACAGTTCTCCTCGTTCCAGAAGAAACTTTTATGAAAAGAACGTTTCCATCGCCTCTTCGCAAATACAATCTTCCATTTCGAAAGCACTTTGCCAACAAAAAATGTCAAGATTCTCTTCGTACCAAGGAGGATCTTTCACGAAAATTTGAAAAGTTTCCCGCGGAGAACTTCTCGTTCGTTCGAGAGAACGTTGTCGACGATCGCGGAGAGATACGTACTTGAGAGCTACGTTTCCCGGAACTTCGGCGGGAGACCGTGTGCGGAGGTGCCAGGGCATCGAGCTCCTTTCGTTTCTTCATCTTCTTCGTCGGCTGACGAAGTGGCACTGTCACCGCTACCGAGTCCATCTCAAGCTCGAGTAACACCGAACCGCCTATCTTCGTTTCGTTTCACGCGAGCTCGTCGCGTACACGACTTTTATTTTCCTCTCTCTCTCTCTCTCTCTCTCTTTTGTTTTTTTTCTTTTGTGTGTGTGTGTGTTTTTCACTCTTTATCAACCCTCGCGCACGATGCACACGCGGTCGACAATCGTTCGCGGCAGGTTCATTTCCGTGAACTGAAAATTCGGTCGCGTTCCTTCAACGATAACGCGACGATCTACATACATGATTCACAGTTCTCACGATCGCGATCACATTTTCTTTCCTTTTTCGATTCCTGCCAGTTTCTGTCAGTTTCATCCGCAGAAACGTTTATTAACGTATCGCGTCGCCTAACCACTTGTTCTGAAAGCAATTCATTCCCCACGAAACGTGCATATTTTTTTTTTTTTTTTCTATTATTTTCTCCTCCTTTTGAATATTCTATGCTTGTCCTTGCAATGAAATAAATACCTTTGGTGTTAGGGGCGATTTTTAAAAATTTGGAGAGCTATCATTTCTCGTCGTAATATCGTTCCCGATATTTCTTATGGTGTCTAGCAAATTCATCGATGATCCCTGAAAAAAATTGACAAACCTCGAAATTTTCTCGTCCTCTAAGTTAATCGATGACCATTCTACAAATTGAAAATTTTTGCTTCGCGCGAGTATCCAAACTTTATTGGGGAAAATTTTATTTTTAAATTTTCTCGTCTTCCAAATTAACTGACGGCCATCTTCAAAATTTTTGCACGAGTATCTAAACGTTCTCCAAATCCTCCCCCCCCCCCTCGACTTCTAAATTATTTAAAAGTTCACTCGCCAAGGGAAGCGAACAGCTTGTAAAAATCTGTCAACGATTTCCTCGGCAGCCTGCCATGTCGTGTAAAATCGATTGATCCGGGCCGATACAACAGTAAAGAAGCCGGAGTTCTCGAGAGGCGACAAAAGAGGTCAGGAGGAACAAAGGCGGCGAGGCAAACAAAACCTCGACTAGCTAAGAAGAAATTCGAGGGACAACAAAAAAAATAAAAGAAAAAAAGGAAGAGAAAAGAGAAAAAGAGAGAAAAAAGACGAAAGTAAAAAGAAAAAAAGAAAAAATGGGAACAAGGTACGATATATAACGCGGCCGCAATGATAAGCAATTTACACGTAAGCAATTTAAGTGTATCAAAGTTAAGACAGTCGGCTCATTTAGATAAGGGAACTCGAACAAAGCTAAACTTATGTACGTGCGTATATACCGGGTGAAATTTTCTGAAATTTTCTGAAATTTTCCGTGTTGCAATCGGCCAGGGTCTGACTCTAAAAAATAAGTCGAGGAAAAAGAATAAAATTTTTCCACGCGACGCTTCGTTTTCGGGAAAATCGAGTTTGAAAATTTCAAAAATTTTATAGAATATAATGCTCGAATTTAGCTAATTTCAGACGTGACAGAAAAGAATGATTAGTGAGGGATTATTCTATGCGTGAAAATAAGTGAAAAATGAATAGGATAAAATTTTTTTTTTAAAGATGCTTCGTTTTGGAGAAAATCGAGTTTCAAAATTTTATAGGTTATGCTTGAATTCAGCTGATTTCAGACGTGACAGAAAAGAATGATTAGTGAGGGATTATTCTATGCGTGAAAATAAGTGAGAAATGAATAGGATAAAATTTTTTTTTTAAAGATGCTTCGTTTTGGAGAAAATCGAGTTTCAAAATTTTATAGGTTATGCTTGAATTCAGCTGATTTCAGACGTGACAGAAAAGAATGATTAGTGAGGGATTATTCTATGCGTGAAAATAAATGAGAAATGAATAGGATAAAATTTTTTTATAAAGATGCTTCGTTTTCGAGAAAATTGAGTTTCAAAATTTTATAGGTTATGCTTGAATTCAGCTGACTCCAGACGTGACAGGAAAGAATAATTAATGGAAGAGTATTCAAAAATAAATAAGAAATGTGGAATAAAATTTTTTTGTAAGATGCTTCGTTTTCGAGAAAATCGAGTTTGAAAATTTTATAGGTTATACTTGAATTCAGCTAATTTCAGACGTGACAGGAAAGAATAAAAGAGTATTCAAAAATAAATAGGAAATGTAGAATAAAATTTTTCTGTAAGATGCTTCGTTTTCGAGAAAGTCGAGTCTTCAATCAAAAGGATTTATTCTCTTTTTTTCGACTTTTATTTTCATGCAGAAACACTTCTTGGCTGGTTGTACGAATTTCGGAAACACCCTGTATATGCGTCGTTAGCAACGCAACACTATCCAAGCGAAATATTAATCTAAAACCTTAATAAATTTCGTGTATGTATTCTTCTCTAGTATAAATTTATTATAAAATATTATAATTATATATATTTATTTAAACATTAGTATATATTTATTATAAATATTATAATTATAATATTACTATATTTATTATTTTATTATAATTATTTATTTATATTTATTCATTAATAATTTTTCAACTACTGTGTAAAACTGGTGTATTTTTTTTTTTTTTATAGTTGCACGAACAAAGCAACGAATTTTCACGAATTTAATGATTCTTAAGCCAATGGACGATGCGAAACCATTGAATCGCTACGACGGCACCGTTAACACAGAGCTGTCCGACTTCTCAACCCACGCTCGCGGTACCGGAAGTCTAACTGAAGCTGGAAGTGGAACTGAACCAGGTGGAAGGAAAACTCAAGCAAATCGGAAGAATTTCTTCTCGACCCTACCTCGTACGATCGAGTCACAGTTTTTTCTTTTTTTTTTTTTTCTACTGTTAGAAAATTTTCAAAGAGAACGTGAAAGAATCGTTTGCCCTGTTTTATAATCGTAGGTACGAATCAGTAGCTAAATATCGTCTGAACACGCTGGTCACGAGTTAATTCGCATTCGCACTTGCATCAGAATCAGCAATTAACAAATGGTGTTGGCAAATTTAGCAATTAACGAAGCTTCTTCTGCTGCTGAAACTAGCGTTGTGAGCCAGCAACAAGATAGAATCGAAACCGGACAAGATGACCGAGGCACCAAAATTTCGAAAATTCCAAAATGCAACGTTGAGAAGTCTGGATGGAATGTTAGAAGAGAGAAAAAAAAAAAAAAGGTGTCTATCGATCGAAAGTGACGTCATACCACAATCGCACTGTGAATCGTTTTATTCGCAAATTGTGAGGTACGTGGTCGTGTTACGTGGTCGTAGAATTGCGAAACTGACCGGTGGGATCACTGCCATGGACAAGGTGGCGAAGAAACGCGAAGGAAGGCGTGACGAAACGAGAGGAGCCCGCGTCACGAAGCGAACATCGCCGCGGAACGTTTCGCACTGCAGGCACTCTCTTATCATCGTCTGCCTCGTCGTGTACCTGACAACGTTTACAAGTAACAGGTAACACCCGCGCGAGTACACCAGTACAGCACACGAATAAATATCTGTCCCGCATCACACGTCACACGTATCTATTTGTTCAGGTAACACACGTCCGCGCAAGAACGAGCGCGACGACGATCGTGTAGAGAACAATGGAGAAAATCTGGTTATCGTTACGATCGTTATTAATTCATTAGCGAGCAAAGATAGTTTTTGATTAATTTTGATTAATTGACAAGTAATTGATATATGGCGGCTTTTAAATTAATAATAATTAAACAAGTTTAAATAATAGTTTAAATAATAATTAAAAGTTCTTAATTGATTTCCAATCAATTCAATTACAATTGAATCGTTCGAAATTTTTTTCGTTTCGAAAAATTTGGGGAAATTCGGGATTGTTCTTTGTCATTTTTGGTAAGGAAAATGACTCCCGAAAAACGATTTTCAGAAAATCGTCATAAAATTATTCGATTAACTGCTGGAACTGGATGAAAAAGTGGCAAATAAATGACAGAACACTGGGGAATTCCCATTTCACGTCCATTGAAAGTTTAAGTAGCAACGATTAATAATGCAAGTAATTAATTGCAAGTAATTCTCTCTTATCAGAACGCAGCGCCGGCTCGATAAACGTTCCATGGCGCCATAAAATTCCTCTAACTGTGCACTTTATTTACAAGTTGGACAATGTACCGAACTGAACGAACGAACGCGGTGGTAAACGTTTTTCTGAACGTGGACTGGCAAGACGAAGATAAGGAAAGAACGAATATTACTAATCTGATCTAAAGAGAGCGCGACAAACAGTGGGTACATATATATATATATATATCTAGCGAGCAAAATAAAAACAAAAGATCCAGTTGCAGAGGACTATAGAAATATAAAGAGATAATTCTTATTTTCCTTTTTGTAAGGAAATATATTATACTATTAGTTATTATAGAAATATAGAAATTATTATACCATAGAAATGTAGAAATATAGAAATTACTATATTATAGAAGTATAGAAATTACTATATTATAGAAATATAGAAATTATTATATTATAGAAATATAGAAATTATAGAAATACAAATTATATTATAGAAATACAAAAATATAGAAATTACTATATTATGGAAATGCAAAAATATAGAAATTACTATATTATAGAAATATAGAAATTATTATATTATAGAAATATAGAAAATTACTATATTATAGAAATACAAAAATGTAGAAATTACTATATTATAAAAATATAGAAATTACTATATTATAAAAATATAGAAATATAGAAATTACTAGAAATATATTATACTATTAATTATTATTATTATTTTTGAGGAAATATATCATATTAATTATTATATGTGTATTATTAACTATATTATACTAATTATATTAATTATAAGAAATTGTCGACTGAATGAATTTCTATTGATGAATAACCATGTTTTGATTCCATAAAACGTCTCCTTGAGAGTCGTTCACTTCGCAATGTCGAGTACGCAAAACTTCTTGGTAACGAACGATAGAACATCGTTGTCGTTGTACTCGCGATTAGTAGCAATCAACATCGCGAGGCGGCTGCTTCCGTTACGGATTACGTTTACACAATACCGCAAAAACGTTCAATAAATCGTGCCACTGTTTTCCATTTTATCCACGATTTCGATTATTTATAGATTACTTCTATTTTTTTTTTCCCCTCCCCCATTGATCAAGCATGGAATTCTCCTCGCGACGTTGCTGAATTCCGAACAAAGCTCACGTACTCAGAAATTGAACTAGGAATATGTGTTTATATAGGGTGGGCCAAAAGTTTCTTCCCATTTTTTTTTTTTTTTTTTTAATAAAACGTCAGGATATGAGAGAAAACTAATTTTAATTGATCTTAAATTAAATTTAGATTCAAACATTATTTAGTTTTAAATTTTATGATTTCTTTCAAATGTTAAACGCCATGTATAATAAAAATATTACGCATTTTAGTGATTCTTGACCTGATCGGTATAACAGTTGGTATAATCGAAGCAATAAATTCAATGTTTTTTTTTCTTCTTGTTCGTTTGTACAGCTTGTTGAATAATTAAGGAACGTGAGACTTATTGCGCAGCTATCAAATATCAGAATTCTTCGAAATCGAAGTTACAATCGTGATTAATAGCAATGTGATATTTAGATTAGATATCTTTGAAACAAATTCTTACGTACTGATTCTATTTTTTTAGTCGCGTATGAATTTGCGATTGACGATGTCATTGAATTATCAATTGCTGTTTTTTAATTTTTAATTAAAAATTATTTCAATTTTTGAAATACTTGGTCGCTACACTTTGCTCGAGAAATCGATACACGACTTGTGAATTTTTGCTTTGTTTCCAACGCTCGTATCTTATCAGCTTCAGAGTCGTATCGAATAAGATATATACTACGTTCTCGTTTAAAGAATCGCCATGAAAATTTATAAAAAGCATAGTTACCAGGTAGTGACCTCGAGGTTTTGTGTTTCAAACATTTCTAAGTAATTACAGTATTGTTATTAATCCACTTGATTAATTTTGTTCGCACGAGCATCTATAATAACCCACGAAATATTGTGAATTCATTTCTTTATTATTCAATGATTCAAAAATACTTTTCTATAATATCGTGAAATAAATGAAAACAAAAAAAATTAAATATATAAATATACTGTTGGCAATTGAATCAACCTCTGAAGTTCAAGCCAATTCATACTTTCAAAAAAAAAAAAATAATAATAATAATAGTATACGATCCTCACAATTTTTAATGGTGATCCGTAGAGTTGAATCGCTTCAATTCCAACTTTCACGTGAATACAAATAAATGACAAAAGTATAAGAAATTAAACGATCAAAGAAAATTAAATAATTCATACGGAATACGAACATTAGTTACCTCACGTATCTATTATGTATACATTACCGCTCATAAGTGACATAGCAAACAAGAAATTGATAATTACGAACATTAATATTGCGATTGCATATTAACTTTTCAAAATCAAACTTTGTCTCGTCATTGTAATAGTCTCTTGTATCATAAACGTAACCATAAAGTCTTTTTCAAAATTGTCATTATCCTTTAAACTTGATTACAAGTAGAATTAGTACCCACCTCCATGTAAATTTTCATTCGACTTTAATTTTAATTTTAAATTATAAATAGTTAATAATTATTATAAATAATAATTGTAATAATTATAAATAGTTGACAATAATTTTCCTATTTTTCTATAGTATCGAATAGCAACAAAAAGTTCAACCCTTTGAACTCTCAAACTCTATGTCACGCCGGAGGTGACAATACAAATTTGGGAATTGTCTTAAAAATTAAAAAATTATGGAAAATAAGTTATATTGCAATAATAATAACAGCAAATAAAAAGACATTGAATTCTACCTTGTTTATGTTAGACTAAATTAAAGTGAACACGCAAGGATAAATCGAAAGCACATCCGAGTACAAAAGGTTCATCGCACCTTGTATTTGCATTTCGTTTTTAATCTTCAATTATAAGTTCTAAAACAATAAAAAAGAAAAAGAAAAATGTATTTCAATCGCAAGTCGAGTTCAAAAGGACTTTAATTGTACCTTGTATTTGCATTTCATTTTTAATCTCCAATTTTTTAAGTTCTAAAACAACGTAGAGGCCGATTTGAATTTCACCCGTATTACAGAATCAAACAGCCTCTTTAAGGGTTAAGTTGGACACTGAGAAACACCGCATATTCGGATTATTTTTGAGTGATAACGTGTTGCGTATCCGTCAAAATCGCGATGCTATTTGAGCGAACCGACCCTCCCCCTACCACCTCGTATAGCCTCCCTTGCGAGATAGACACACGACTTTTTCCAACACGTCACTCCATTAAGGACACTTCTACGTGCTCGCCGAACGATTGGGAATCGATAGGGGAGGAACAGAGCCGTGTGCACACCTGTCGACCATCGAGCGCTTCCAAACACCAAAAACCACGAGCGCTCGGCGCACGCGAAACTTGACCTACGTCCGGTATAAATTATACAACAATCCTCTGTGATCGATTCGCGAGCTACGAACGGCACAACAACTGCGAAAACAACAGACCGCACCGACTCACGACTCGTAACAGACGCGACGACGAACTGCCAGTTGCGTGTTGTACGTTAACAAACATTATTTGTCGAATGGTGTTTGTTAGGGAAAAAGAAAAAAAAAAGGGGGGGAAACGAACGACAGAATATATATACGAGGGCAAAGAGCGTAGACAACGCCTCTACTCTGTGTCACACCGCGTGGTACTCGCGCCGTACGCAAGATATTGACTGAACTTGGGGGTTGGTACGCGATCGTATACGGTCTATCTGCTAGGGGTCCCTACGATAACAATCCACCGCGATAGGGAATTTTGGATTGATACGGAAGCGAAAAGAGGCGAAGGAAGGAAAACTAGATTGAAAGGGAGCAAGAGAGAGAGAGGGAGAGAGAGAGAGAGAAACGCGCGCAGTTCGTAAAAATAGAGGCGCTGGCACCGTCGATGATAACGCGATCGACGAGGTACGATTGTCGGTACGTCGTCGTCGTAAATATATCGAAAAGCTTCAATCACCCGTGGGACATTTGTCTCTTCTTTCGAGAAAATTTTGAAAAAGAAAATGAGAAACGGGCGTGAAATTTTTGAGTGGAGAAAGTGGGAATTGGATTAAACTTTTGAAAATATATTTTTACACGTTTCCATTGATGTTTCGATTGGAAAGTGACTTTTGACGAAAGTGAATGAAGTCGGACCCGTTGTCTAAATTTACGACGTTGTTAGAAAGAGCGAAAATAGGCATTCATACATCAAAGACTCAAGGATACCTATTTTGGGTTAATTGCACAATCAATCACTAAGCTCAATAATAAGATTTTACCTAACATAGATTTACCAACTCGAATAATCCGCCGTAATTATGAATTAAATTCACATGAAACAAAGATCAAGATAATCTAGCTTGATAGATTTATAAAGCATCAATTTGTTACTTTCAATCAAGCAGTCTAAATGAACATGACAGAGTACATATAAAGATACTGATTGAATCAAATTCATACTGAATCAAATTTACCAATATTATTGAACGTTATATTGAATCAAGTTCATCAATATTATTTAACAGTATCATTGTTCAAATTTAGGCCGATATCAGTTCCAGAATAAAAGCGGCATAAAGCAATTCCAACGATCACTGTCAGTCACATCCGATTGTCAGTATCGCCATCAATTTGGCAACAAAAGTAAACAAATGACAATGCATTTACCTGATTTTATAGCAGTATCCATCTTTTTAATCTCTCCATACAGGATAACAGCCAGCCAGGACAGCGCTATCAACCAGAACGTAATGAAAACCGCTGCCAACCATAACGATATGATCCTCATGTCAGATTTGCTGCATCCGCAAGAATCAGTCTGTTTCATTTTCCCTATACTACTTGGCCGATGTTTCCTACAACATGGAATATCAAAGTTTTCACGCCATCCATCTAATAAGAATTTCAGCATATTGTTAGACGAAAGACCTGTTACAGATTTGAAAAACGTGCCCTTTTCGCCTTACCGTTTGACCTTTTTCTTTTTGGGCGTAAAATCCAAATCCGACACATTGGAATCACTGTCGGACAGCAGGTCGAGCAGATTTATCGTTTCCTTGTTGTTCGAACTGTTCATCGTGATCGGAGAATCATAGCACGGGTCATGAAGATAAAAGACAGATGCGAAATTGTGTTAACGGCCAGCTCGATAACATAACCTCTCTGATCGAGTTATCAGTCATTAAGGGATCCAATCGTACTTGACGACTGTCTAATATTCACTTTGATCACGTGTTACGCAACGCTCTTGAGACTGCGTTTGATTCTCGCGCATTATTGCTTTGTTACGGTTGCAATCAAACTATCCATCCCCCCGTCGTGTCTTTCACATAACCTGTACTCGCGCATTCTTACGCAGCACGTTTTCTTTTCGCACCGCTCTGACATCTGACGGATGAAGAAGTGAATAAGAAAAGAAAAACCATGAAAATACGCGTTTAACGGATGTTTTGCTGCAATTGAATTTATTCAGTGAGATCAATCTTATCTTGCGTGTGTTCGTCGTTTATTCGTTTATTTAATTTCATCGTGTAAACTACGTAACACTGTTAATTTAACTACGTTATATATATAATATTTGATTTATAATTATTTATCGTGATTTTAAAACAGTGCTTAATTTTAACAGTTATCGATCAATTTGAATGAATCGCAACCGAATTTATAAAGTTAAGCAGGTTCATTTTTTTGTTTCAAGTAATTTGATTCAAAATTGAATTTCCAATTTAGCGTTTCTCCAAGCTATCCTTGGTTTCTTTAGCTATCCTTGCAATATATTATTATTTAGGTATTTTTGTTACAATTAAAAATATTCTTCTTCGAGCATTGACTATCAATTGCTAATTAAATTTGTTAACGAGCTCTAAACATTCACAAACATGTCGTTAGAATTATCACACATAGAATGAACATGAAGAAATAACATTTGTTAGAATAATTATGTCAATGAACGTAAAATAATTCACACCTTCGTTGTAATAACGAAAACAAACCTTGTACAGTATTGTCTTTCTCTGAATTCTTTTTTTTTTTCATATCCTTTCGTTTAGGGCCTTACTGTACACTTTAGGCTCAATACGTCGTACGAATGGTCCTTCTAACGCATTAATTAGTGTGCATAGCACGTTACAACGCTTTCCATTGGAGAAGACATCGCATCCGGTAGGAGTCCGGTCAAAAACGGTCTACGTGGATCGCATGTGACTTCGTTGTAAATTTATCGAAATTTTATATCGTTAATTTAATTCGCTCTCCGGTATTCGTTTACCTTGGGAAAGGAAATATTTTTGTTAACAAGTTTGTAGAATATTCAAAGTTTAAAAAAAAGAAAAACTAAATTACAATTTCTTTTTAACGCGTGCGTGTGACTAAAAATGAAAACACTGTGTACATTGTTCTGCTTGATATTTGCTTTTAAAATTTATTTAGACATACACACATGTACTTCTCTCTTCGAATCCTCAAACGGTACGTATGTACATCTTTTCAATTGATACTTTTCAAATGTTTCTCCAATTGTCTTTTAAGATTTGTTACTGAAATTAGAAACGAAGATTTCTCGTTTGTTCCCGGTAGTTAAAAGTGTTGGTGTCTGAACGTTCGGCTGGCTGGATGTGACACAGCCGAATTTTAAAAAACATCAGCTATGCCGACATCTTGCCTTCGGGGCGCTCAGTTGATAACGTGGTTTCCTCTTGTTAGAGCCAATACCATGTTAGATCCAATTTCCAATAACATTCAAACAGAACATTCAAACAGAACATTCACTCACAGAACACTTTAATACCTTAAAGAATCTAATCTATGAATGCAATTGTTTTCGCCCCTCTGTAATTGCTTTATATCGTTTCAGTTACAATATAAGGTTGAAACAAACGTCAATAATTCAAAAAAATTAGACTACATGATATTGTCAAAAGTATAATGTAAAAAATATAGGAGGATCTAGTTGAAGAAAGACAAATGTCCTTAGGAGCACAATTAAGAAATGTAGCCCAAGCAGATGCAGACATCTACATTTTTATAAATTGTACATGAGTGTGTATTGCATGTATTTTTCTTTTAATTATTCGCCTAAGTAAATTTTTTCATTAATTAATTGAAGTTCCTTAATTAAACCGATTGGCAGGAATCAAATCAACAAGAAAAAGGAAAAGAAGCACGACTCACCAGTCTTACCTCAACAAAACGACAAACAAAATTCCCAAACACGACAAGTGTACAAGACACAACGTTCGCCGCAGCCGTCTTGAGATTTGATGGCTCTTCGAAGAGGACGAACGGTAGTAGAAAGTACAGTAAAATCGACGCGTGATTCGAAAGAGACACCTGCACGAGACTGGAAGCTCGCCAAATAACTGATAGCGTAGGCGTTGTACCTTCGAAGACGACGTCGAACGACCAAAGTCGAGAGGGGGTGAAGCTTCCCTGTTCTTCTTGTTCCATTGGTCGGGAACCGATTGTGCGATTTGTGTCTTCCTCCTCTCCTGTCTCCAGCTATTCCCGATCGTTCGCATTGTCGGCATTAACGAGTTACCACCTTCCGGTCAGCAAGGCGTTAATGAAGATCTTTTGTAGGAGCAAAGCTGCGAATTGTTGCACCGGTCGAGTCGTCATCGGTTGTCCCGATTTGGAGACGTGGCTTGAATAAGAAGATTCGTCATACCAACATGATGGATATCTGCCATGGGGATTTCAGACGTTTTCAATTCACAAGTTATGATCGTTGGATTCGTTGGATCGAGTTGGTTTTCTGATATCTTTTTTTCTCATTTTTTCTCATGTTCAGAGGCTTGAAAGATATAGATGTTAGCGATGAATATCATGTTTTCAAGTCAGTCATAATCTATTGAATGATTATCCAAGTTTTCACACCATGGAAAGATTTACTATGTTAAGGTACAAAATGTATAACTGTTTCTTCCGAGATGAAGATGGAATTTTAAATCATGAAGTAATTGTTTTCTCGGTTGCTTGACATTCTGCAAGATTCTGCTACGCGAAGAGAATCTTTTACCATGTTTATAAGTGATGCAATGTACCTACAAAATTTAATACATGCATCTACAAGTGATAGCGGCACATATTAATATATTAATTTAATTTATTAATATCATTTATATTATATATTAATATAATAATATAATATATTAATATAATTTAATATGTTTGTAGTTTAAACAAAACTTAAGATCCAATTGGAAATTGGAATCTTTCTATTCTACAATTGTATTTTCATACAATTACATATACAATATTGTAACTATACTTTACACATCTTGTCCATTCTTGCATCTTTCAGTTTCTCTGTCTCAGTCTTTTCGAACTTTATCAACTTTATCAACAAGCAATCACTACGATCTTTCAGCTTGTCAAACTCTGTCACGTCGAGTCACAATGAAAGTTCAACCTGTGCCACATCGGATATTCCAGGCGACGATGTGTCTTCAAGTAAATACACGTCAGAAAATTACAGTGAACTCGCGAAATTGCAGAGATTCGATGGAACGGAGCAACGACCTCGGGAATTGCGATTCCACGCATGACCAGCCGGAAGTGCGTCGAAAAAGAGGGCGTAAAAGACCTACTTCCTAAGAAGAGGATGAATATAGACAACTATAGAAAGCATTCCACTGGGTGGAGGGCTCGATCACGAGCGAAGGATCCTTCGGTTCTCCGTGACTTCCGGTTCTTAGTATCGCGCGGCGATGCTACGCGCGTGTGCACGCCAACGCGGTGACCGGATATGGCTGGAAGAACCGACTGACCAAATCGTTCAACGAAGAACCGTCGCCTCGTGTATCAAGCTTTTCATGCGGATCACGCGTTCCCCTGTACCAAATACCAAGCTTTTATCGGTGACATCATACTTTGCGCTGTGTGCACGTACACCTACCTGTGCGCCGGCGTGTACAGGTGAACGTGTGACAAAGTATACAGTTGGATGGTCGATTACATGTATGTACAAGATAGGTGATTTACAAAAAACGAGGTCTGCCATGAACAGATTATTGTATTCGAGAGATTAGTAATATCCCAAGTGGTAACTTTGAGTCTTTTTTTTTTTATAAACATATAGGAGTCTAGAAATATCTGATTGAAGAGAACAGAATTGAAAAAAGGAAAATTATAAAAGGACAATCTTGAGTATTAAACGAGTATTAAACCAATGATCACAAAAATTGTAAAAGCTGATAATACTGATGGATTCTAAGGACAAACACAAAAGTGACATATTAGGAGAACAAAAGGAAAAAGACGAGCAAGCAGAGAGAGAAAGAGAGAGAGAGAGAGAAAAGGTCCCATTCGTAGCCCCATCGAGATTTTCCTTCTGCTCTTCCTTTGTCACGACGCTCACGTGACGAAGCCGGCAATACGGAGAAGAGAGAAAAGAATCCAGAGAAGAATAATTAATCAGCAAGCAAATCACGTACACAAGGATGCATATATAAGACCATAGAACGTCGTGTACTTACACAAACGAACGAAAGGAACGGACGTACGCGTGTGGACCCTGCGTGTACACACCTTCCATACTTCCATCCGGTTCTAGATTATTCGGATGCCTAATTTTGTCCTCGCAGAAAAATCGACCAGTGGAAGTACATACGCAAACTGTCATGTGAACGAACAAAATAAATTGCTCTATACTTGAAATTTTCGAGCACCTTCGTTGCCTTGATGTAAGAAAATATGGCTTAATTTCAACTTGTCATTCAGGCATTTCAGTTTTTCAATTTCTAAACTTTTATTTGTTAATGTTTCTTGTTGATTATTTTGTTTTTACTAATAAGATTTAATGATTTCCTTTTAATGATCTTCTAAATACTTTGATATATTTATTTATATATACCTGTGATAAATACTTTGATATATTTATTTATATATACCTGTTTATTGTACTTTAATGATGATCTTCTAAAGAAGACTTGATAATATTAAAACTAAATATCAGTTCTATTGCAAATAAATGCATTTATGGCTCAATTGGTGAATAACTTGTTGAAATATAATTTGTTTGTATAGTTTGATAAATACTTTGATATATATATTTATATATACACTTGTTTATTGTACTTTAATGATGATCTTCTAAAGAAGACTTGATAATATTAAAACTAAATACCAGTTCTATTGTAAATAAATGCATTTATGGCTCAATTGGTGAATAACTTGTTGAAATATGACTTGTTTGTATAATTTGATAAATACTTTGATATATATGTTTATGTAATTTGATAAACTACCAATCTACTTGTAAAATTTGTAAAATATGTCGTACATGAGATACGTTTTACGATTGTTACAGAATAAATGGAATACGACAGCTGTTGGTGCTTGTGGATATTGAAGAGTTAAGATAATGGAAACTGAAACGCTAGAGAAATATGAAGAATCATGAAAGAGTCGCTAGAATTCGAGCTTCCGATCGGCGAAGTCTCGCGAATCACCCCCGCGACTGAAGAAAGGAGCGAAAGGCAGCAACGAAAGGAAGAATTTCGAAGGAAGTAGGCCGTGCAAATGAGGAGTCGCCTGTCGAGTTGCTCTAAAACTAAAAAAAGAAAAAAAAGAATCTGGTTGCTAATTGAAGAACAAGCAGGCATAGTTCAATCTGGCTTTCTGCTTGAAAAATCGCAACGTCAACAATCTCACTTGGCCACGCAATTATGGTACGAAATCTCCGCCAATTCTTTCACTCTGCAAATCACAGAAACGTTTTCAAATGTTTCTGAAATATTTGCAGCTCTTTATCCCTACTTTCCCTTTCACGTTTTTTAAACGAAAGAAAGGAATTTAGCTTAAAAAAAAAAATTGTGAGACTTTTATTCTCTCTCAAAAGGGTGCAAAAGTCTTAATCATTCCATCTTCTCTCTTTTCCCAATTTGAAAACGAGAATGGAAACAATGAAATTAAACGTGAACTTGTCTTTATTACCCGCATTGTACATACAGCTATTCCATTCAGATTAATTTATTTGACATACACATTTAAAGAAAAAGAATCAAATCCTCCCTCCAAATATATAACATCAATATACAGGGTGGGTCAAAAATCAATCTGCAATTCTTTTACTATGTATGTTTCTTAATTTTCTTCCTTACAGATTAATGAAATGAAAAGTTTCTCGTGTTCGAGAACTTAAATTTAATTTAAAATTAATAATAATAAAATTAGCTTTTCCTTATATTTTGATTGGAAGAAGAATAGGTGAGGAACCTTTGGCCCACCTTGTATCACGAACAAACGTACGATATTTAGTATAATTTATATCGTGTATAGGTACCGATCATTAACGATAATAATTAACCGCAGTTGAGAGGAACGCGATAATAAGCCTCACCTGGCAGCTTCTCCGTCTCTAAGCCGTTTTACAAGCGACTCATAATCGACAGTAGTTTAATTTGCAAGCCCTCGATACAATTATCACCGACATCCGTATGTTCATTAAGATTATATTATTATCTCGGCCACTAATGTCGTGGCTGAAAATAATCGGGCGTGCAATCTTCCACGCAAATACCGCACTGAACTCTAATAGTCTCCGTTACATAATTTGACCGCACGATCGGAACATTTTCGCCTCGAAACGCGCGCAAAAGAAAAACCGATCAGTGGACCGAGACTATTCACATATTTTTCTCTGAAAATTTACATATATACATATATTTATTTATTTATTTTTTTTCAAATAGATATAATCGAAAAAATGAAGCCTAAGCAGAAACTTGCTTCACACCATAAATGTCACGATGAACATTTTATTTGTCAGTTTATTTTCGTGTGCTTCGTGCACCTTTAAATTTCACGAATCACAAGTACAAGTAAAAGTCCGTGAGTTCGACTAAAATTAATTAAAAAAGAAAAGAAGTAAAAAGCCAAGCAGCTCGAAACCTTACCTCCGATTTTACGGAACAATTTCAACATCTCCAATTGTCCAACGTGACAATTACTTCCGAATCGTTCGTTCACGCGAGTTTCACTTTGTCGCCAGTCCCATTCGAATCATTTCGATTCGCGTGGAGGCGTTATCGGTCGACACGCGCCGCGAGATCGATCGAGGAACGAGCCGAACTGACTGACTGAGAATTCCCATTAAGATAACCGCGATCCGCGATACAACGAAACGAATGGGGAAAAAAAAAAAAGAAAGGTATTGTTTCGACCGGTTTTCCTGAGGCATCGAGGAGACTTTTTATCTGAACGATGTATCGCCCCCTTCCGCTTATCGCGAAACCATAACTGATAACTCTTTCTTTCTCTTTCTTCTCTCCTCCTCTCCCCCTCCTTGAACCCCCCCCCCCCCCTTCCGTGGTTTATCGAGTCGAGTGTAACAGGTAGCCGATGACACGGTTGCGACGAATCAACGAACCTCGCCGCGATTATCGAGCCGTTTTCACGGTTCGTGGCTCGTGAACACCGCGACCCGTTTGCAGATCAGTGTCGCCCCGACCAGGAAATCGGTCTCGTCTTACAGGATGCCGGTGCGTCAATATTGACACGTTTCTTACGAAAGCACCGGTGAAAAGAGGAAGGAGCGAGCAGAGAAGGAGGGAGAGACAGAAAGAGAAAGAGAAAGAGGTATAGGAGGAGGAGGAGGAGGAAAGAATTGAGAATTTCAATGAAGTTTTCAGGAGGTGGCAGGAACGAGGAGATAAAGAGGGAGAGACAGAAAGAGAAAGAGAAAGAGGTGCAGGAGGAGGAGGAGGAAAGATTTGAGATTTTAAAGAAGTTTTCAGGAGGTGGCAGGAACGATGAGAGAAAGAAGGAGAGATAGAAGGAGAAAGAGAAAGAGGTGTAGGAGGAGGAAAGAATTGAGATTTCAAAGTTTTCAGGAAGTGGCAGGTACGAGGAGAGAAAGAGAAAGAGAAAGAGGTGGAGGAGGAGAAGGAAAGGATTGAGATTTCAAAGTTTTCAGGAGGTGGTAGGAACGAGGAGAGAAAGAGAAAGAGAAAGAGATGGAGGAAGAGGAGGAAAGAATTGAGATTTCAAAGAAGTTTTCAGGAAGTGGCAGGTACGAGGAGAGAAAGAGAAAGAGAAAGAGATGGAGGAGGAGAAGGAAAGAATTGAGATTTCAAAGAAGTTTTCAGGAGGTGGTAGGAACGAAGAGAGAAAGAGATGGAGGAAGAGGAGAAAAGAATTGAGATTTCAAAGAAGTTTTCAGGAGGTGGCAGGATTTCAAGGTGGCTAAGACTTTGGAAGAGTTCAGGGCCATTCGCATGATTAATAATGACACGATTCTATAACAGGATGGAAGTGATACACTGCACAGGATTAAAGAGATGATTAATAAATTATTTTACGTGGGTAACTCAAGTATTAGAAGATTCAGAAATTGAATTATGTTATACACAGTTAAGGGTAGAACAAGGTTGTTATTGAATGATCTTTTTATTGAACGAAGATGATCTCCAAGGATGGATCACTGACAGATGTTTAGAGAGAGATTGCAAGGATGCATGAAACTTTTTGAAATGTAAAGTTACATTTTACATTGAAGAAACTAAAATTGCTTTTTTCTTTTTAATTAAAGTTTGAAAATTTACAGCTTTGCAGCAAAAAAAAAAGAGAATTCCAAAATCTGAAAAGATTTGAAAATTTAAAATTAGGAATTCGTAATATTTCAAAATTTTACAATGTAATCTGAATGTTTAAAACTTAAAAAGTCGCAACATTTTTAAGACTTAAAAATATTTAATAAATGGAAACCAAGAACGTGGACATTGGAAAGATTTGAAAGTTAACAAATTTTAAATAGCAGAAAGTTTGAAGCGTTGAGGAGTATTTTGAAATTGAATGCCTGTCAAAGCCTGATTCCATTCGGATAATGGAATTTATCTCGGCACAGTATCCGTAATCGTTGATCGCGGAAACAGGAAACTGATACGATCGATCAATGGGCAGTGGTAACGATAATTAACTCCATAATATTACGACCCAACAGTTGCGAGAAATTTTCCTGTTATAGTGGCAAATTTTCTTACTAAGGCACACATCTATCTAATGAATCAATAAACACAACGAAAAAACACTCATTGTAATTGAACAAGTTTGTAAATAACACTTATATATATATATATACATGGTTGCAACAGGAAGAAGATAATAAACGTGAAAATTTAATTGTCAACACTTTTATTGTTCATTTGTGTTAAACTTTAGTCGTTTACCAAGAAACGCTAAATAACAATAATAACGCGTATGTAACATTATAATGTGAACATTGGAAAGAAATAGGAATACGAGGATATTTAAATACATAAATTCTTAAAAAGCAAACATAAAAAATCGAGGGACAACAAAGTCGTAACAACATCCACTGCCTTATGTCAGTTCCTCTTAACCAATTCTTGACAAATATTTCTGACAATACATAGTAAATAACATTGTAACAAAATTACCTTGATGTGTTTAACGTTGTGCGATATCGTTAAGTAGAATCATTGACAATAATTTGTGCAATAGAACAACAAAAATTGCACGCTATATATCACCTGTTTTTAACTATTCAACTGATTATAAGAAGTATCACAAAGAATGTAAAATATAAGATTTGAAACATTCCAATCTTTTGTTGTGACTGAAATAAATCTTTAATCAAGGATGTCTATCTAGTGAAGCCGAATTCAAGATTATCAAGTGTTAATTGTAGAAAATTAAATTTTTCAATGCGTTTGTAACAAGCTGAACATGCATTTGAATATGTTTCTCTTTTACATTGGTGTAAAAGTACTATCATTATATTTCTCATATTATCTCCTATTAATACTTTGAACTTCTCACTACAAAATTGGCTATCAATATTGGCATTTTCTTATAATTAAACTTGAACGTGTGTAATTCGGTAAATATTTCTTAATTAAATATGCGTTTTAATCTTTTGAACTATTTACTCTCTGCTTCGTATCCTATGTAAATTGAATTTGAATTATAAATGTTGCATACATTTGTTAAGGATATAAAAACAAAACATTACATAAATTAACAATTACATAGTAACTTCAGTCTCTTGGAAATGAAAGAATTGTTTCTCCTTCAAAAACGTAACTTGATAAAACATCAACAGCCCAACTTATCCTTATAAAAGGATCAACATTAACAAATCACTTGAATTCTAATAAATATAATATCTAATAAATATAATAAATCCGATATGATTCTCATTAGAAACAATCGTTAGAATACAAAAAAAAAAACTCAACAAAGTTTATTAAAAACACGAATACGTAAATGTATGCAATTAACTATAAAATTCGATGGTGAGAACATTGAAATGCTATAGATTAATTTCGCTTTAAATTGAATCGAGAGATACCTTAATACGATAATATATGACAAAGCAGACTATTGCGCGTTTGTGCTTCTAAACTATCCCACACAGGATCATAAAATGCACATAGTCACGTTGCTTCGATGAACAATATTCTCGACCGTAAGAATAACAATAAAAAGATAATCATCACATGGTGATCGCTTTGCAGTATTTCTATACCTTTCGGACTACTATCTGCTTTTACAGATTAAGATTGTTGTTTCTCTGGCATTTAAAAATTAAATAAAGCTATGGTTCTAAGGCATACGTTTGATATGCTAAATCACGGTAGCTTACGATAACTACAATCGAAAATTTTTACAATTATTATCTTCGCATCGTTCTACCTTAACTTAGCCCTATCTCAAAAATTTCTTTCGATCTAATAACGTGCTAGTAAAAAATTTATATATAAATAGAATGAAAAACGTTTCATTCTTCAACATTTTTTTTCCTCCTAAATTTTACTCGATGTATTTTGTTATATTGCAATTGCAAAGAATTAGCATGTATAATATGGGATTACTCTAATTCTTAAGCTTATAATTTGCATTGTTAGGTATTATGTATCTTTTAAACGTAGTACAGTGCCGTTTCTGTTAGGCTGTCGTTAACCGTTTGCACGAAAATGCATTCAGAGAATCGGTAGAGAATAAGCAGTTTTACGTGTGATATTAAAATTGCCAAGAGGTATACGTAGCTGTCCATGGGGTGACGACTGTCCACGACGGAAATTGTGCCAAGAATCGTTTAAATCTTAAAGATGTTTGATGTTCACCATGTAAAAAGTGACCACCCAGTGCTACTGATAAGTATTGAGTTTTCGGCGAACTATTTACCTATATAAAAAATAACAAATTAGACAATTATTCGTGAGAATTTCGTATTTTACTCACATTCAATTCAAGAGAAAATGTAAACGGAACACAATCAGATGCACAAGAATAATAGATGAAATAAGTTTCTCTATCATTCCATTTAGGTCCTTCTAACGGTTTTCCTTCCAAAATAGACCATTTTCTTAAATGAACACCTTTGTACGGAGATAAAATTATACTTATATGATCGGGACCTGAAGATAAAATTCCAATTGAATTTTTAATTATCAACTAACAGTTTTACAAAAAAATTACAATTACAAAAGAAGGCGTACCTGTAACGTTGAAGGTAAAACTAACACTATTTTGTTTTATAGACTTTGAAACGAGTTCAAGTTTTGTCGGTATAGTAATCAACGGTGCAGGACCTGGAATCCAGCTTGTTTTCCTGGAAAATATTTTTGTATAAAATATATATTTACTTAAATTTTCCAATGTCTCGAAAAAACTTAAAGAATTCAATATTATGAAAGTACCATAAAAATGTCGTAACAGGCATAAAATATGGTAGACCGCAATATAATTCTTTTTCACAATCTTTTATTGTTGATGTTACAGCACCTATTTCAGGTACCATAGCTTCCACGCTATGTGGGCTATTCATGTCTAAATCAGCTATCCAATAACCTGTCCCAGATTGCCGTAAATTACCATTTATATCGTAATATTGTCTTTGTGTGTGCTGCAAATTGAATGTTTATTTGATATAACACAATTGCTTTCCAAATAAAAGAATTGTAAAAATTTTAGTTCATACCGCAATCATAAATCTCTCCGGTGCCAACGACGATAAATCACCGCTATAAGGAAAGCCAAGCGGAGTCAAAATTAATACCCCTACAGTTATCAAAAATATTCCCACTAACACGCTTAGGATTCTCTCCGCATTTTTTATTAAAAGTACAAATGGTAACTAAAAACAGAATGTTGGTTCTTAAATCATATTCACGCAGTCTTTTCGGAAACTTTCATTTTGATAATAATTTAAACAATTTACCGTGAAACTAAGTAATAAGGAAAAGAGAATGCACAACATATTAGCCATAACAACTTCTGAATTTATGCTGCTACCAGATCGCCCCATTATGGGAATAAAAAGATAAAGAGCGCCAATTACTAAGTAAAATGATTGTATGTAAGGTAGACACATCGTTATTAAATAATAAAACAGCCATTTCCAACCTACGAGTAAAATCAATTGGAGTAACATATTTAATTCCATCATATTACTGTTCCACTATATTAAGACCATACCTCTCCACTTATTAAAGAAGTTACATCGAACAATATTTCCAACAGTCGGGAATACGACCCAATGTAATGGTATAAAACCAGACCGTATTTCAAATATAACACAATAGAAAAGAACAGATATCCATATTAAAGAGTACGAATCACAGTATATTTGGTACAAAACCCACGCAGATTTAACTTCCTATAAAACACCAATTAAAGGAAAATTTATTATACTTGTAAAAAAGATATAAATCATTGTGTATAAATTACTATAAACTTGCCTTCTTTTGACGTGATCCAAGAAATAAGAAAAATGTCATTGATACGAAAATAGTTGGAACTACGTATAGGAAAAACAACCATGCTGGTCTCGCATACCAACTCATAACTTTTCCAAGTTTAGTAAGAATAAGGGCAATTAACGTACATGAAAATATAGACACCATCCATGAAACGACTATTGCTCCGGTGCATAATAATAAATGTTTTAAATACATTGGCTTCTTTACATCTGAATGAAAATGAAAAATGTTTTATTACATTTTCTGTTCCATGTTAACAGTTTTGATTTAACACACCGTACATACCTCGTCGAGCATTTCGCATATTTAAATATATTGAATATATGCCAGCGGCTATACTAATCATATTAATTGTACTTGCCACATACTGTGGCCACCTAACTACAAATATGCCTAAAAAGTCAAAAAACACAGGATTCCCCGTATGATCTTGAAGTGGCACCTCAGATAAATAATTATCTAACACTATTCCTTCTAATAAAGCAAGTATATTATCTCCAGTTCTTTGTAGAGATCCCAATGGTATTTGGTGAATATTATCAAATTTAGTATGGTATACATAACCATTGGTTGCCCAAGCAAAATCAAGACCTACAGTTTTTTTTAAAAAAATATAAATATTCTTTATAGAAGCAAAAATATTAAAATAGTTACTATAGAATAAATACCAGAAACATTTCCAAAGTCTCTAAATATTCGAAAGTCAGTATCTCCAGGTACAATACCACTTTCAAATATTTCTTGGGCCAAAGATGATGCATAGGGATAAGGAACAGATTTAGCATATATCTGTGGAAAAAGATGACAACGTAATATTGTAATACTTATAATAAGAAACAATTTATTGTTCAATAGTACCTGAAGCATCCAGGAGCTATCAGGACCAGCCTGAAATAATAATTCACGACCGCCTGCACCACAAGCTTCTAAATTTATGAAAGCTCGTACTTCCTTAGCCCAAGGATGTTGTGTTATAAAACCATGAGATGCCTATACAATTTAAGCAATTGAATTTATCTTTCAAAAAATGAAGTAAACTTAATTAGATACCAATTAGACAGAATTGACGTACCTGTAATAAGTTTTCTTCAGCACCATTAAACAAAAATATAACATTATGCTTTAACAACTTTGGGCTATGAGAAATCACACGTAAAATTTCTAACATCACAGCACAACTAGCTCCATCATCAGAACCACCTAAAAGAAAAAGCTGCATTAATATTTAGTTCTTTAATCATTCATCACTCAAAAACAGATTGTATTTCAATGAATCTTTACCAGGACTTTCTGGAAAAGTATCGAAATGACAATTTATCAATAAACTGCTTTGCGTATGTCTATGAGGACCAATCTTAACAATGACATTTTGTACATTTCTATATACATTTGTCATTCCATCCAGAAATTTCAAAGGAAAAGCTCCACTATGCTTGGTTACATTAACCGCAATCTTATGATTCTCATTGGCATTTTTAACTATGTTACTGATAATGTTTCTTAAATATTTAATTGCCAACACCTCGTTCTCGTAACTTCCAACAATTCGTGGCCCGATGGACGTGATATTCAGGAGATGATTATGCGCTCTTTCAGCTATAAATCTCCCCGGATGTAGAATTTCTTTATTTATCATCAATGGCTCGGGCAATTTCTTCTCGAATGTAATGATGATAATGGATACAAACAGATAGAATGTAAACAAAAAAAGTAAATGTTGAGTTTCATTTGGCAGTACTTCTTTCTTCTTTGAAGAAACTTTATCCTCGTACAGCACATCACTGGCAGATCTTTTGGAAACATGACGTAATCTTATTCCGTCTCTCTGAAAGATATCATTGTCAGTACAGAAAAAGAAAATAATAACTACACCAACAGAGTGAACAGAGGTGATCTTACCATTGTTTGCGTTCAAGGGCGGAAGGCACTTTCAAAAATAATGAAATCTTTGAATCAAAGTTGGATCAAAGACAAGAGGGTACAGTATTCGACTTTGTTCGACGCATTGATCAAATATTTACACGTGTCAACAGAGTACACCTTGTATGAATGAAATTTCCGATATCCTTTGGCTTTCGCGTATGAAACAGACGAAAAAGTTCTTAAGTCTTACCGAGGTTTCTTCTTGTCGTGTTTTCAATTTACACGACAATTTGTCACTTGAGATGCAAACTCTACTTCAATAAATACAATGTGTATTCAAATCAGAACAAGTACCTACCTTTCGTTGTGTCTGTGTTTCTTATTAAATTGTTACTAACCGCCGTCGGTTAATTTAAATTCACTTTTTTTCGCATCTCGCTGTTGGACTATCGTGAATCATTTTTTATCGGTCAACTCGATCTGCGTTAAAGCACATTTAAATTACATTACTGTTATAGCGACATGCAATCATGTGCCGCGATTAGATAGCCATATCACATTTTCTTTTCTTTTTTTAAATAAAGATTTGCGTGTAGATGCTGCTTAGATAGGTTACTCGATACCCGCTAACACGAGTACACGAGCCTATATACACCTGAACATAGCATTGCGGGATAGTTAGCAAAAATAGAGTATTCGTCGCAATGAAATTACAAAAGCTAAAAAGAAAAAAGAGAGAGAAATGTTCCAAACGTGCGTGCACAAGATATTGGAATGAAATAAATGATTTCTATACAGGTGGAATTCATCGCGCGTACGATGACTTTCACTTATTTATGCGAAAAGAAAATTATCGCACACGATGTTACATAATTACACGATCACTCTCGACTTGCGGGTTTTGTGATTGTATTGAATTTGTCCTTAATATGTCTTTTTAATATCTCGGAATTTTTATGCGCAAAGAAAGAGAAGGTGATTAATGAAATTGCTTAATGTAATCAGATTTTAAAAGCATTCATTGTTTTTTTCCTCTGAGATATATACTTATCTCAGAAAAGATATACATCTTTCTCTTGTATAATAAATATTATATGTGTCTGTGTATATATACACACACATATATATATCATACATCGTAACATATATATGCATGTACGATATAAAAGTTTAATTTTGAATAATTTACGTTTAGTCCATTATCCGAGCGATATTTTTTAATAAATATATAAATATATCCTGTATCAATCTAAATGTATTAATAAACATAACAGAAATTGGAATTTAGTATGCCATTAGAAGGCCCAAAAATGTACGAAAATTATCCTAAGAACAGAAACTTGAAAAATAATAAAAAGAATGACAAGATTGAACATTTTATTCATTTTCAAAAAAAAAAAAACATTTTAATGAAATTTTCCAGAATCTTTTTCCCACTGTAAAGATCCACGTGCAAGCTTCAATTTAACTGTGAATTTACTTCGCTACTGAGAATACAGTAGAGATGGTTCATCGATGGTCCAAGAGTCGAAGAGTTCGTTCGAAAGATAAACGCAACCAAAAAAAGAAAAAAGAAGAGAAAAAAGAAAGACACAGATGCAGTCGTTTACTGCCATCTGTAGGAGGAAGTTTCAAAGAGGGAGAGACTTGCTTGTTCGACGATAAGATTCCTAATGGTAGGGACCGATTCCGTAACTAGCAGACGACCAAGTCTAGCAGACGGCGCGTAGCTAGCGTCGTTCGCGGGCGTTTGTGAGTCCGTTTCAAAATCGAAGATCGTCGAACGCCGGAGTGATACGATTCCACGTGAACGGGGAAGATCCCTGTGTGCAAAACAGTTTTTTCTTGCCAGGGAACGAGTGTAAAAAAATCGATCGGAAATGGATCCCGAGGCGTTCCTGGACATGGCCAATCAGGTCATTAAATTGAAAATGTTCCCGTATTTTGATATCGCGCACTGCGTACTATGCGCGTTACACGTCAGAGAGGATTTAGGACCCGGTAAGCCTAAGCCTTGCCCGACCGATTCTAAATTTAATCTGCCCAGTGCCAGCTTACACCTTTTCTAAGATTATGTTTCGCCTCCAACCATTTTTACCTCTCTCTCTCTATTCTTTTTTAACGCGTTCCTCCTTCACGCTTCCCTCCACGTTGTATTTTTCGTTGTTTCATTGTTAATATCAAACGGGCTTCCCTTTAATCTCGTTTAATATTACACAAGCCGAAAGAACCCTCTTCACCTGTAACAAGTGGATTCTTTTATTTTTAAGCGTTGTCCCTGCTATCTTTTTTCGAGCAATTTTCTCAGTGTAATATTAATATTTTATTAATTACATAATATTAATATTAATATTTCGTGTCAGTATTGTTTAAATAGAATAAGAACGGTAATGAAATTTCTTCTTTTAATGACGTTGCTTGAAAAAGATTCGCAATAATTGTTTAGAGATACAGAGAGAGAGAGAGAAAGAGAGAGAAAGAGGAGATTATTCTCACATGGTATGTGGCACAATTAGAATAATCCTATTTTGTGACATTCGCTGAATGTATCTGGCTAATCTATTTCAGTATACATCCTTGTGGGTACGCCAAATTTTTTTCTCAAATCTTTCGCCCTAATTTCTATCTCCTCTTATGCTTCTCAAAGTTATATGAATAACTTTGTATAAATAAATGATTGTGAAAAATAAATCATGGTATGTGTTTTAAAACATGAGAGCTTACTGTGTAAGATGTAGTACTGTTTCCAGATATAGTTGTGAAACTATTGTTTCAATGACTTTCTTATGCAATGGACCATGCAGTAGCAATCTTTGAATAATAATTCAAAGAATTTGTATGCCTTTCATATTCCTTGATAACAGTTATGGTACTTAAATAATAGATAAAATCATGTATCTATGAAATATAATTTTCATTATTAAATGTATATTTTAATTATCTTTATATTTCCTTAAATAAGTTTTTGTGTAATGTTATAGTCTAAAATACGTAATAAAAAAACATTATTTTCATGTTTATAGTAAGCTGGCATTATGTTTGCACAAACACATGTAAGATACTGTACTTGTAAGGATTCCAAGCGACCTACTTAAAAGAATATACCCCTTTGATATTTCATGGTGTGTTAGAAAATAGGAAATCTATTGTATCTTGAATGTATCTTTGTAAATTAAATTTTTCATTCTATGTTAGATATTTAATAAAATATATAAAAACCTGAAACAAAATATTGTAATTTATTAAGCTGTTTTCAACTATGACTTTCATAATTTTTTATGACTTTATATTACTGTAATTTTATTAAATAGGTGCTCACGCGTTTTCTCGAAAACATCCTCTGTCATGCTGGCTTTCAACAATGCTGGTAGTGTTTGCAAGTGGTATGCTATGCAATGGTCTTTTAGGAGAGCCAATTCTTGCACCTTTAAAAGATACATCACAAATGATAGTAGCGACTATTGTTTGGTTAGTATGAAAATACAATAATTAATTATTAATTTTACATAATTATATATTAATTTATTATTATATATATTAATTATATATACAAATAAATTGTTAAATTTAAAGTTATAAATATGTTGTATAAAAGTTACTTCTCTTAGTTAAATTAACGTCTTTTCATAATTTTTAATAACGTGTTGTTATTAATTTATTTGTTGTATAGGTACGTGGTATTTTATACACCATTTGATATTGGATATAAAATTGCTAAGTTTTTACCAGTGAAGATAGTATGTGCTACCATGAAGGAAATATATAGGTGAGTACACAATAGTAATAACCAATTATTTGTCTCTTATTTTATCTTTCCTCCTGTCATTAATTTTTCTACATTTTACAATTTTTCACACCCAAATTATGATACAATAATTTATAGGTGTAAAAAGGTATATGATGGAGTAACTCATGCAGGGAAACTTTATCCAAATGCATATCTTATTATGGTGTTGATTGGGACGCTCAAAGGTAAAAGCATGTATAGCAAAGATATATAATATATAAAATTAATTCGTTTGATTTGTTTCATTATAGGAAATGGAGCAGGTTTTACAAAACTTTTTGAACGCCTTATACGAGGAGTATGGACTCCAACTGCTATGGAATTTATGCAACCTAGCTTGTACGTTTATTTTCTCATTTTGTTCTTTTATAAATCAAGATCAGAATGAATAACGTGTAATGTTTTATTTTTCTAGCCCTACGAAAGCATCAATGGTAGCATCCATTATTTTCGTCTTAGACAAAAAGACTGATCTTATTTCAGCACCTCACGCGTTGGTTTACTTTGGTATTGTTATCTTCTTCGTATATTTCAAGGTAATCAAAATTTTTAATTTCTTTCTTTTCATGGGAACTAATTATTATTTTTATCTTTTTTAAATGCAACCACTATTAATATTATTCCAGCTATCGTCCATTTTACTTGGAATTCATGATCCATTTGTACCGTTTGAAAATCTATTCTGTGCGTTGTTCTTTGGAGGAATTTGGGATTCGTTAGCCAAATTTCTGGGACGAGGCCAAGCTAAAGACGAGAAAGCAGATGCCAAGAAAAAGGACTAAATGTTTGTAAATTTCACGTATATGTATATATATATATATATGTTAGATAATTTTGCTGTTACATAATTTAAATTTCAAATTTGCGCGGTACGATATGTATGTATTCAAGATATTATTTCTTTTTTTCTTTTTCAATATAGGTACACGTAAGATTCTTCTAATACGAACGTTAATACTAGCATTGATATGCTAAGAATCGATCTTCCGTCGGTGAATGCGGGGTCCAAACGAACCCCGCATTCGCCGGCCCACAATACTAGTTAGCGGAGCATCCGCAGTTCGATGGTTAATGAATGGAATCAATTCAAACTAATCAGGCGATACTCACGTATTAAGATGTGACTATGGACAAAGTGGCATGTGTTTGAGAATATTGACTTCCATCGTTAAGAGTAACACACACACAATATTATCTCTATCGAGATAATCGTTAGAAACAATAAAATCCTTGCTCGATGATCGAAGACGTATCTATTGTTGATTTTTCAATAATGTACATATATATAATTTCATATAACGTTTTAACGATTGAATTAAAAAAAAAAAAAAAAAAAAAATAATTTTTGTAGAGTGAAGTGCAATTCTTGAGTACGTGTACGTTGAAATATATTATTAGTAACGTTCGATTTGTAATATCGATTACGTAATTATGTAATTTGCGTAAACGAATTAATTACCAATTACGATATCTATCACGAGGAGATGTACTCAGGTTATCGAATTTATGCATTAAGATAATTTTAATGCGTATCCAAACAATAAGACTTCTGATAATGAAACTTCGGATAACAAATGAAATCTACATATGACGTAAATATATCAACGAGGAAAAGTAAAGCTCTTTTATACTATTTTATTATAATTAGATACCGACAATTGGTATAATTGGTGCCGAAATGAAAAAAAGTCTCGTGAAAGAAATGGTCTGGTCGGTTGTTTCGGATAGATTCAATGGAATCTTAAATATAAGGATATTATAAATATTCACATTATAACAAATAACATCATATGGCACAGCGTGACAGTGAGTAAAAGGAACTAGTCTCTTTATTCTTTTGCTGTTCCGCGAGACTTTTTTCCAATTCCGCACACCATAGACACGTGTATCAAGCGTTTGCCTTGGACTCAACGACATGTGACTATAATTTACTATAAAAATTGAATAATTAAGTAAATTAATATTCCAAACCGACAGAACGTTATACATTTTCATGTAATAAAATGAAGTTTGTTCTTCTATATCCTCCAGTTGATTTATTATTTTCCCAATGGATGTTATGATGTAGAGGACAAAAATATAGTTTTAAAGAATAAAAAATGCTAGAATAATATATTTTCTAAATGTACATCCACGTGTTTCAATCACAAGGTTCGACAAATAAAAATTTTAAACGTCATTCTCAATTGTAATCTTAACACGTACGTATGTGTAACATTAATTAATCATTTGCTTCTCGCGTATGTGTATTTTCGTGGCGACTTCATGCACACTGGAATTCTTGAGTTTGTCATATTTGAAAGTATATCGACGTTTGTCACGTCAGTCCAATCGTACGACATTTTCCCTTTACAATTTATATCGCATATGTCGTAGTCTTCGATTATTTCATTGTCGCGCTCCTTACGAAAAGCAGATTTTAAATTAGCTTCGTTCGACATTCGACAAACAGTAGACGGAATGCAAGTTGATCGGCCACATGTCTCTACACGTTTACTTGTATATCTTTTGGCAAAATTCATGTCCGTTCTCAGAGTTAATGTTCCTTTATCCGACCTTACTATCGGCTGACTCTCATTGCATTTGATCACTCGAACCAGTATGGGATCTCGTTTCTGAGTGCCGACGCTTACTTTTTTTGTCGTATCTTCGTACTTTGCGACACATACGGAATCCTTGAACGATCGAGTATCACTCTGAACTTCCATGTCGCGACTAGACAGCTGTACTAACGATCTACTAATACCAACATCTTTACAATTCAAATGAGTACAAACTTTCTTATCCAACATCGAATGTTTCCTCTTGGTTTTTTCTAATATTAACATATTGTCTTCTACGGCTTTCCGTCCTTCATCGCTTTTCGTGAATACGGATGGCAATACCACAAAGATATTCTCTTCAGTCACGGTAGATTTATCATCGCGGGTGATACACGTGCCAGTTTCTCTCAAACTTGGTTCCCTTCGAACTTCTTCTAAAGATGATTTCTTATCAAATTTACCAGAAAATTCTGACAAATCGTCCCTGATAATACTTGATTCTAGCATCTTTATATATTCTTTAATTGCTATCACCATTTTGCTCCCGTCGATCAAACAATTTTCTTTTAGGCGACATTTATACTCTGAAATTAGTTAAATCATGAAAATTAATATATAAATTTATTTAGGCTAATTTGTCTGTTTAACTTTATACCTTGCGTTCTCTGCTCGTGCATAGATAATATATTTTGCAGTAGTTGTTGTAAAACTGGAGCTACAATAGGATTTTTACTGAGATGTAGTATATTCCAAGGACATGTATCCGTTGTGCATGGATCCTCAAATTCTTGAGCTATTAATTAAAATTTATACACGATTATTCTGTTGCATGTAATGTTACATGTAACACTATTGTTTCATGCAAGATGAAAACATTTACAAATGTCTTTCACGCACTTTGTAACATTTTGTATAGTATTGCGCTACATTAAGTTACAAAACAGAGACAATTGAAATGCTTACTTCTTTTCTCGACAAGATGTTTCGATTTTACATCTCGAATGCAATGTTTCACAGAGTCGTGAGATTCAGATCGAGTCAAAGCTTTAAGTTTTTCTTTAGAGACGCACTGTACGAAATTCGATTTGAATTCTTTAGCATTCTCCGACGTCATGCATGAAACGCTACGTACTTGATGCACGGACGTGGTAGTGCCAAGTTCTAACTTCTTTTCTGAAGCCATACGACAGGCTGAATTTCCACGTGATACACAAATGGCACTCTGCATTCCTTTTGAAGTTTGATCTACCACATTTATTGCTACTTCTTTCATCGTGTCATCCTTGTAATATTTGTTTCGTTCCTCTTCTTTCTCGTCTAAAGTTTGAATCGAAACGCATTTCTTCATTTCACCCGACACGCAAACTGTATTGTCCAATGCTTTGTCAAAAGCATCCACTGTGTTGACGCCTATTTCATGTTTTTCACTCTCGAAAGAAAATCGCGTTTGTTTTGCGGGTGATTCTGCGCTCTGTACTGATTTTGTAACTCGAGTAACACTTTCTGCGAATTCATTTAGTCTTGAACGTTCGATCGATCCCGATAAAATTAACTCGAGTTGAGCTTTTATGGTACTAAATTGTAATTTATGCGTTGCCGCAGGGTCGATTTGTACAACTTGCGTTTGAATCGATGGTGATATTAGAACATCAACTTTTGAAGGCTCTTTTAGATCTTCACTATGTTGTACCTCTGCATCTGCATGTTTCTCTGTAGTTTTAACAGATTCCACGGGCGACAAAATTGGTGAATCAGCAGGAGGTTTTATTAAAGATACGGCTGATGGATGTTTCGATAACCACTCTAAAAGTTTGAAATTCCTAGAATCGTACTTCTTCAAGTATTCAGATAAATCAGTATTCACTACTGATTGATAATGTAGATCTAAATGAAAATGAATAGATGGGTTTAAACGAGTGTCTGCACAGTTTTTAGGATCCAAATGTCAATATCAAAAATTAAAAAAAACATATATATATTTCTATTAATTTATAGTCATCGATTACGTACCATCATGTGCAATTTTGTCACATCCGACACATGCGCTATATTCGCCAGGAAGATCTTTATTGTATTCAGAACAAGGAACATAACTTCTCCTTTCGTTTTTTTCATCAGTATCCTTGTGTTTTACATCTTCCCAGCCACACGCTGGACACTTCAAAAATCTACTATAATTTTTACCATTTTCTCTTGTTAAAGGGAGATCAGTATCAAGTATAGAATCCACCGAGTTGCTTGGAACAGCCGGATAATATTCTTGTGAAAATGATAAGAAGATCAAACTATCACACTCTATAGCTACTCTATTTCTTTTCTCAATATATATATATATATTATCTTTAGAACTTTTTAAATTCTTTACCTATCTCCTCAGGTTCGACATCTCTGGTGGGTCTACAACTCAAAAGTTCATCTTCTTCACAATCCTTCTTTGGTCTATAGGATGGACAAGGAACGTGTCTTACTCTTCTCTCACTCTTCTCTTTTATTATCGTTCTCTTCGATGAATTATGTTTCTCATCGCAATGAGATGGCTTGTCCACCGATTTGCTCCTCCTCGAAGTCACCTGATCAGAGGTAACGTTGTTGCACGGATGAGCTTTCAGAAATTTTGCGTCTGATCTCCCTCTTTTCCCTCCCTGTGAATCCTTGATACAGTCACTGCTCAAGGATCTACGAACGGAAATCGGTTCACGGAGCCGATGATCGTTTTCCCTTTCTTCATCGTCGATTACCTTCGCCAACATATCTGCCACAATGTTATACCAGGAAAATGGCGATTTATATTGTTTGTAAGACTGTAGACTTTGAATCGTTCGTATTTGTTCCAACTTATATCTGTAGCAATGAAAATATTACTCGTTATTTAAATACGTACATTGCACTTTGTTAACACATTGTTGTACAAAAGTAATTATTTTCAATTAAAACTATTCAACAATATAGTTTGTTAAGTAAGACAATGATTTAATATATTTTTCGTAGCGAAAAGATCTTATAAATCTTTAAGATTTTTATTGATTCTTCACTGCATGCTCTAATTTCTGAAAGATTTAAGCCAAGTCTTTTATTCAAAAATTCAATAATTCTTTTTTAAGAACAAACTACACTTGTTTATGGTGTTTTTTCTTTTTTGTTTTGTTTTCTCTCTTACTCCTTTCATAATGTTCATTACCGAAACTACCGGTCGTACATTACTTTTCTTTTATGTTCTTGATCTGGTACAAATAATCGGTTATAGTAAAACCAGGTATACCAAGATCGTCAATAATTCTTTGCAATGCCTTGTTCTTCTCGTAACAGTTATAATAATGCCTGTGATAAGGATTCCAGAGGCATGGATATTGCTTGTACGCTTTCAAAAAGCTGATCACTAGTCTCTCATTCCATTTGGACGGCATTTTTTTTTTTTTTCGCAGTACGAACAAATATTTCGATAACAAATATCTCTGTAAAAATAGTACTTGTGACTTTTTGTACGTTTACAATTTTACACGCTTGTGAAACACGAGATGAAATCAGTTTCAGTTAGAGAACGCGACTGAACTTGACCGCGCGATACATCGAACGGAAGCATTTGTCAAACTCTGTTGCTTTGTTAACTTTATTTCACTGCGATTCTACGCGTTAGCACTAGAACCTACTTTATTATATTTTTGACAAAATTTTTCCCTAAACGCTGAACAAATATAGACAATTCGCAAGAGTTGTTATTTATTGCTTGCAATGAAAATCGCAGGATGAATCTGGCTTGATCATGATAACCGGAAGGCCGCAGCTGCAAACCAATTCCTCGCGCAAAATCGCACATTCACTGCATTTGGACGATGTACAATCCGAATATGTCAATTTCATGTGATCTAAACGTTCTTGCGCAATTAGATCCTGTATACGTTTCTCCAGCTCAATAGCAATTTCTGAAGATAAATAATTTCATCTCAACAATTATATTTAAAATATACTACGGTATTAAAATATTCACCAAAATTTACATTCCGCAGTTGAAACGCAATACTCCTTCCAAACATATCGAACTCGTCAACTTTTCTTTTCCCTTTAATATTTTCTTCTGGTAAAACACAATCTGTGCAACTAGCGTTTGCTTCTACCTAAAAATTATTTCGTTGTACAGTTACGTACAGTTCTACTTGCGATAAACTTCACGTTCTTGCTGACTGTACTAAGAACAAGAATCTATTTACCAGATCATTCCTCGTCAAATTGCGAGGCAACTCATTCTCCACACATACTTGACAAGCTGCACACGCGGTTTTGAAATAAGAGATTTCGGATTGTGTTGCCTGCTCGACACTGATACCTTTCTTAGTACTGCTCCCGACATCAACTCGAGATACTCTCTGCGGATGAGCATAATCTTTGCAATCTAACGTTGTACTTTGCAAAGTAACGATTCCCTCACCTTCTGCCCGAGAGGAAGATAATCTTTCTGATTTCCTAAATGAGCAACGTTTTAATACATCTTACCAATTGCTAATATCGTGATAAATAAAATAAATTACCTAAGACGAGATTTAACTACGTTTAATTTATCGCAATAACATGTTGCGTGCGGGCAATCGCAGTCTGTGCTTAATACTCTCTGTTCCACGAAAAACGAACGTGTCGATGGATCCTGCGTTTCGTTATAATTTTCATACGTGTCTGTTCTGTCGCCATACGTCTACAACAAAATTAGTGTTAAAGGCTGAATTGAAATTGATACCAAAATAATAAACAAATAAAAATTATACACACCTTGTAGCAGTCACTTGCACAATTATAAATTGGTACAAACGGGAAAAACAGCTCGTGAACTATTGGAAACCAGCTTGTCGTTGGTCTGTAAAATTTCTCGCAAGAAATTGCAGCACTGATCTTAGACAACTCGTAACAATATTGGGCCTTCACAGAGGTAACTCTTTTGATACAATCGTAAATCGTTAAGCCACAAACGTTCATAGAATTCACTATCTGTTTATAAGCCTTGTAACGACACTGCTTATTCTTGTAGTCTGGATGAAAAGGATTTCTCAAACACTCATGTTTACTATAGAAGGTTACTAATCTCAGTGTTAGGCTATCGGTCCATGCAACTGGCATGATAAAATTGTTCCCCTCGTTTACAGCATGATCAGGTTATTTAATGCCTTCACACTCTTGCATGCATGTCATTATTTACATATAAAAACTTTATGTACATGTCTTGAGCCTATACTAAAATTCAAAGCGGGAATTTGTATGCTGAAAGAACGTGACGACTGAATTACGTTCTGATTACACATCATACATACGTAAGGTTCAAAAAATTACTAGAATTTAGAAAAATATACATGGAAAAAAAAATGAAAGAGTACATGACATATGTTCAATCAATAGTTTGCTTAACTATTGATTTTAATGTACATGGTAAAATAATAATATAAATAGTTCGTAACACGAGTAACGAATAATACAATAATACAAAGATCAAAAAATTTATTCAGCCACGTTTGTTGTTAAAAGCATCATTATAACAGGATATTACTGATTAAATTATTTTAAATTACTTCTGTGTGTGTAAAATACGAATTTTTAACGATAAATTCGATACATTATGTTCTCTGTTGCAGACTAGAACCAACAGCGTACGAAACAAAATCTAATACTTTGAAGCTATTTCGTAGGCTACTGGTAAGAATTTATTTTTATTGGAGAACTGTTGTCCTTTATATTACGTACTTCGTTTTTTGGTTTTTTTTTTTATAAAGAATATTGCTTCAGATTCTGAATAAAATTTTAGACTATTAACGCGTGCTTTCAATTGTAGCTTCAAAGTATCGAAACTCGTGAACATATAACAGAAACATTCATACAAAATCATGAATGTAAATATTTGTCACATATTTGGTGACTTTACACTCTAAAACTTATGCTTGGTGTGAAAAATATTAGCACTTTCTTGTATCGTTACGTCATTAACAAAAATATACATTTTGACTCAAATACCAATAAATTTGTATAATTAACATTACTTATGTAACACTATATTATATACAATGAACTACACTTTGTATATAACGTATTTTTTATAATTATTCATCGTTAAGATTATCTTACTGTATTATCTTACTTATCTTATGTGTTATTTATACTATCGGTGTAATCTTACGAAGTAGACTCAATCGTCGGAACTATTGTAGGTAATTGTTGAGGTAAAAAATTTATAACTTCATGATAAACAAGCTCTAAAAATAATAAAAATGAATTACCATTTTATTGATATATCAATAACTATTTAAATATATGAAAAATATATATATTAAAGCAAAGACAAACCTTTCCATTTTTCAACAGGTAAATCCATATCTTCAAAACTCTGATCATATGGGAAAGATACTGGTTCATCAGTTGGATCAGCATACTGTGCCAGATATGGATGAGCTAAAGCTTTTTCTGCTGTAATTCGTTTCTCTGCATCCAGTTCTAACATTAATTCAAGTAAATCTATAGCTGAAAAGTAACAAAAAATACATTAATTTAACATGTGAAAATAATTCGTAACTTTTAATTTACAAAATGTTTACTTCAAAATTTACCTAAAGGATTGGCCCCGCGAAAAACTTCTTTGAAATTCTTCTTTTTTAACGGAGGTAAACTTTGTATGTAATTTCTTGCCTAAAACAACATTTTTATTTCTTAATTTTTCACTTCTACAGCTGATTTTTAATATCTCAAAATTTAACATTTGCATAATATTTCTCAAAAATATTCTTTAAAAATTGTGCATGAAATACCTCATAAATGCGTTACGTATTTTATTTTATTTTGTTTATACTTTATTAATTTTACTATTAATTTACTTTTTAAACTCAAAGCAAAATTTAAATACGCGGAAAGAATTAAAAAAAACAATTAAAAAAGTAAAATTACCTCTTGGCTGGTAATTTTGCTTAAAGTTTCCTCTGTGGGTGTACCACAGAGTACTAAAACTCGTGTTAGGTGATCAATGTCTGCTTAAAGTTAAGGTATGTTCAAAGCATGATTTATTATATAGGAATAGGAAAATTTGAAGCAGTGTAAAATGTATTGTGATTGTAATTGTTATTTTAAGCATTTTCTTAGCATTCCAAAGTACAAATGCGAATAACATATATTTTCCAAATTAGTTTATAAATGTTATGAAGATAATTGTTCCATTTTAGTCATATATAGTGAAATTTATCGGAGATAAATCGGAGATAAATACATAAAGATTAATAAAAAAAAAAAAGTGTAACATGCGAGGCATTTGAATCGTAACACATTATGAATGCGCAACATGCATTTACTTAAATTATTCAGGCTTCCTCTGTGGATAAATTATTGTTTAGCGACTCAAAGATTACTTACCGACTCTGACGAAATTTTTTGCATAAACTCGTCTCGTGGAGTACCCAGTATTTCCATTATTAAGTTCAATTGATGTATATCTGCTCTTGCTAAGGTTCCACCATACCTTTTTCTACTTTCACTATGTGAATACTTTGATTATTACATGATAAAACAACAGATAATTTCGTGCATTGATGCATATTAAAGAATATATACATATTCAAATAGCGTTTTTATCCCTTGCTATCAAACAGAAGCTAAATCAAAATTTTTTGCCATCTGACAAATAAAATACAATGTTGATTAATATACATATTAGTAAAACGATCGAAGATGTTAAAGCAAGAAAGAAGCCATGTAGAGCCTTAGCAAAAAGCACGTATCTTTTAATTTTAAAATGGTTAAAGATTCGTAATATTCGTTGAACAATTATAAAAGAAGTTTGTGTGCGCACAAGTACAATGTAATTAGATGGAAATCAACATTGATTTAGATTATTAGACATTAATATTAAGAGAAATTATAGAAAGCATGACTGTTTAAAAGGATACGATCTGTTCCTGGAAATAATGTTCTCCCAGTTAAAAGTTCGGCCATTATACATCCAACAGACCATATATCAACTAAAAAGCATAAATATTACACAATGTATTACAAGATATTTGAGAAGAAAGAGAAGAAATAATAACTACCTGTTTGATTATAATGCATCCAATTGAGCATAATTTCAGGTGCTCTGTACCATCTCGTAGCAACATAGCCAGTCATTTCATTTTCTGTAGGTCTGGCTAATCCAAAGTCCAAAATTTTCAGCTCGCAATCCTCATTCACCGCTATGTTAGAAGGTTTCAAATCCTAAATTTTGCAATTCCAAATAATGCATTTAAAACAATCCAACCACATTTAAATTCTTATTATCAACTATAACACTTTACCCTGTGTATTATACCCGCAGAATGAATATATTTGAGACCACGAAGGATTTGATAAACAAGAAACTGTACATGATCGTCCGAAAGTTTTTGTGTTCTTACAATATTATTGAGATCAGCACCCATCAGATGCGTAACTAAATATCTATTAAAAGTACATGTGATTACTAAAACATGACAAGGAGTCACAATCAAGAAGTTGAAGAGAGACAATCAAAATTATAAAACTACATCGAAGTACTTACACTTGCTGAAAATGTTCTAGAGAAGAATTTGGATGAAACACATCTAGCAAACCGATTACCTGGAATGAAAAATATCATGAAAAGTATTTGGATGTTATAGATTAATAATAGTAGTATAACAATTAAGCTCGTTATATAGAACACTGTTATTTCTAAGTTTAGTAGCAAGACAAAGTTTCTAAATTCATGAATACCTACAGTGCCAATTTCAAAAATATATTAAACCTATATGTATGTAAATTCACATACACGTACTCACATTTTCGTGATTCATATGTTTCAACATACGAAGTTCCCTGTACGTGCGTTTTGCATGTACGGCTGACTGAAATGGTCTGGCTAGCTTTTTTATCGCTACCTTCTGTCCAGTTCTTGTATCAACCGCTGAACTGAAAACCAAGAAAGAACGAAGAATATAGTGAGAAACTGAGATCTTGATAATAATTAAACATTATTGATCGCTCAAAATTATGTAATATATATACGCGAATCTCTTCTTTAGTAATTATATAAAAAGATAATTTAAAGAAGAAAGAGAGAGGAAAAACCAATGTATTTTAAATACTTGGAAAATTAAGTGCCAAATATAAGTAAATAAGTCAAGATGGAATTGATCAATTGTCAATGATCTCAGTTGAATAGGGATCCTTTAAAATATTTCGAGAAAATTCGTACAATTATCTCGTTAAATTCATCCTCGTGGGAAAGCATTGTCAAACAATGCTAATTTTAGCTTGGCTCGCGACACGGGATACAATTTACGTACGAAATAACTCGCATGAGCTATCGTATTATTAACACTTGTTCAACAATCTATTAATTAAAAAGAGCTATCCAAATAATCTATTAATTATCAACAAAGCAAAACAAGTGTGACATATGTATATACACATAATATGCATACACATATACATATATATATACATATATGATCTCCTTAATGGTATGATGGATGGTTATCAAAACGTCAAGGTTATAATCTTCACTTCGCAATCAAATCCTAAATTGTTAATAAGACACACATTACAGGCGATTTGTCGTACGAGAAACGATCTAAAAAAGAATACGATCAGCTGTGCGACAAAGTTGAAAAACTTTATGTTGAAACTGTTACCAGACTTGGCCGTAGGCTCCTGATCCTACTGGTGTAAGCATTTGATACCGTTCCGGGACCTCCCATTCGGTCCTGTTTATCTCGACTTTGTGAAACTGCGGCATGCTACATTCAATTTTCTCACCGTATCACACCGCTCGCGACGGAACACCTCAAGGTGGGACAATGAGCCTTTGCGCTGTCAAACGCTCCGTGCTAACGTTTCGTACTGCAGTTTACGAACACTTCGCGCATTTCCAAATTAGCCGAGCGTTAAAAATCTACACCATCCGCCACAGTATCGCACCACACATATCCGCATCTATCGCGTATCATCGTAGAAGTCACTCGCCAAGTCGATTCTGTATTAAGATCGATAGCGTGCTGAAACTGTTTGCAACGACGAAGGGATCGATTTACTTTTCTCGATAGTTCATACCTCGATCGAGCAAACAGCATCTTTCGCGCGACGCGTGCGTGTTGTGGTTGTTCGTTTCTTGAAATTTGGAAGGAGAGGAAGTATATTAGAATTGCGCCTGTCGGCAAATAAAACCGAATTTATTAATTGTAATTTGTAAAAGTAACACATCGTTCGGTACGTTGTTCACTAATCTAGAAATTAGTGAAGTCATTCGCTAACATAAAAACGATGCTTTCAGATTTCTCATGCTCGTAGGCTCATGCTCAGATGAGTTTCGTGATAAAAGTTTGATTTGTAACGAACCGTAATCTGTTCGATAATATTCGTAATGTTTCTATAACGAAAATTATTTGCCATCCTAAAAATTAGCGAAGATATACACTAATCTAAAAACGATTACATTTTTACATTTTTCATGCTCGCAGACAATCCAAAATTTGATTTGTAACGAACTGTAAGCAGATTCGATAATATTCGTTTCTATAATGAAAATTGTTCACTAACCTAAAAATAATGCTTTCACATTTCTCGTGGTTGCAGGGAATCGCCTAGGGAAAGTTGATACAATAAAAATTTGATTTGCAACGAATGAACTGTGAATAAACTATAAGCTGTTCTCGTAATTAAAATAAAAACATCGACATCTTTCAACGAACGACGTACGTACGACATATCGATAACATCGATCGTATCGTTTCGTACATAGCATTATACGTCTTATTTTGTACACTCAATAATACGTATGTACACAGTTGGTGTATTTCTACTGTCTCTTTTTTCGTAGGTAAGACGTAGACTAGCGACATAGTTACTATAGTAAATGACGTGTTAAAATTGAGAGCACGGTTCTTCGCCGCTTGACGAACATGAGCATGAACGATGGAGAAGTGATCGAGTACGAGCCGTCGATCAAGAACGTAATCGAACAACGATCCCTGCGATGGATATTCGTCGGTGGCAAAGGCGGAGTTGGCAAAACGACGTGCAGGTACTGCCATAACCTCAAAATTTCATATGTTTATGGGGTTATGTTGTTATTCAGTCATTTCCTCCCGTATTGTTAATTTTCAGTTGCTCGTTGGCTGTGCAATTATCAAAAGTCAGAGAGAACGTGCTAATCATATCTACCGACCCGGCGCACAATATCTCCGACGCGTTCGACCAAAAGTTCAGCAAAATTCCAACGAAAGTGAAGGGTTTTGAGAACCTCTTCGCCATGGAAATAGATCCGAATGTGGGCATCACCGAGTTACCGGAAGAATACTTTGAAAGTGAAGCAGGTATTTTGTTTCATCAATGCTTAAACTTTGTACAGACATTGTGTACTGTGTGGGCAATACGATCGGTATTGAAGAAACACACATGTATAGTTGTTTAACACAAAACAGTTTCAGGAGGTGAAGCCATGAGATTAAGTAGGAGCATAATGCAAGAGATTGTAGGAGCATTCCCTGGTATAGATGAAGCGATGAGTTACGCAGAAGTGATGAAGTTAATAACGAACAATTTTGTTGTTTGATGACATTTGTGTGTGACAACTGCTTGATACACTACTTGTATATTTTCAGGTTGGTCAAAGGGATGAATTTCTCCGTTGTTGTTTTTGATACTGCACCCACTGGTCATACTTTAAGATTATTGTCGTTCCCGCATGTAGTAGAGAAAGGATTGGGAAAATTAATGCGTCTGAAAATGAAGATCAGCCCTTTCATTACACAGGTCAGAAAGATTTAGTTTGACGATTTAGTGTAATCTTGCTTTGGTCAATATTCTAACTTCAAAATTGCTTGGATACAGATTAGTTCATTATTAGGAATGACAGATTTCAATGTGGATACATTCTGTAACAAAATAGAGGAGATGCTTGTTGTCATTCGACAAGTTAATGAACAGTTTAAAAATCCCGATCAAACTACGTTTGTTTGTGTGTGTATAGCGGAATTTTTGTCACTGTATGAAACAGAAAGGCTTGTGCAAGAGTTAACAAAATGTGGTATAGATACCCACAACATCATAGTGAATCAGTTGTTATTCTTGAAAGAAGGCGATGTACCTTGCAGATTATGTCTTGCCAGGCATAAAATACAAGACAAATATCTAGAACAGGTAAATAAAAATATTGTAATTCGACATATTATTTTATATAAAAGTTTGAGAAAGCTGATCAAACAAATTTTTTCGTAGATAATGGATCTTTATGAAGATTTTCATATCACCAGACTTCCTTTATTAGAAAAAGAAGTTCGAGGAGTCCAACAAGTCAAAGAATTTTCGGAAAATCTTGTTAAACCATATAAATCTTAACGTCTGTATAATTAACATTTCGTAAAAATATATAACTTTGACATGTAACCAAAAATTTTTCAAACTAAAGAAATCTTATACACGATAAAGTTTTTTATTTAGCTTAAGGTAATTTTATATTTTATTTTAATTTTAGGTCATTTTTTATTTATAATATTTAATGTAAAATAAGGCTTATCTTTGCATGTATTAAATGTTTCAGTTTGGTATAATTGTACATTAAATGTTACTTAAACAGTTATATACGTAATTTAGTTGTTTTCTTTTTTTACATTATAATTTGACTGAGAAATCCTAAGAAATATTTAAATTTAATAGAAGCTTTCGTGAAAATAAGAAAGAAATATCACTTAATAATATTAAATTCTTTTCCAACGTGTATAAATGCGTTTACGGCATGTTCTATATCGTTTTGCGAATGTGCAGCACTGATTTGAACGCGTATTCGTGCTTTATCTTTTGGCACTACTGGATAACTAAAACCAACAACATAAATTCCTTGTTCTGTAAGCAAAAAACAATCGTTTTATATACTGATGGAAGTTAACATGACGCAATATATTGTGAATATTTACCAATCATTTTATCAGCAAATTCAATTGTTAATCTTGCATCGCCTATCATAACAGGACAGATAGGATGATTGTCACCAGTAATTGTGAAACCTGCTGCTTTCATATTATTTCTAAACAGATTGGTATTGTTCGTTAAATGATCCAAAAATTTCGTAGAGTTTGTTATTAAGTCCATGACCTATATGTGGCATTAAAGGATAAAAATATAGATGATTTATAGTCTCTTTATATTTTCAATTACTTTTGCAGCGCTATTATGAAAAGTTTACGTTTCCTTTACATACTTTACTAGCTGATGCAACTACGGGTGGTGGCAATGAATTTGAAAATAAATACGGTCTACTACGTTGTCTTAACAAATTAATAAGTTCCTTTTTACTAGTTGTATAACCACCTGCTGCTCCGCCAATAGCTTTACCTAATGTGGAGTTGATGATATCAACGCATCCCAATTGGTTAAAATAGTCCTCTGTGCCTCTACGATAATTAATATTATATATTAAAACAAGCATTATAGTTAAATTATTTATTACTCAATAATATAATGTACTTAAAAAAATACCTTCCAGTTTTTCCAAAAAATCCAGTGGCATGACAATCATCCACAAACGTAAGAGCGTTATATTTCCTTGCGAGCTCTAATATTTTTGGTAATGGTGTAACGGTGCCATCCATAGAGAAAACACCATCAGTTGCAATCAGTCGCAAACGCGAAGACATATTAGCTTGTAGCTTATTTTCCAAATCTGTCATATCCCTATGCTTGTACCTTTACAAAACGTGACGTATTTTTACACAACAAAAAAAAAACATAATAATTTAGCTTGCTCACCTATATCTGCTTGCTTTGCATAATCTGATACCATCGATGATGGACGCGTGATTAAGCTCATCACTTATAACAGTATCTTCAGACGTTAACAATGCCTCGAATAATCCAGCATTTGCATCGAAACAAGATGCATAAAGGATAGCATCTTCTCTGCCGTGAAACTGAGCAATTTTCTTTTCTAATTCCACGTGAATGTCTTGTGTGCCACATATAAATCTTACAGAACTCAAACCTGCCCCGTACTTGTCCAATGCAAGTTTTGCGGCAGAGATGATTTCTCTGTTATTCTAAACTTACGAAACAATGAGAAATTAATTAATGCGATAGTAGCAATGTTGTTAATTTACTTTATAAATTTTAATACTTACTGCCAAGCCTAAATAATTGTTGGCACAAAAATTTAATGCCTGTGTTCCATTTGCTAGTACGATCCGTGTCTGTTGAGGCGAAATGATTATTCGCTCTTTTTTCCAAGTACCATTTTTTTTTACAGCTTCTAATTCCGGTGTCACGCATTCTGTTAAAAGGCTCATAGGTCTTTCCAAAGTCCATCTCTTGTTTTTGAATTTTAAATCTGTCAAGAAGATAAACAGTTAAAAACTCAATCTTTTTGTTTATAATTATAGTTGAATCAAAATCTAATGGGACTGAGATACTTTTGTTAAGAACATTCATATTTTTGTGCATTTTACAATTTTGTGATGTACTTTAATAACTGCTGAATGACGTCTAATTCCAGTAAAGTGAAAGTATAAGTCAAACCTGTTTCAGTATTTAACCTTGGATTTTCAGTCTTTGTCTATTTTTCTATAGAAGGTAGCCTTTATATGATCTTTTGTACAAGGTCTATGTTAGTAAGAAATATATTAAATATTCCAATATTTGGGTGAAAATATAAAAACCAATTTTTTTTTATTTTCCATCACGTTTATTGTACAAGCTTTTTACATTTCGTCCATTTGCATTTAAATAATCGTTAATAAATATTTATTATGCTCTATTTGTCATTCAAATAGTTCACTCTTCAAGTTTTCTTGCTCCGTCTGATAAATGCTTTTATAATATTAATATTTGGCAAATAGTCTTCTGTACTTTTTAACAAGAAAATTTTTAAAAACATTTGCTTTGTAACACTACCTGTATAGAATTATCTTAATTTACGTGATATACATATATTCAAAATTGTTATATTACACGTATATCATGTGTCGCGAACATGATAATACCTATTAAATGAAGTACATATTAGATCTGCATTTAAATAAAACTAACGTTCTAGTATTCTATATACGATTTGGAATTGTATCTATTACTAAATTCTTGTATTTGCTAAAATTTGCCAGTCTTTTTCTTCATAAATTGCATTCTGAAGTCTCACTATTTGGTCTGTTATTACTTGGTCTTAATTATCACGTGTTCTTATACATAATAATTCACCATAAAACGAGAAACAATGTCCTCTCTTTTAAATATGCTCTGTTATTTGCGTTATCTTTCTTTGATGAAGATGAAACGTGGACGAAAGTTCGAGTTGAAATTAAACAACCACATGTAACATTTACAGATTACTCGAGATACAACGTGTAGACGATCTTTAATTTAAGGCTAATGTGAATAAGAATTAATGTACAGACAGTTTTGATCTTTACACTTACTCATTATATATTAAATTTATGTTAAAGGATGAACGAAGTTTGACGCAATTTCACGACGACTTCACATTTTTTACAGAGAAACGAGTTGCTAAAGTGTACGCACGCGGGAAATTATGGACGATCACATAAATTATCCCCAAATATATAATGATAGCAATTGTAAGAAAAAGATCGAATACAGCTGGTTTTACACTGAAACACAATAATCCACGTTATCCACAACAAATGGTATCGACAATGATATGTAGTTAAAAAAAAAATGTATTTACCTGTATACGTTCAGCATTGCTTTTGTAACATCGTAAAATACAAATTCTGGATCCTGTTTGTCAGGACTGTGCAAAGTAACTTTAACATCACCCAAATATCTAGCCATTGCTTCTTTTAACGTACCAACTAACATGTTATTTTTATCTGCCAATAACGGAGCAGCCCTTGGTTGCGACGCTAAGTAATTAAACCACAAAGATAATGATTCCTTAGAAACCCCCTGGAAAAAGTAAAATAGTTGATACAACAAAAATTTATTACATTTAGTAGTTAAATGATGAAAAAGTGTGTACCAGTGGATCAATGAAAATCTGACTAGAACTTAAATTGTATATATGTCTCGCTAACGCTTCTGCGACTATTTGCGTGTGTTTGTATAATTTGTCTATCTGCCCTGTTTGTATAACGTCTAAAATCGTTGTTCTGGTTGGATCTTCGTGGCTTTTCAAACTGGACAGAGTCGTGGCTGGCAGTCTACGAATGCTGTATCTCTCGTGCTCCCAAGCCAACGTTTCCTCAGCCAGATTAATTTTTTTATGTATGCCTTCGACAGTGGTAACGTTTAACAACTCAGACACAGTTTTAAGTTCCTTGTAAAAAAGGCCACCCGTGGAATTTTCTTTAGGCGGTTTGGAGACGTGCACGTAAAGATTATCACTGGTGGATACCGTGTCTAAACAAATGACATACGCTGCGTCCTAACAATGAAATTCAATACATTATTATTTAAAACTATTTTGCAATATTGTGCGCAACGACAGAAGTCTTTCAAATATAAATATATATATAATACTTGGATTATTGAGCCTTCAAGTCCATCCAATTGATCTTCCAACCATTTTTTACTACCCTGGTAATTAAGTTTACCAGCACCAGTCACAATAAACACCAGATTGTATTGCGGTCTCGATCTACTAGTGGAGTACAAACTGGAGAATAATCGTGCTATTTCCAATAGCATTGTTACTCCCGATGCGTTGCTGTCTGCGCCGAAAGATAACTCCTGTTTATTAGCAACAAAATACACGTTTTATCTCTAACATTCTTAGCTATATGAATAGACATCAGCAGTACGTTATATCTTACAGGTGCGATGCCGGCACTATCATAATGCGTTACCAAGGCTATAGTTGGTAACTTCTCCTCTGCTCCAGTACCAGTCAATTTCCCGTGCAAAGTGGCTACTTTTACATCCGTCTTGGCTAATGCCTGTCCAGTCGCCACTACTACCTGATAACCGCTAGCTGATATAGAATTGAACATCGCCTCAGCTGCAGATCCAGCTTTCTCATCAGTGATAAAACCATTAGATAGGTCATCCAAGATTGTCTGTAGATCAGGATGCCATGAAGTAAAATACACTGGTATTGTTGTCTCCGGTCCAAACATCATAGACTCTTCTAGACTCATAATATGCTGCAACAAGACGACAAAAATTCGAACTTCAATTGGTATTTTCGACAAGAACCCATCGGGAGCAAAGCGAACGAACCTGTTTCTCCTCCAACGTCAATTCGGTGAGTCTTTCTGGTAAGATCACTATCAAAGCTCCAGCCTTGTGCTTGATAGCATGAAACAGACTCGGAGTAAGACTCAGCGCTTTCGTCACTACGCAGTGCCTGGAAGTGCTCCATCCTGTGAGAGATCTTGCTTCCAGAGAAACTGGAGCGCTACGGCAACCTGATCAGAAATCGAATTAATTAAAAAAAAAAAAAGAAAAAAAAAATTGTTGACCGAGTTAATGAGACGAGGATCCAGGGAAAACGACGTTACCGTGCGGTACACCGTGCAAGTCATACTGGTGCATTCGATAGACGGGAAATTCGTGCGAGGCGGCAACTGGATTCACCGGAGAAATGATAATAAAGATCGGCAGAATTATCAGTAAATAGTACGGTAAGTATCCTCGGCATAGTTCGGCGAAGCTGTCACATTCCTCTAGCCACATATTTCTCTCTTATTTTCTAGTTTCTCTCTTTGATTGCACCAAACAACGAAAGTATGCAGCTCCTAATTATTTTTCCATTGACCTGCGATCACGCGATGAACCTTCCCCTCGACTAGTCCCTGCTCTACCTATAGTAGGAATGTGGGAATTACATCATTGCAGCCGCGAACGGGGTACAAGACAGACCATAAATAAAAAGTTAAAACAGATGCAACGTTTTGATGTGTATTTTTGTATTACAAAGTTGTAAGATCTAATTCCCTAGATTCTAGGGCATCGACATGATCTTATTAGGGACATGAAACAGATCTGACATTCAGTTGTATATCGCGTTGAAAATTCAGTGCAGTAACAGCTAGCCTTAAATGCCAATTTCTTCACGAAATTACGAACAAGTTAATTTCGACGTAAAATATGCGAAGAAAGAAAGTTAATGCTTCAGTTACCCGGGCATAATTACGAAAGTTCACGAGCTAACCTTCTAAATTAGTTTTTTTTTTTTCAGATGAAAATTTGTTCAATTTATGGGTAGTCAAATGCCAACACCGCGTAGCGTTGAAACAGCAGAACTAATCGGTATTTTCGTCATTGCTGCGTATTATTGTTTACACTTTGTACCTTTTTAACCAAGTGGTATAGTAGCGACGTCGATAAAGGAAATAGAGAAGAAAACAAACAATTATTATACATAAAAAATTAAATAAATATTGTAATATTATTAATTAAAAGAAGTAAACCTCTATGTATTTACGCATGGTGTTAACATGCAAATATAAGTATCTTGGATTGGAATTAAAAACATAAAATGGAAAAATCCAATAGATGACAGCACTCCGTGCAAAGCGCGCGCGCGCGCTTCTTTTTTACCGACTGAATTAGAGATTAAAAGAAAAGGAGGAAGAGGAATAAACGGTGGCAAAAATACGAGAAATTTGAAATCAATTGGAGAACCAAGTATTCGGCAAAATCTACGGCAGAACCTTATTATTATTTAATTTATGTACATTTTACGTAAGTAAATATTGTGTGTTTTTGTTACGACATTCGATCCTTTTTTAAGAAATTAAGAACATTTCATTTTGGTAATACGTCAGAATAATCGACTGATCGTTTCCCCTAGATTTTGATCACGTGGTTTCATTTCGATATATGTATATATCTCTCGACTTATTGAATCGAATAGTGCATAGAGTAAAGACTATAGAATATAGTATATATATATTGTATATAGCATATAGAATATAGAATATTAAGTATTAATTTGATTATTATTACAAATGCATAATTATATCAAAATTGCGAATTGAATACTGAGTCTAATGATGTTTTCTTGATATATGTATGTATCTTTCGTTCAAATGAAATCCTTGATACTCCAAGATGACTTATACGTGATTTGTCATGCAAATTTTATCAGTAACGGCGCAAATGTGTACAGAGTAATTTGTCAGTTACTCGATTATTCGAGTACTGTATCAGTTTTGCGAAGGTATAAATGGATTCGACGGACGATGACATGTTTGTGCTTAGTGACGAGGAGCTGCCCATCTCTACTCCGAAATGCAATCCTATAGAGGAACATTTGACGAGAGCATCGTCGGACGTGCGAACTCGAATCGAGAGAGCAACGAACGACATCAAAGAAGTTCAGGATATGACGAGACGTATTCTGGAATCCCTGTATAAACAAGCTCGATACGGAGAGGATGTGACTTCGGACTCCGACAGTGACGTGAGTTCGTTAAAAAAATCAGTATTAGTAACAAGTAAATTGTATGACCTACGTTATTCACTTACATACGATGAAAAATAATTTTTTTTTATTAGTTAAAAAGAAAAAGAAATAATCTCTTTTATTAGTTAAAAAAATTAGTTTAAAAAAAAAGAAAATTTCCTCCAGTGTTTCATGAAAGTGGAAAAATATATTTAACTCCAACCGATTGTTTAATATCAATTTGTTAGTAAAAGGAAGTTTGTCAGTTGAGATCAGCTGGACAGATGAATTTCATACATTGTAATGAGGAATTGTACGAAAGGAAATGTGGATACATTATATTTATAACAATTGAATGTTCAACAAGTGTTAAAGTATATTAAACTCAGTATATACAATTTGTAGTTGTACACAATAAATGGACAACTGGTTGTGAAGAAGAAGAAATATGAAGTTAGTAAGCTCCCTCATGAATTTTTGGTAATAAACAGCAATTGGAAATACGTTTTCACTGATAAATGGGTTATCGGAGTTGAGCTGACCAACAGTTCAAACAAGTAAGTACGTTGCTAACAATCAAGGATAGAATCTTGATTCTCCAAGGATTGTACATAGATTTTGATCTAATTAAAGAAAAACGATGGTATTATGCTTGCAATAGCGTTGATATTTTTATATCTATCTACCTTGGACAATCAAACAAGTCATCTACAAACAACTTGTCTATCCTACTATTTTTTTGATTAATTTCAACCTGAAGATTAGGTATTCCATGTGATCAATTACTTTTTCTTAAATAGTTTTGCCTTGTAAAATAATTATTGTCATTTTGTGCTTATAATTTGGGGGATTAAAACTCATCGTATCACTTTTGTCTCATATAAATTTTACAAACAATTCAATTTTATTCGCAAGAAGTTTCTCGGTAATGAAAAATTTGTATTTGTATTAGATTTAAGTACATACGATGTAATGTTCCATGCTTTTAAATGAGTCTTACAGACTAAAATAAACTCTCATAGACTCCAATAAGTCTATAAGAAGGCCATCGCATAGGCTTATCGCGTATTATATTAAGGCATACAAACTATAAACTCAAACACCAGATCTAAAATACAAGTAAATACTGGAAAACTTCAAACTTACAGATCTCTGAATACCCTTGCATTTGGAAGTTGTACAATTTAACATACATCTTACTAATGCAATTATATATATATCTCCTGAAGGCAGTATTATTATCATTGGTACAATGATAATAATTACTATTGCAACAACATTCATATCAGTACACGTGTATGTATATTTATATATACAGGTATATACATATAGATTCAGCGAAAATATATACGTATTCTCCAAAATATACAAACACGAAAAAAAAAAAAAACAATTAGCTCGACTCGCTTGAATCAAGTTGAAATATATCCGTAACAATATGATGTAACAAAATATCACCGCACTCATATTGAATTGTACTCTATAACAGTTAATTCAACTGAAATGAAACAGGGACATTGTTACTAGGTGTTTCTACAAGGAATGCAGAGCACTCTTTGTCAGCACTAATATAATAAACTATTCCCATTCTCTCGAGCTTGAAGCAAAAAAGATTCGCCGAAGTGAGCATTATCCTTATCATAAAATTCTCGTAATAATCACGTGTAGTATTTAAGCAACGGAATTCTCTCGTGATCTTTTTGACTTAGCCCCTAACAATTGAACTAACAACACCTCGTTTATCAAAATATTTAAATGCAGCAGCAGGGGTTTGCAAATGTATTGTTAATTTGAGTATAACTCTCGTTCTGGTTTGCTATCAAATATTTTCGTTGTAATCGATGCTTCAATTGCATTTAACATGCTATTCAACGTTTAAAGAACTGAAACGCAAGTGGAGAACAATTCACGCGCCGACACGCGCTTGTCAATAATGTACGAAATGTTAGTATTACTTTTTACAGATTAACACTGTGTCCTCGTCTTTCCCGAGTGCTACGTACTCGTCGGGAGAATAATCGAAAAGCACGAAATCGTACCTGAAATGAAATAATAAAAATATTTTATTATCATAATATCCTTCGTCATTTTTTGAACGAGATATTGTAAATTGAAACGATATAATAACGCAATTATAACTCCAAAATTAACATGTAACATTTTGAATAATGAAACAATAATTATTTAATAATTATTTGTAATTGGGACACGTTCCAATTTAATAGTTTAATCCATGTCGTCTCCAATTTAATATACCCACCTAAACATCTCATAGAGATCTTTGATCTGCGATTTTGATAATTGAGCGAAATAATTCTTAATCACGTCTTTCGTTTGGACGCCTCTGGTAGGGTTCTTCCATTCAGGCTTAATGATGTGACTCACATGAGCTTGTTTTATAAGATAATCTTGATCTTCCTTTGAAAATAATTAAAATAATTAATAATCATCTCATTAATTAAGATATTGCAGACAATTCTTACTACTACAATTCTTATTATTCTTATTAGAAAGATATTTACATGAAGTGTTTCAAACTTGGCTATCACGTCGAACCGCACTTGACACGGTGTGCAAAAGGTCACAACTGGGGTCCAATGCATGTCAAGTTCGTTTCCGGCTCTCCATTGGCATAGCAACCATCGTACAAACTCTTCAAAGAGTGGGTACCTTGGACCGTGTCGTCCATTCGTCTTTGGATCCTAATTGAAAAGCAAAGATCTTTTAAATCCAACAAGCTCAAAATCAAATTGTATATGAAACTGTGCTATCAATGATGGCTAATTCTTACTTTAGACCTATAGTTCCAAACAATATGGGCACCAAGATTACTGTGAAACGTATGCGGCAGGCTGTGCTCCAATTTATCCCTGTAGGCGCTGAGCAACCTCTCAAATGGATGTCTCACTATCAAGAAACTGATGCTGTCGTTTAGAAACTTGTTCAACTCATCTGCCGTGTATCTGGGATATTTTTGCCTCGCCAAAGAAACAGGCACAGCCTTCGAGGCCTTTAAAAACTGTGGGCTGTATCTAAAAGAGATTTGTAAAGTTTGACCAAGGTTGAAGTTAATCTAGCTGTTTATTTAAACTTAACTGGGAGGTTGGATCATCTTTACCATGAGCATGGAATGTTTTATCTCTGTATATGACAATTAGTTTACATATATTACTAAACGTTATTTAAATATAATATTTATATGTAAATAATAAATAATATATGCATTATACATATGTACATAGTAAATTATATTTATTAAATGACATTTATACCTAGTACCTAGAGAACAAAACAAATTTCTATTTTGGTTTTGTTTCTTCACTCACATGAACTTGCATAAAAATCAATAATACAACTCACTGAAAAGATAAAAATAAAAGTATGTATGTACTCCAAACATAAATAATTAATGCGAAATGTACAAAAATTGATCCAATCTCCGCTAATTGAAAGTTGAAGAACGTTTAGTATCTTTTACCCCGCGAGTAGATTGAAATTGTACATCCAAGAGGTAGAGGCCGCTTTGAACACGTTACACCATATTAAATGATACTCCCTATTTACAAGAAATTCCCAAGCATTCGGTCTGTGCAGAGAATCGTTCCCAGGCCTGTCCAAACCTTCCTCGGCGCACTTCTCCGCCAAGAATTTCCTCCTTACGTTCAACCGTTTCTCAGTTTCGGCGATCGCTGCTTCCTCCATCAACTTTTCCTCGGGTGTCAGGTTCGCATCCTCCTGTCGACATTCGATACTTTTATTTATTTGTACTACGTGGGTATTCTCACTTATAAGCACTGTCTTATAAACACTGGATCTACCGACGATCAAAGATGTAAAATTTGTAGCAGAAAAATGAAAATAAAAGAAACAGAAAAAAAAAATGTATCCGAAAATACACTAATGTAAATATTTATATGTAAAATTTCCATGAGTAGTTCTAAATAGATCATTTTAAAAGGTAGGAAGAATAAGAGAACTATGCTGCAATATACATGTATATACATATGTATACTATACATATGTTGGAAAGATTGGGCAAAATATCCAGAAAATGCAAGTATTTTAATGCTCAACAATACAGATATTAAAAATCCTGCAGACTACGTTTCAAGAGATCTGTAATGTTAAATACTTGTTTTTATAGTAGTATTGTCAATGTCCCAAAATTTATTAAGACGTAAATAATAGCTGATACGTGTTACATATATGTATATCACGATTCGTGTCAGAAAAAATCGAACACTCGTTGTGAAATTGAAATTAAGAGGCTCCGTGAACATTGCAAGTGTTACCAGACATTGGACACCAACAATTGCTAGAGCAGATCAATCGGTATTCGTTTTATCGACACAATTGTCACCAATACTCGATATACACAGGCGATATACGCAATAATAATAATAATAATAAAATCAATCGGCGTCGAGTTTCACGTACTACGCGCAAACAACTGCATTAATGTCACAGTAAAAGAACAGATTTGCACGTAGATGAGGTTATTTAGTGCTCATTCGTTTAAACTTTCAAACGGGAAAATCACGACCGTCACGCGACCGATTCATAATGCATAGGCTTTCCTCTAGGTCTTCCAATGCACGAAATTTGAAGGCCGTTCACCAAGTTAATCTCATAGAACCAATTTCAATTTCAAATTAATTTTAATTTCATTCAAACTCTTTTCTATGAACATGGATGGTCGTTTCTTTTCATTTGAATATGTATATATATTCTAAATCTAATCCAAACCTAACCTATATTAGAATATATATATATATATATATCTAAAACCTAACCTAACATACGTGAAACCACCTCCCCAGTCGGTTGACCATGAGTCGTGGAACACCCTGTATATATTATATTTTTAAATTTTACAAGTTGTTTACGAATTTAAAACATTAGTCATTTGTTTCAAACTACTTTGCTTGATTAAAATACGAATTTGTCGCAAAGATTTGCAAAGTAATAAGCGTGGAATCTTAATATTCTAAAGGATGAAAAACAAAAATAACTTTTTACAAACACATGTTTTTTTTATCAATTTCTACCATTTTATCTAGAAATATAATTAATGGATTTTCTTCAGTATTACGTGTGAAAAACAAACATCCCTCAAATGACCAGCATTTTGAAGATAAACGAGTCACGAGTTTTTCGAATCTTTTACGAAAAGTAATCAGGAGGATTTTCTCGAGACGGTGTCTTTCCCACAGTAATGCCGCCAAAGAGTTTTCGATCGGAAGGAAACTTCTGTTCCCTTTGGCCAAATTTTCCATTACGCAGAATGTTCCAACAATGTTGATCAAGGAATTTCTTACGAAGCAGATACTCGAAACTCCGGGAGGCAAGGGGACAAGGCTCGCGCGAGGAATTTCATCCCAACACGAGCACGATCGCAATCTAACCAAGTAGGCGTGCGATCGTACCCCGTACAGACATTGCAGCCGCTGCAATGTCCCGCAATTAATTGCAGAAATTAGGAAAATTGAATTAACTTCGCGCGCAGCACGTGTTTACGTAGCTCTTGTTGTTATTGTAGATGCACAGTGGCACACCTCGGTTCGTAGAAAAAGGACGAAAAAACGAGAACTTGCTTCGAGGAGCAGCGGGGAGGGGGGGGGGGGGGAGCTTTGAATTCAGCACAGCAGAGACGGCTTCTTAATCGACTTGAAAGCCTACGAACGTCGCTCGTGATTCGAATCGTTTAGATTTAGATTCAGCCCCCGTAGAATTTACATGATAATTATCTTATTTCACGATCCATTGACTTTTTTCTAGAAGCTTCTTCTGCCCTAGTTTTCTCCACTTGCGACTTTGCTTGCGACTGTTTCGTTAAACTTACAATAGATCTGTCGGTTGGATCATATTCAAGTAAGATCGAACGTTACGTAAACACTCCCGTGTTTGTAGCTCGTAATTATTATAGAGGGGGTTCCAAGATCAATGGACAATTGATTGGCTCGAATAATACGATTGAAACAGTTTTCGTTATTTCGTTCATTAAAATTGTTTATTTAAATTTTATAGATATATGGAAATCTACGTAGTTATAAATGTCAGGCCGATATATTAATTAATTAACCTACATATTCCTAATTATAAATATTAGAGTAACATATAAATAAATTAATTAAATCGTTTAATATTAAATTATTAAATTGTCAAACTATTAAATTAATTAATTTATTTATTTATTGGCTTAATATTTATAACCAGGGATAGATTTAAATTTGCCGGAAATTTAATTTCGTAAATATCGAGTAACTTTGCAAAAATACCCGTTTTTGAATTTTACTTCTGTCCAAGATGTTACAGAATCGAAAATTCTCGAGAAATCAAATTTTAGTTTTCATTAAAAAAAAAAAAGAAAAAGAAAAGAAAGGAATTAGTTCTAATGAAACAATTGAAAAGTTACGAGGGCAGTTTTCGTTAACTTTCGAGCGGGGCACGATGTTCCTCGCGAGAGATCTTGTAAGGATTGAAATTCACGCGACTAAATTGTAATTCCATTTAATTCGAGGACCTTGAGATTGGTCATTAGCCAATCGATACGTTATCTATACGTGTTGCAACGCAACTGAACGTACGTGCAGTAGCTGTACATGTATTTACGTTTGACGTGCGAAACTTTCCGAGCTACGCGACAACGAAGTGACAACCAAGTTCTTTTCCACGCGAGTTGTGCGCTTAACCAGTTTCTAAAACGATTAAGCAAAACTGATTAAAGCGACTAGAAAAAGAGTTGAGAGTAAGAGTTCACGTCTAAAGGTGAGCGGTTAATTGTAAGATTTCTCGGAATTTACGGGAACGTTTTAGAATCCCTAGAAACGTTTATAGCCGCTTGTAGACCGCTCACGATGAGTCAGAAGTCGCACTAAGGGATAATTCAGACGTACGGATTGAGAATTTCTAGAACTTTTGCCGTGCGGTCACCTGCGTCCGTAACACATCTTCGAAATTAAACCATTGTTGCTACATTCGGTCGATGTTAAATGAAGATTGTCAGTGATATTTTTTTTAATTATATATCTCTTGTCATTGTTAACCTCTTGCGCTGAAATGACGTGCCGCGAACGCCGAGAGTTTTTTGTCCCAAATAACCATATTTTTTCGGTTTTAAGTATATTTAAGTGTAACCCAGACAAAACAAACAATAAGTTTATTACTTTTTAATCATTTCTATCCGATGATATCATACCGACGAGTTCAAATGAAAAAGAAAGTGACTAATTATTGTATATGGTTCGGTCACTCGTTATGGTCCGCCATCAGAGGAGTTAACCTCTTGCGCTAGAATGATATGCCACGCATGTCGAGAGTTTTTTGTCCCAAATTGCCATATTTTCTCGCTTTTAAGTATATTTAAGTGTAACCCAGACACAACAAATGATAAGTTTATTACTTCTTAATCATTTCTATCCAGTTTCATACCGATGAGTTCAAAGAAAAAAAGAAAGCAACGAATTATTGTATGCGGTCACTCGTTATGGTCCGCAAACCAGTTGCCAACGCAAGGGATTAATTATTAATCAATTCTCAACAGCTAATAAAATTTTAAAATTTTACATTATATGTAATATTATATATGTCATATTAAATATTATAAAATTTCGCATTAGCAGCAGATTATTTCGAGCGGTGTGTGCCGTGTTGCCAAAAGTCTAATATAGAATTCTGGAGCATCCAAAGAGAAACAAACGACCGAGCAAAAGTGAAATTGAGAAGATCAAAAAGTGCAGAGAAATCTGCAAGGCTTATACATACACATTTCTAGACGATTCGTGTATGATTCCAACTTGATTTCATTTCTAAAAGCCGATAACTTTTCCAATCACAGGCGAATCGGTGTGCCTTTATTTACTTATCGATCGTTATCAGCTTCGAGATTCGTATTCACGGAGCGATTTACATCCAAAGCCACGATAAAAATATTTCACTTCCTTTATATTGTCAAGCTCTCATCAATATACACACACATATATATATAATCTTCCTAAATTATTAGCGTGAAGAATTATTATAGTGAAAAAATCAATTTTTATAAAATCGAAAGCCGTTGCTGTATAAAAAGAATATTTTCTTCGCCATACTTTTCATTTGCAAAAACTACTGACACTGAAAGACGTTCTCTTCGTTGAATATTTTTTTCTCAAATTGTGGAAGTGAAGTTAAAAAGAAAAAAATGTCTAAAATATGTTTAAAAAAAAAAAATTCTGCTTTGTCCACAGTCACGGGAATGTTCCAGTATTTTTTATTTCATTCAACAATGGCGCCCTGGTATTCGTGGTAATTTGTAAATCGATGCGAGATGATCTACGGAAGTGGCGGATGATTATTTTTTTTTTTCTTTCTTTCTTTGTTCGTCCAACGTGAGTTTCATGATAAATTATTTGAAACGATGCTTATCTAGCGTGTTGCACTCGTAACGAGGAGCGATTCGTTCTTCCAATGACATTTAAGAACGATTGCAACATACCACTTGCCAGCTCGTGAGTGTCTCACGGTGAACATCTCCCAACTTTCCCCGTCGAAAGAGAATCTAACGACGCTCGTTCCTCGGTGTCTGTTCGAAATGAGCAGTTGAAACTGCTAGAGGAGCAAATTCTTGGTTAAAAATTCCTTTTCGATTAAAAGAATTAAAAGAAAAATTAAAATTAAAGGAAACGAAAACGAAGATATTTCAGTGTGTGTGCCATAATATCGTGCAATCTCTAATTGAACTCAACGACACGAAAATAATATTTCTATCAATTTCTAAAGCTACAATCACAAAATAGCTGAAAGATTTGAAAAATTCGAATTGAACATTTAAATATATTAAATATTCGAAGATCTAAAATTCTAAATTAAACGTTTAAAGATTTAAAGATTCTGATTAAATGTTTACGTTATTATACAAAACTCACATGTTCAAATTTAAAAGAGAAGAAAAAAAGAAGAAGAAGAAGAAGAAGAAGGGAAAAAAGGAAGCACACAAAAGTAACAAACGTAACAAAAGTCTAGGCAAGATCTAAGAGAGACTAAATCAACTTTGTATTGTTAACTTAAGCGATTGTGAGATCGACTGTGCAAAAAAAAAAAAGAAATATTTTTACCATAATTTTGGATCGATAAATAACTAAAAAGCACATCGATACAAGAAAGCAAGGAAAGTCTAGGCAAGATCTAAGAGGACCAAATTCACATTGTGTGGTTAACTTGAGCGAGATGTGAGATCGATGAAATGTTCGATTTTAAAAAAGTCAATCTCGAACGAAAGAAACTTCCTCCCTTTGTGTTTGCTTATGTACCGTCTATTTTCAGCTGATATGTTTTTTTTTTTTTTCGTACGTCATCGTGAAATCACCGTGAAGTACAGCGTTAAAGCGAAACCAATTCTAATGGATCACCATATGCGCACGTGTGCGTATATACGTGGTACATTACGTAAGAGCTCTCGCGGTTCTTCTGTTTAGTTGTATAACTACCATCGGTTACGTTTTCTCACGTAAAACGCAGTTCTCGTGCTCGTCCACGGATTCTAGTCGTGATTTGCGCGAGTTGTCTGTCGCACTTCTGCCCGACAGGATCAATCGAACCGGCAAAGACTATCTTTATTTACTGTGTTTCGTTTGCTTTCGTTTATCGTACTATGAATTGAACCTAAAATTCACAGCATTTGTACTGCAGTATATATATAGGATGTCATTGTATGTTGCATTAGTATATTTAATCTAGTATAGATTTATTATACATTATAGTATACATTTAGTATACATTTATTTAAGAGATTATTTAAAATAAAATATCTGCGTCTGAACGCTATCGAAATCGATGCGCCAGGACTGCAAACAGACAGATCGAAGATCACAAACGCCTGGCCGACAAATGAAACTATCGATTTTTATTCCCTATCGGCGGATATCCTCGCTGTAATAACCGCTAGGGAAACCGGTGTCGTCCGTATCGGTGGGAGATCGATTTACATCGGCGCAGTAATTGTCGAGATCGGGGGGAGTAAACCGTAAACCCAAGTTGCACCACTCGAAAGGGGATCGTAGGCAGAGCTGCATTTGTGTGCCGCATTGCGCCCCTGGAACTCTGCCAATCTTCACGGTGGCTTTGCTTTACGTAAGGAGACCGCTTTTTCGATGCGCTTTCGACCTCCCCAACCCTCGTTGGGCGAAGAAGAGACGCCGCGACGTTCTTCTCTCTCGAAGCGTATCGCGTTTTGCTTACCCTACATTTTACACGGTACAGCAAAAGAAAAAGGAAAAAGAAAAAAATGAGGATAATCTTCTTTGTGAGAAGACGTTCCGATGCACATTATTATGCGACGAGGCAATATCAACCTATTTCTTGACACAAGCTTGACACACAGGCGAAAATCAAAGGTAACAAGTTGCAATGGAAGTTTTATTTTCAAGAGTCTTGTTAAAAAATACTAAGTCCACAGTTAAGCGTCCGCAGTACGGCACCAATAGCGGACGCTTGACCACTTGCGCTGGCAACTGATTGCGGACCGTAACGAGTGACCGAACCGTATATACAATAATTCGCCGCTTTCTTTTTGAACTCGTTGGTATATCACTGGATAGAAATTATTAAGAATTAATGAACTTATCATTTGTTTTGCCCGAGTTACATTTAAATATACTTAAAACTGAGAAAATGTGGCAATTTGGCGCAAAAACTCTCGACGTGCGTGGCGCGTCATTTCAGCGCAAGAGGTTAACCCCTCTGATTGCGGACCATAACGAGTGACCGAACCATATACAATAATTCGTCGCTTTCTTTTTGAACTCGTCGGTATGATATCACTCAATAGAAATTATTAAGAAGTAATTTAACAAATTTATTATTTGTTTTGCCTGGGTTATACTTAAATATATACTTAGAACTGAGAAAATATTGCAGTTTTGGGACAAAAAACTCTCGACGTGCGTGACACGTCATTTCAGCGCAAGAGGTTAGGCAGAAAGGTATATTCTCTGAACTGAAGGAAAGAGAGAGGATGAGCGTCAACTATTTCAACAATACTATAGGCACTAATATCGGTATCTTATATACAGAGTGATTCACGTAACTTGCACACTTGAAATAACTTTCAAATTACGCGTCTAATGTAAAAATTGTTTAATACAGAAGTTATGCGGTTTCAAGAGGAGGCAAAATATGGCATATCAATTTCTCGTGGGTTCCGAAATTTCCGAGGTCATCTTTACTTTTCTCTACGTTCCATCTTTTCTATTTTTTTCTATGTTCTGTATGTATTCTAATATTCGTGAAAAATTGGAGACGTTTTCAGACTCGATTCTCCAAAAAAGTAACGCAATTTTTCTTAATTCTCGTCTTATTAACGTCCGAGTCTTAGAATCTTCGTATCACGAATTTACTTTACTAGATTTCAGATTTTATAGCGACAGGAACACGAGCATGAAAGCGCGGCGTATTGAATGAATTAGAAGGGGTGAAAAAAGGAAAGATGTGCGAGCCGTGTAAAAGGCCATGAGAAAACGAACAGATCATTGGCCTTTCGCCTTTTGTCGTGTGAAGAGAATAACGGATTATATAAGTAAAACGCCTGAGGCTGTATCTTGCAATTAGTGGCGCGTGAAAATTGAATGAACACACTTCGGCTTGCTTAATGATTCGTTTGTTCCTGAAAGACAAGTAGAGGGAAAGAAAAGAGAAAATAAAATAAAATGCGCCTAGAGGGATACGCTAAATTAGTTCGTACTGTACACGTAGCTGGATAGCTCATGAAACACTGTTTGAAAAAGCTAGAGTGGCACTTGCGGCAGAATTGTGAATTTTCATATACACACTTTTACACGTGTAAACACGTCTTCAAATTGATCAGACAACACCCCGCTCGAAAGCTATTTGCTACTCAACACTTTTTGCAGTATATTCATTATTCGAGTTTTTAGCAACAGTTTGTGAATGTTACCAAACTGTTCAAATTCCTCCTATCTACAAGATGGGCCAAAAGTTTCTTCCCTTTTTTTTTTTAATAAAACATCAAAATACAAGAAAAAACTAATTTTATTAATTTTAAATTAAATTCAAGTTCAAACATGATTTTTTCATCATCTGTAGAAAATTGTAGAATAAAAAAATTGCGGATTTACTTTTGTAGGAAGTGATTTTTGGCCCACCCTATAGATTCCACAATTTTGTAACATTTAAGCGAACCAAAGCGTTTGTAATTTATTTAAAATATTATAATCTATCGAACTCCTTTATAAAAAGATGACGTTCACGAAATAGTTCTGTAACGTTCAAAATCTACATTCGGAAAATCTAAATTTCACTCCGCGACAATGTTTCTTATCGTTCTGAAGATCAATCTTCCAACGACTCAAACAGGAACATGGCACATACGTGCTTCTTCCTGATGAAAAGAGCAAGCAAAAAAGAAGAAGAATCTAGAATGGCTTTTGGCCGCGTTTCCAACGAGACCGAGTAATTTACGGTTCGTCTAAAATAATCGTCCCCTTGGAATGTAATCCGCCTAATTTTCCGGTGGTCCAAATCCGCGAGGGGAGATGCGCGCCGAAAATGAAACAAAAGAAATCCTTGGCCAGTGCCAGAGATAAAAGATCGTCACTCACCTCCAACAAAAGGCCCTGCTGCACATTGTTGCCGGTGTCCTGGCTCGACAGAGCCAACACCAGCAACGTCAAGATACCAGCAGCCAGCAATGTTCGCCTAATCGCCGCGAACACGTACCGTCGCGGCGTCATCTTCTCACGATACACGATCTTCCTTCGATACTCATATCGAACTGAAACACAGCCAAATGAATGTTCATTATAGCTTCGAAGTTAATCGCTACGGTAAAGTAGAGAAAATAGGTTAGGCATAGGTTAGGCATAGGTTAGGTTATAGATAAATAGGCTAGGTTATAGATAAACAAGATACTGGACGTGTAATAATTTTTTACAAGGTGTCTCAAAAATTGACACCTTTCTTTCGTTTGTTCTTGAAGAATTTTTTTGTTTTTTTTTTTTATTTTTTTCCTATTATCCCGTTTGAATACTATCTCTGTTTAATGTTTAAAGATTATATACAGAGTGTGTAGGTGACTCTAGGTGAAATAGTAGATTTGGAATTTGGACAGTGTTGATGTCCTCATTGAAATACCACTGAAGAAAATACACATGCAAGAATGCAAGAATACAACGGATCTATTAACTGTGAAAATAAATAGTTTCCTATTGACTGTATGTTTATGAAAACACGGTTCAAATAAACACGTAAATCGACAATGATTTTCTCAAAAATGAGGCCTCGAGACAAAGAAGGTTTTATTCCCTTTTTACCGACTTACGTTTTCACTTGAAATCATAAAAGACCTCAGTGTACGATCTGCATACGAATAAAAATTAGTACAGAAGTTAAAGTTTCATTTTTTTTTTTTTTTTTTTTCTTTTTACGTTAATGTCGATTGCATACATGCATGTATGATGCGTTAGAGAAATCTACGCTGTATCATACGTTGTACTAAGGTTATCCGTGTTGCAACTGCTTTGAAAGTTGTTAATTAAAACTGCTGCCTGAATTATTCAGGCGTCTTCTTTTTAATTGAAATAAATGTTTTAATATCTGATCATGACGCTATAAACCATTCGAAATATGAACCACTTCATCAGGGACATGAATTATGCGTAATATATAACGAAGAAGCATAAGCACTCGGCATAATAACGTTTCGTAAGGAGTTTATTGAAGCACGATATATGTATGTCTCGTCATTACCAGTCATCAGCAGTCACGTGCCTGTTTCGTAAGGATGCATATTGCGAATCTGTGTTGGAAAACCTTAAAGTGTAACAATATCGTAAAATTACAAATTTTTACCGGAGCTATTGAAACAAATGAACGAAAAGTTCCGAAATTAGTTAATTTTAACAATCTTCTTGTTAATTAATAACAACATAGACAAGAAGCAATTCGCACATATACACATCTATATATGCCATCGATTCGCAACTTTTAACTCGTCAACGACGCTTTAAATTTTAAATATAAATAGTTAAATATCGTAATATCAACACTACTTCAAATTTCTTTTGAATATCAACGATATACACACGTATCGATTTTTTTTTTCATGCGATTATCAAAAGTTAATTGCATTTGGTGCACATTGTTCTAAAATATATATTACACATCTATATGTGTGCATGTATATGTGTAAAATATTATGTCTCGTTATTACGTTTCAATATCATATTACAAACATTTACAATATCATATTACAAAAGAAATGAGAGTAAATTACATCCAACAAATACACAGATACGCTTGCTTGTCCAGCAAGTTCCAAGGCTATTGTAGAATAATACATGTAATACTTATAAAGTGGAACGTCAGATTCAAGGATCGATGACGCTCTATCGAAAAAGTTTGCATGGAAACGCAAAATGTAGACTTATCTTCGACAAAATGATTATAGTAATTGTTACTACACATCCTGCCGTTCTTGATACTTCCATTCGTTTAATTATTTATCTAATGTTTGAAAAAAAAATACATGTCGCGTTCAACGCGACACAAAATTATCAAATTCTTTCTACGTATATCTTCATAGAATTTTATATTTGTTGAAAATGAATACATTATAAGATCGTTGGATCTTTAATGATTTAAATAAATATATTTAATTGGATCTTAAATTCGTTACGTTGATACGTTAAATATAATTATAGATCATTGTTTTGAAAATAAACACCATTAGACAACAATTTTCTTCAAATTATACTATCTAGAAATTATACTATCAAGAACGTCATTTATGAAAATATTTTCTCATTTATTCCAACTTCTTTCGTCGTTTTTTTTTTTAATTGTAAATTTTGTAAAATTAATAGCGATTAAATGACGATTGGCAAGAACTCTAAAATTCTATTTGATAAAACAGTTAAGTAGACAATCAAAAATACCAAAAATATCAAATATACAATGAAATATCAAAATATGCTAAAAAACGCAAACGACGAATTTTTTTAGCAGCTAATGCAGCTGATGCACACGTTTCCTGGGTCAATGGGTCAGACGGACACCCCTTCTTCTTCCTGATCTAACTTTCTTTACACAGACAATCTATGACATCATCCTTACCACCTTCATCCATTTTTATGTTTATTAGATCCACTTTAATACGTACTTGGCGTGGACATATATGCCCCTTGATATCAAGAGTCAACGATGCATCTATCGCACCCCCAGCAAGAAATCCAACCGTCTCCTTTTCGATTCGCCCACCGGGAGAATCGATCCACCAGTGTAAACTTGTAGAAAATGTGCCGCGAGTCCGGAACACTCGGATTACAGCTAATGTACTTTCTGGCGTTGTAAATGGACAAAACACGTGACACAAGTAACTAATTGAATGGAAAGTGCAGACACCACACGATCACGGCGGCATCCTGCAGATTACTGAAGTGACACACACCACACGACCACACCGTTCTACTATACACCTCTATGCATGCGTCGTCTGCTACCAAGCGGGTCGTACGCGCCCGCTGATTGGCTGACATTTTCGCGGGTCGATTTGCCTTTATGATGATCACTTCTACGCATGCGTACCACCGTTGAAACTGTGTCTTGTTATTCGCTATTCGCTAGCTTCCGCGACGCTATACAGACTCCCTTTAATTATCTGTCTATCCTACTTCGAATACCGCTTTCATTATCGAGCAGTATTGAATAGCAAATAGCCTAGATGTTAGGCAAACGTTTCTGTTTAATATTCTACGTACCGAAGCTACTTTAAAGCAGCACTTTCGTTAGATTATTGTCTTAGAAATCTTGATGGCATTTATAAGTAGCACTTCTACGAAGTTCTTTGAAGTGTTCTCAATGCTTAGGCAGCATATTCAGTAAACGTTTCTGCAATACAGATAACGATGAATGTTTCATATCGTAAAGATTTCGTGTTAATTTGTATCTAGCAGATTTCCAATTGATGAGCATCGATGAAACAGTATTGTAAGATACTGAAGTTAATTACCTACAATATTGTTTCACTAACTAACTATCCCCGTTACTTACTTTTTGAAAGAGTGCTACAATTGGATTCCATTTATCGAAGCTCGTGGGAAACATTGATACGATTGATATTAATGAATATCACATTCTCTCTATTTGCTGTTACATGATCTTTCATTTTTCAAATAAATAGATTCGACAGGCGAAATTTCATTTCAGTAAATAAAGTTTTCTTACACATATGCTTACCACTTTAATTTGATTTCTCGAGATGTTCGATTATTTTCACATAAGCCATCAGCATTAAACTCTCGGTATCCCAAATTATTCAGCGTCGTTCCAGTTATAGCAAAGCAACATTGCATTAGAATATTCCAACCGGTACACTTGTAATATATTTGAATGTAAAAACTTTACCGTTCTTTTATTTTTCAGAAAAATAAACAATCCTCAGATCTACGTATCTTTCAAAGAGGACGACGACAATCTTCGTGGCATGTCGACGTTTTGGAAATTAGAGAACGAAATATTTTCATACCAGACTAATGAGATTTACCCTTCTGGCCAAGTCGTTGCTACCGTCGTTCTCGATTTACCAAAATTCGACGAGAGGCCATTTTACGATATTTACGGCACAATTGTATACGAAGTTGAGGAGAGAGAATATCAAATTTCAGTGCCCGTTATCCGTCTTAAAATCGACGACACCATCGACAGCGGTTACCAAGTCAAATTTCTGAACCACGTTGATCCAACAAGGATGAAAGATGTGCACGTGATTTCGCCAATGATCCTGGCTTTAAGAAGCACGTCGATAGAGAAGAACGTCGACATACAGATGAAAAGAGATCCTGAAAGAAAGAAACACTTTCTGAAGTTTCTGAAAAAGTATTCTTTTCAAGAAATCCACACAAATGTTCACTTTGTACAGACAACTGGCTGCCTGATGCATTGTTTGATTGAAATACTGCCGATTTCCCCTGTCGAAAAGGAAGAAAAACTGAGGATTTCTTCAAGGTTCAACTGGAAATGTCACAATTTTTAAAAATTCTTACATTATTTCTTTTATTAACGCAGAAACTTACGCATTAATACGTAATAATAATTTCTAGATCTAATCATCAAATGAATATAATAATAGGACTTTTGAGAGAGTATTTTCCGGACCTGCTGACTGAAGAGAACGTTAATCCTGTGAATGCTGCGATGGTCCTCATGGAAGAATTAAAATTGTATCTTAAGGACACGAGCACCGCCAACCGGCAACTGGCGAGAATAGCAACTGACCTAGTTATTCCATGAACATGGTAAAACAGATTTTATTTATTAACAGAAGAGTAAATAACGAATTGAATGAATTTACCGTTAACATGAATTTCCAATTTATTTGATATTTCTTTGATGAATTACATGTTATATACTTTGTTATACCTATGTAGTTATAAAATTTTGTATTTTATACATTTTATGCTTCATTTTTATATAAATTTTATACGTAATTGTTTACCATACGAGACTCCTGCGTTAAATTATCACTTACTCGTGAATTAAAGTGAAAATTAAGCGTAGTGTCGAATGATTTTCGAATTATTGTTCCCCGCTCCTAGTTCTTCCTCCTAGACAATAATATCAGGATAGTATGGCATAAGTAGTAGCATCGTAACTATCGAGATCCCGCCGAAAACCGGTTTAGTTGCTGCTGCTTCTACCTAACAGCGGTTAGATGAGTGAAACAAAAAATATGACATTTTGTAAAACTGATTTTTATAAAAATCAGCACTATGCAATTGTGTAAAAATTTTAACAGAAATTGTAATGGAAAGAGAAAGAGATATTGATAATCGTATTATACGTAAGGAAATTTTTACGTGAATTCTTGTGTTTCATCCGTTTTGATTTACTTCAATAAAATTCTTCATGACAGTAAGTAAAGATGTTGAATATACTTGAGTGAAGAAATTTGTCAAATAATACCTGTACCTTTGAAACAAATAAAATTAATTCATTTATCAAAATTCTGAACAATGCTTAAAATTGTTAATAAAACATTCAATTAAAACTTGATTAGAGTTACTTCACTCGCTATACTAAAATTATTTTTACTTACAGTTGTAGTTATTTAAAAAAACGATTACGAATTTAACGATAGCTTTCAGTCAATACATAACAAAAGAATTTGACGATTACTTTCAGAAAGATCGAAATTCAAATTTTCTTCTCTGATCTTTTTTTCTTTTCTATTCAAACCGAGACACATGAGATAATAAACATAATTTCGTTTTATAGCAGTGCTTAAACTTATTTGCTTAACTCCCTCCGCCATGTTTCATTTTCCATCCGTAAAATCTGATTGGACAATTTTTAAATAAATGTACAAAGTGTTTCCGGTTCGATAATGAAATGATTTTGCGTAAAAAAGTAATAAAATTGTTTCACTCGAGGCTTTGTTTTCGGCGAAAATTATAAATATAAAAATTTGTCAAGTATTGTTGAATTCAGCTAGTCCTACTTTTGAAAAAAAATAAATAATTAACAGACGGTTATTTTGCGCGCGAAAACCAGATCAAAAATGTAGAATAAAATTTGTTTTGTTTTCGAAAAAGTCGAGTTTAAAATTCAAAGTTTATTCTCTTGAAAACGAAGCTTCAAATGAAAAAATTTTATTCTTTCTTTCAGACTATACTACACTTTTTATGTAGAATCATCTTCTTTCTTTCCTTTCTTTCCTGTATAACGATGGACATTCAACCTTCGAATTTTGATTTTGATATTTGTTTTTTTTCTAAAATTAAGGCTGAAACTTGAAAAACTCTCAGAAAGTATCTTGAAAGTTCGATGGATATTTTTATACTTTTATAAAGATGAAAAATAAAGTACAATGTAAAAGATCGAAGACAACGATATTGTATATATATATATATTTATATATATCCATATTACATATATCAAAGGTACAACACTCTTTCGGATATATTAAATCCGGAGAACCTATCAAAACTCGAAATTAAAAACTTGTCAGAAGCTTTTCAAAAGCTTCGTTGAACCACGCTCGAGACGATTTAAATTTCCCACCGCGTGCGTACAAGTATACATCGTCGGAAGACCGCATTCAGACCGCGTCGCTATGCACGTAATTGGTATCTACTGCCATCATATGTTCCGCGGAACTATGTTACCTCGAGCGTAACTGTCCACATATCATAGAAAAGAAACTATCGCGTTCGTGATTTGTGAACAACAAATGGCTAACGCATTAGACGTTGTCGATTGGGAAGGTAGATCTCGTCCGAAACTATCGCTTACATTCTTTGATTCATTCTCCGCGGTTTTGTCAGTCCCTGTCTATTGAAATAATCTTGCAACAAGTAATACAACGGCTTGTTTTGACATATGTCATTCTACTCTTAATTTCGTTCCTTTCGTCGCGTCTAACGACGAAACATGATATTACACTATAAGCTTTTGCTCGAATTTAATAGAAATGAAAGTTTTCGCTTTCAGAGGTTATATTAAAGTACTTTACTTTCGTTGTATATCGGAACTCGTTCGTTAACGTATACAAAACAATTCAAAAGGATTTTATTATTACAATCGTAAGATAAAAATTCACTTGACGCGATAGGTTTATTCGCAATGAGATCACTTTGTAAATGGTATAAATGCTATGACGGTTTTCCAGCAAATTTTGGTGCAAAAGTGTACCTAACCTCATATTGAAAAATTAATTAGTCATCTTACTTTAACAATCGGAAGCTGCTATTGATACTGCTGTTACTAGACAATTTTTTATCTCTTAGATTAAAAGCAATTCATGTAACTTACATTTGAATATGATACTCTGCCTATTAATTATATCTTTACACAGATTTATCGCTATAGGTAATTAATTAATTTCGTATTAAATTTTAGATCTTAGAAGGCAGGCAAGACACTTGGAAAATGAGATTGATGCAAAACTAGTAGCATTCAGCAAGCTTGGTGTCAATAGCGGATCCAAGCTTGTCAATACAGATGAAGTACCTCTTTTGGATGAAGAACACGTGTTTGAGAACATGGCCTCTGAAATAGAAGCACTATTGTCCAAAGTAAATTTAAAATATATTTATCATCACGTTATTATATTCATGTTATGTTTTCAATGATCTAAACTATATGTTTGTTTGTTGTTATTTGTTGTAGTTATTTTCTATAAATGAGAGAATGAGCAAATTGCAACCAAATGGCGCTGCAATGTTACACACGATGCAACGCCATAAAGACATATTGAAAGATTACAAACTGGAGTTCAACAAAATTAGAAATAATTTTGCTGCAAGGAGAGACAGAGAAGATCTGCTAGGGAATGTCCGTAAAGAGATCGAGTACGTATATCTGTTATTTTATTACTTTGAATTGTTTCCCTTTACATGTTTGACTATGAGTTTATAAATGTTGTATGGAGCACAGTAATTACAAAAGTGTGAGCGGGCTGAACCGACGGGAAATGTATATGAAAGAGAATCAACATGTTCATAAGTGAGTATCGCTTTTTATATCATTCGTTTTATGGCAATTTACGCAGTTAATTATACGTATATGATGTAAAGCACCGTGTCACACTTTTTGGTGACTACAAGACTGAAGGAAATTCCCTTTTTCAGTTCGGATCGGTTGTTGAATGATCAAATAAGTATAGCAATGGAGACACGAGATCATTTGATGACCCAGAGGCAAACATTCAAACGTATACAGACCAGACTGAACGACATTTCAAACCGGTTTCCAGCAGTAAATAGTCTAGTGCAAAGGATAAATCTGCGTAAAAGACGAGATTCGCTTATACTCGGCCTTATTATCGGATTTTGCACGTTTCTCATGCTGCTCTATGCTTTTCACTAAATAACACTCTATACCAAAGTACTTCCACTCGTTAGTGATTCATCGATGGGAATGCATACATGTAGACGAAGTATTTGGTGATATATGTATTTACGATATATAAACGGATAGGAAATTGAAGTTGAAAAACGAGCGACTGTGTGCGACTTGTGCGTAAATGAATTCCGAAAGGCCGAATGAATGTTTTCTCGTTCTTACAACTTAAGAAGGGTAAAAGAAAAAAAAAAAAACGAAAAATGTTAAAACTGTACAGTTTTTTTTATACGTAACGTAAGTCGTGGGTAATGCTATGTAAAAAAAAGATTAAAACCACGATTCATGTGTTAATTTAATAAATATTAAAACAAACGATAAAGATTTTATGTATTTACAGAATCGTTTGTTCTTTCTTTCTTTTTAATTTCCTATGTACACGCGTGACTGTATAATTGTTACGCCGCTTTGCACCTTTGGGCAAAGACGATGCGAGAAACCATGCATGCAGAGAGGAAACCAAGTTTTCCAATTTTTCTACTATATTTCGTATGATGGAAAGAGAAAAACAAAATCGCGGTGGTCGACAAATTGCAGTGCAGTAGACTGATATTTATATAAGACTTTTTATTTGCTGTTAATACGATTCAATGCAAGTACTGAGTTTGTGCTTGCAAAAGGAAACAATTTATATAATCCTTTTCTTACGGGGATCCATTGTATTTTATACGCCTACGAATCAATGTTTTCCGGACGCTTTTTCGCGGTACAACATATACGTTTCAAAGCAACAGGAGAAAAAGATGCACGACGATCACTATTTAAGCAATTACGCAGTAACGGAGGAAAATAACGTTAATGCGATATTGTAATTGATAAGTGTGTGTAGCTTTTTTTAAAGTTCGAAAGATCGAGCCTTGTTAACGTTACTTTTTTTTCTCTTTTTTTTTCATTTTTTTACTAAGAAATATTGATTTTACATTACACAGAAAACATTTATACATGTATATATACGTACACGCACGTACACACATATATATATGTATATATGCATAGGATTCTTAGAGTCTCTTACTCGAATTCACAAAACACAGCACATTACGAAAGGAATCGTTCCGGCAATTGTGGTGCCTGGTTTCCACGTATACTAGATACCACATTTATAAATAACACCTTGTTTGTAATAGGAACTCAAGCAAGAATTGTAAAAATATCGAATACAAGGTACACGTATGACCTAAATCTGCTTTATATCCTTTAATATATATATTTACACTTTGTGAAAATGTTTTGTTATAATCACAAAATCACTTTTAATATTTTAATTTCTCTTTTTTTTTTCTTTTTCTATTTTTTTTTCTCTGCTTTTAGCTGATGGTTTTGTCTCCGATAACTTTAATCAAGAATCTCCACGTTTACGGAAGAGAGAGAGAGAGAGAGAGAGAGAGAGAGAGAGAGAGAGAGAGAGAATTTCTCTATACAAATGTTGCGGCTTTATACGAAATGAACATGCCTCACATAATTAAAACACAAATAAACAAAATGAACGGATGATCACTCGAACAAATTATTTTTATAATGTACAGTAATAAATAATTTATTAAATATCCTCTATCATACCAATTTTTCACGGGAAAAGACAACGCAATAAAAAGTTTCTTATTTTACGCTACGTATTTTATATTCTTCCCCCGTTTTTCGCTTTGTTTCTTCCTGTTTTATAAATGCAATATATAGTGTATCCGTAGAAACGTATTATTCTCAAATTTTGTTCTCTCAAATGGATTACATCAAAACGATTCTCTGTAGTAAGAATAGTTGCGAAGACAAGAAAATATTCACATGGCAATTTTCTCGTTTCGACAGCGTCTAAACACGCAAACGCTAATTTTCACATATCCTCGAATTTGTTGTTATTACTATTATTTTTTTTTTTTTTTTTTTTTTTTTTCTTTTTTACTTTAACATTTCTGATGGAAATTTTACATTTTAATTGCCGGTAGTTCTAGCGTTAATCNTTTTTTTTTTTTTTTTTTTTTTGTTTCTATTTCATTTCTCTAATGGAGATTCTACTTAAAATTCTATTGATTTTTTCTTTTTTTTTTCTTTTTTTTTCAAGATACCCTATTCACCATTTTTATGTTCAAATGGATCTTCCAGTTTTCTTTTCTTGTTTATCGTATAGACAACAGATTGCGAGATCCAATTTCAAACGTAGCTCTATCAAAACTTGTCCGGGCGTACAAACGAACAACAGGACATCTACTCAATATACATGCGAGTCGCATGACTACCTTATGATTTCTGAATATAAATATACTGTCATGCTGTAATCGTTTGAATCTAATTTTTTTGCTTGTAAATGTTGACTACTTGTAAATAGAGAATTATTGCGAGACGAGGTTCCGCACACCTTCTCGAACGCAATCTTTCTTTTCTCTTTTTTTTTTTTTTTAAATCATCCGTCTTGTTTTTCCAACTTATCATTGCTAATATCGTTGAGATAACGCCGTTATCGTTTTGTCTAACATGATAAAAGATTAAAAAAAAAAGAAATTACACTTCGCATAAATACACTACGAAAGACGAACATTTTTGCAGTAACGAACGAGAATCACACACTACCTTGGCACTCGTTTCACAAGTTAACGAACGTTAGTTTTCAACGCAAAAATTTACAAAGTCGAACTCCCGTTTACTCTACCTCGTCTCCCGATTCCCTTGTAATAGTAATAATTGTTCTGCAATTGGAGTACTAATACTAATAATAGTAGCATAATGTAATAATATTAACCCTTTCGCGGCCAGACGAATGCACGAAATGAATATTATATAATTTGCATTATATAATATTGTGCTAGCAACAATTACACTGTTGTTTCGACTTAACTTTCGATAAATAATTAAAAGTTGAAGACTGAAGTCGCTTGATTTCAATTATCATTTTTATCTTGAAGGAAACTACTCTCAGAGCGAGACGCAGCATTGGGAATGTCTACTTCCGGCGATAGGGTTAATGATAGCAGTAGTAATGGTCATTAATTAACTATCCGATCAGTTTAACGATCAAACAAAAGAATTGGAACAGTTGCGTATACATCTGTGTATATTCCAGCGAGAATCGACTATTTGTTGCACTGTCACTCTTATACGTGTATTTACCTCTAACGCTACTTGTATATCATTTCTGTCAGGTTTTCCTTACTTTTCCAATAGTGTAGTTTTTCCATTAATCAGTCGCGATATATATGCAAGTAAGAAAACCTTCGCCTAACTAGGATTTTAACTAACGATCGATCCTCACCAATTTGTTCTTTGAGATATGATTAGCATAAGATACGGCTTCTTAAGTCATACGCATCGTTATATAGTTTATAATCTTACGCCTCCACATAAAAACTCGATATCGGTTTCTTTTTCTTTTTTTTTTTTGTTTTTCATTTTTTGCTTTGTTTTCGTAATAGACGCAAACGTAAAGCTATCCCTTATATCGGTTAAAACTCATCTACAACGCAACGCAGTCGCAGGAAAGAAGAAAAGAAATCATCGCTCTATGTGCACCGACGTATTTTACAAAACAATGTAATATGTCTGGCATAAAAGGAGTTATAATAGCAAATGTACTTCGTGTGTAACTATTATGGATTTGAGATACATATATATATATTTAATTTTTTTCTTTTATCCAGCGTGAAAAGAAGACAAATGGAAAGTAGAAAAAGATATTCGTTTCCACTAAACGCCCGGTTAAACGCGAGCGCAGTCTACGACTAAAATTAGAAAGAAGAAAAAGAAATACTCTAGCTAGTTAATAATCCTTCGAGATGCAACAGGCGAGAAAAGTATACCTGGTCAGAACATCTGACGTAAACAACCTGTCGAAAACCTAACGAAAAGATAAGTTCGACTCTCGTGCAATTCGCAGGTTGGAAATTGTTCATGTCACACGTTCGTTTCACTCTCGTCGTTACCAAACCAGGGGGGAGTTCATAAATTCCAACTTTCGTTATCTACCTGGTACATCCTTATCAACTGACTTAATTAATTTACGCCTTTGCCATATATTCGCAAGTGCACCCTCTTCTTTACTGAATTTCGTCGTAAGACTTAAGAAGAGGGATTTATCCACGCTATATTCACATCAATCGCTTCTTTTGGTCCTGCGTTTGGTAATAAATTAAAAAAGAATTCGTTAAACCTCAACAGAGTTAAGATAAATCTCATTTTCGAAATTGCATCAGTTACTCACCTATAAAAGCGAATTAACGAATTGTTCAAAATGTAAGTTCTTCGGTATTCTCGGCATCTGATGACAATTCTTGACGTAATATCTCCATACAGGATTTTGGAATAAGAGTACCGACTATTTTTAAACCTTCATCTGTAACAAAGGAGTAAAAAAAACATTTGCAACAATTCCCGCTTTGTGCTTACCACGTGACTTTATATTTGTCATTTTATCATTTTATCATTTAAATCGTTATTTTGTCATCGTCTCGCTTTGTCATTAAAATCTTCGTAAAACTTACCAGTTCGCAAACGTACGACTTGCATCTTGGAGTTGTGTGCAGAACGAGTTGCAAGAATGCTTTCGACTCGGCTCCAAACGCTCAGTACCGAACCTGACAATACGTTGTAGGAACGCCTTCGGAGCCCAACTTCGCAATCCATACCAAGAGTCGCGTTTTTACAATTGCCGCGCCAGTAAGCGTGCGAACACGTATCTACAGACGCTTCGTATTGTTGAGACCAGTGTGGCTCCGCTTCGTCCGAAGACACCTTCTTATACTTTTTCTCCAATTCACCCAGAGACTCTTGTCTCAATTGTAAACCTGTATTGGGTCTTTCAAAAAAAGTACATGATCACGACACGCGCTCAATTTTAAATTAACTCATAATAATCATGTTCTTATATTTAATGCACGAAGAAAATGTTGTACCTGTAAACCATATATAGCTGATCCTTTTTACTCTCGGATTTCTTCTTCCCGGTATCTACCGCAACAGCAAGGATCGCGGTTTGTTTCCCATTGCGGATTTGATGGCTCAAGTAGAATCCCTCTTTCGACCCCGTTAATTCGGAGCACTTGTCCATTGCCTCTGCCCAATTCATTCCACGTTCAACGTGGACAACGTGAAGCTCGGTCGGCGCCTTTCCGGTGGCATGCTTTCGCAGGAAACGATACAGCCTAACCCTCTTCACGTTCTCTCCAGACGTGCCAAGATCGAGGATACCCATGTCGAAACGGCCGGTTTTCTTCGCTTGCGTGACAATCGCCGTCAGGGTGTCGGTGAAGTATTTGAACAGCCGATTTTGTAGATCGACCGGCATACCAAGAATACGATTCAAGAACTTCGACATGTTGTTGTAGTCTTTGTCCAACGTGAGCAAGCCGGGCGTGCTCTCGCTGTTGCAAATCAAACCAACGCCAACCAATGCGTCAGCCACATCTTTGAAGAAGTCTCCGTGATAGTCCTGCGGCGGTGGTACCAGCGGTGGTTCGTACCTATAGTATTTCATTTACAAGAAACAAATAAATTAACTCAGTAAATCACGTTGATGGATGAAAAACGCGCAATAGTATTAATGTATAATGATGTATTTTTTCATATGTAATAATTTGTCAAATTATAAGAAGCATACGAACTTCATTATAGTTCTCATTGTCGCCTCGAGCGCTGCACGTCCGTATTTGTTGTCGATATTGAACTGGGAGAAATCCCTGGTTTCTGTGGCCCTTCGATCACCGTGCGTCAGGGCTCCAAGACTCTCCAAACGTTTCGCAACGATGGACGCGAATCGTCGTTCGCCAGCCAAATCTGAGATGAGAAATATATACTCCGGGGCATTCACTTGATTGGAACGATGCGTCCGTCCGAACTGCTGTATCGCTCTGTCCGCGCTCCACGGTAATTCCAAAGTGATGTGCACTCTTCGCATCTGGTTCCTCGCTCGTCTATCGCTCTGCAGTGATATACCACTGCTGGCTGCTTCCGAGATAATGGCCACCGTTTTCTCACCATCCATAAACCTATTGTGATCGATTGATTTTAGTCACCTTTTTGCAACGTACATTGCAAGACAAATTGATCGTATACCTCTGTTTTTCGGTCAAATTAAGCGTTTCTAATGGAACGTCCACCTCAGACCTGGATTCATACTGAATAGTACCATCTTCGGTCTGAACTACACGCCCTTTTCTACCGGTCATCTCAGCCACATTTTCCGGCCCGCCAAACTCGTCGATCAGTTGATCCAAAGTATTCGGTGGCAATCGGTCCCCTAAATCCTCGATTTGTGATAGCAACTCCTTCTTCATGGTGTAAGCACGCTCTATGGCGTCTCTCGATGGCGCACGATTGCGCGTTGCTCCAGCGCCCGTAGGTCCTGCATAATCCACCAATGTATCATCGCTACATTTACATTAATACTTACGGAGATATCTCTGAGAACGTGGAATATATACCAGTTCGTTTTTTCACTGGTTTCTTTTGCTTCTTAGCGCCCTTTTTCCTTCGCCTCCCGTCGCCCGAATCTACAATGTGAACGCGAAATTAATAGAATGAACTTCAACTGAATTAATGTAATCCCCAATTAATCCCCTTATCTCACAACGATTTGAACAAAGTATACTTATTAAGTTTTCAATTTTTACTTATTAAGTATACTTATTAAGTATTTCAATTTAGCTTTGTAGTCTGGAAAATTATCATTTATTTCCAAAATCAACATGTATTTACGCTTCACAATTAGAAACCCTAAATACTAAACTGAACGTTGATAACGTTGATAACGTAAAACCTACCAGAGTCTGATTCGCTGTAATTGTAGGAAGAATCAGAGGTGATGTTACTCTCTTCATCGGTCCTGTGGTCATCCTCGCTCTCGCTACCGCTCTGTTTGTATTCCGAGCCGGAGCTATGCCCACCACCGTTTCTCTCGTCGTCGGTGAAATCGTCATCAGACGGAAACGTACGAACTCTCTTCGAGGCTCGTTGAGCAGCCTGTCGTATCGGTTTCCTCTTGCTTCCACTCGCAGAACCACCGGCACCGTCGACGTCGTCGAGATCCTCCAGTCTCTGCATCTTCGACGGTTCGATGCCGAGAACCCGGTGTATGTGATTGCGATCCGACGCTGGAAAGTGCTTCTCGACCAACGTCTGAAGCACTCCTCTAAAATAAACACATTCATACAGAGACGAATCAGTATTTTTCCCTTCCTTTCTGTTTCTATTTCATTAAATTATTAAAACCGAATGATGGATTTTTACTTCGCAGTGGAAACGAAATCGCTCAATTCACCGTCGTCGCGTTCCAACTGTTCTAACGTGCGTGCCTCGCCGGTAGATTGTAGACCGATGACCACGCATTTCCCGCACTTCACGGCCTCCCGCGCGACTGCCACGGCGTGTTTCACCTTGGCCGCGATACAAAGGTACTTGAAGAAACGCTGATGAGACGACCAGAATTGCCCCCACATGGTTTTCTTCATACGATTCTCAGCGTCCAACAACTCCGCCGCCTCTTGAAATCTTTGCATTGCCTCGACCCACTGACACAAGATTCGACAGTTATCGACTGTTGCTATTGATCGACTCGACGTCGTTGGATTTTTCTATTTCGGTACTCACAAGTTGTACGGAACAATCGTAGATCTCGGTGAAGTCTTTGGATAACGGTACTTCCTCTATTTTGAAAGCTACGCCGTGAAAGCTCAGCTGTCGCGCAATGTACATGCCTCGTAGCTTCATGTCCATCGCTACGATCTCCATTGCGCCGACTCCCCGCTTCTCCACGGCGGTGATGAAATCGTTGAATTCGGGGAACGGCGTTCCTTCGCCCCACATGCCTAATCGGACCATATACGCCATATTACGTGGCTCAGACGCACCCGTGGCACTAGCGTAAACGACTCTAGCTTTGGGAAGCTTGTTCTGTAACTCCAATACTGTCAAACCTGGAATACATTTGGAATTTTAATATTATAAATACGCCAAGCAAGTTACAAATTTGTAACATGAATGACGTGTTTAATATACGGACCAGTTTTGGTGGGCTTTGAGCTTCCTGTAGGGCACAAATTCTTCGCCCGATGACACTCGTCGAATATAATCAGTCCATCGAAATCTTCGCCGCACCACTGCAAAAGCTGCTTCAACCGACTCTTGTATTTTCCACCACTCTGCGAGGATTCTCCGATTAGAGCCGAATACGTACTGAATATCACTCCTTTCTTCACGTTGCCGTTCTGCGCCGACGAGATCTTCGCGTACTTGAATTTATTCAACGCATGAACCTAAAAACACAATTTGTATTTGATGAAATTTTATGTTTTTACATAACCAATATTTTCAATTTAAACAATACCTCAATTTTCGACGCGCCAATATCGTTCAAATCGCGCTCTGCGTCATACTTGAGATCATTGGATACGGAGACCCAGATAGCGCGTTTTCTTCCCTTCAAATAATTCTCGAATATAATTCCGGCTATGGTTCGTCCTTTGCCGACTCCTGCACCATCACCGATAAGGAAACCAGCGCGTGTACCGTCCGGCAAGAGGTGTTCGTGTTGCTGAGATGCGTACGTTATTGACTCAAGTTGCAACGCAGACAAAGCTCCAGTTCGTATCGTTTCTTCTGGTATCGAAACCTTGTACCAAACATCCGTTGGCTCGACGCTAGACAACGATGCAGTTTCCACGACAGGATCCGGGTGTTTTCGACCAAGCTTAACTTTAACGTTAACGTTACATTAATTAATCTAAATTAATCTAAGAAGTCAGTTATTAAATTTTGAAAATAAAATTAGACATACGTTTGGTTGGCATGTAATCGGCGTACGTTTCCGCGACACCCATATCATCGTCATCCACTTCTTCCTCTTCTGGTATATTTGGTTGCATGTTCATCTTCGCAGGATCTCCAGCATTCATCCATAATTGAGACACAGCTTTGCCTGCAATAACATTTTAAATCATGTAATCAGTATATCATGAGATTATAATTTTATTACGTATTATAGTAATTTTATTATTAGTTATTAGTATATTATGTTGTATTATTATATTATAGTTACCAACAATATTAAATGATTCCAATTAGTATTGTTACAAACATAATAATTACCTAAGTTTCAATAATTTTACGACCATGTAAAGTGTCCTCAAAACATTAAAAAAGTAAAAAATACCTGATAGACCAGCTGGCCAGTTTGGATTTAAACCATTTTGGTTTAACAACTGAACTAGTGGATTGACTCCCATGTTCATTCCTGGCATGCCCATAAAACCGCTCATTAAGCTCATATCCATACCTGGAAAATAATACTCATAACTATTCAGCCACTTATTTAATGTATTATTTAATAATACCATTTAAAATAATTGCAAACGATACAATGGTTAATTAGATAACTTAAATTAGCAATGTTAACATTATAGTATGAAATTTATGAGGATATACAAGTACAAAAAGTAATTGCAAAAGTAATTATGTTATTGCAAAAATAATAATGTATGTGCATAATTGATTTATACATACATTGAATATGTACTTGATTCTTACTTGATCTTTTACAAATAAGAATGAACTCTTCTGATTGCACACATACTGTATACATTGTAAAATTTTATGAATTAGTAAAATATACTTTGTACTTACTTGGTGGAAAGAAGGCCGCAGGATTAAAACCTGCAAGAGTTGCCAAACCTGGTGGAAAATATGGTCCACCGGCAGCAGCCAACTGGCCTAATTGTCCTAAATGGTTTGCATTAACAAAACCAGGTGGCGTACCCTGTGATCCTCCTACACGTACCATTTCATAACCTGGTGCCGCTGTTTTAGTCACTAATCCACCAGGAATTTTGTTTCCAATCTTCTGGTTCATCACTGTGAAAGAAATATGATTTCAAATACAATTTTTTTTAGATTCGTTACATTGTTTCATTGTGTTGATTCTTACTGTTTAAACCTCCCTGCCCTTTAGCCATAGCATTAGATGGAGCATCTGCAGGCTTTTCATCCTTAATATTTGCAATCCCTGTGGCAGTGGCAAGGTCTTTTCCACCACCTGAAGAGAATGATTATGTGTTAGGTATGACAGTTCTTTGCATTCAGAAATCAAATTACTTACCAGGTACACCCATGTTGTCGGGATCTTCATCTTCATCGCTGCTACTATCCTCGTTTATTGCATCCTTATCCCTTTTGTTTGACTGAGAAACAATTCATTCAGAAAATAACATTATTATTTCAACGACAGAACCATTATTTATAAATTATAGATACTAGTAAATTTATAACAAAACAATGGATCATGTGTCTCAATTCGTTCTAGGTTATAACTTATCTATTTTTATACTTTGAATAACTTTTTATCTATGAATGCAAGTATACGTTAAATTTAAAACGCCATTGCATGCGAGCATCCTTTCATATACATCTTAATATCATCCCACATCTATGGATTTGTTTATCATGAAAAAAGAAACGAATACAGGCAACAATGAAGCAAACAACATCAACAGTTATAAAAAAAAACAACGTCTGCAACATTATTTTCTGATAGACCGTAGTTCGTACTTTGTAGGAAGAGAATTTAAAAAACCAGAAGAAAAAGGAGAGATTATTGGCGAGCTTTCTGGGACACAATGAAAAAAAAAATTGGAGGGAGAACAACGCGCGCGAATCATGCGAAACAACGCTTAACGAAGATTCACTGAATGACGATGGACACGCGCGTCAAGCAGGTGCCTGAACGAAGAGGAAACGAATCATATAAACAAAGGCTCTCACCATGTCAGCAGATCCTTTCGTAACCTTCTAGATTATCGGAGAGCCAAGGTGAACGGAGTGCGTCTCTGGACAGGAGCCCTCAACGGGCGAGCGATCGTCCTCGCCGTACGCGGTCGGTAGATGCTAACTGGAGTGACAGGACGCACGGAACACGGCAACTTCTTTTTTTTTTTTCCCCTTGCTGCGGGGAGCAACCTCTGGCCAGTGCCTCGTCAGACACGCTGCATCACTCAGTGACAACTTCTCGGCCAGTGGATTGCTCGAGCTGCGAGACGAACGACGTTTAGAGTTTACCGTACGGCTGTGGTTGCAGTGACATTCGCGCGGCCTAGGCCGAGCGTACGATTAAAGCGCGTTCGACAGACACGGCTGCCGCCATCTTGGCATTCGCCCGGCCCACCGCGAGATGCAAATACAAAAACACACGCGCTCACGGCTATGGCCGCCGCTTGCAGGCTATGACTGGCGCGACGTTGCCGGTTCGCGTCGATATAAGGGGACGTTTTCAGGAGCGCGTTAAACCTGGGGAGAAAAAAAAATTGCCCATTGCTCCTCCTCGAGGAGAAAACGATCGGTAGAGATTTTCAGTTTTGCGATCCCGGATAGAAATATTCGAAGCTAGCTCGACTTTTAAGTCGAGAGGCACGCGACGAGAAAAAAAAGAGAGTCAAGGTGTGTCTAGAGCGAGCGAGAAAACAAACCGGGATATTCCGACATCTATCGACTTCGTTTCGTAACTACATTTTTCATGACGACGACGCATGCAAATTTAAAGCGTGCAGCGAGCGAAGGCGTCGGCGTGTCAACGACGTACGAACAATATATCAACGAGACGCGTTTGGATGTTGGCACGTGATACTCGAGAAGAGAACAGTTCGCAACGTTCTTTCTTTTTCTTTCTCTCCCTCTCACTAACAAACAATGCCTGACAGAAAATCTTAGTACCGTTCGAACAGATAAAGTTGGCCGAAATTTGGCGGCTCTTCTCTGCAGCAGGGGCTGTAGGCTGTCACGGCGAAGAACACGGACGACACAAGACAACAGGCCCGTTGACACACGTTGCGAAGGGGGTTAACCGGTTGAGAGAGCTTTTGGCCGATCGTTTATTCGAACACGTGTACTCTGAAGTCACAACGAACGCGTAAACAAACCATGGACACCGCGTGTCATGTGTTTGTGAGAGCGCGTGGCCCCGCGATGCACTTAAATAAGTACGAACCCGATAGACGATGCTTGGCAACGCCGCACAGTGGCGCCGCGCTGATCGTTAGTCGATTTAAAGTATCCGCGGTAAAAAGAAAAGAATACGACTGACAACTCCGCGTAGGAACGTCGAGTAACCGAGTTTCCGGCGGATCTCGAGTCCCACGGGGAAACTGGACGATCCCGAGCGAAACTCTCGCCAAAATAATACGCACCCGCCTGCTATTCAACAATCGCTCGCCTAAATCCGTCTAAAAAATAATCGTCGTTCTAATACGATCGATCCGAGCTTCGCGCCGCTCGCGTCGCCATCTGGTGGCTGACTCCCGGAAACCACGCACATCCGTTCGAAGACGATTTGATTTTCTCGAGTCTACGGGCAATTGGACTCCGACGACGATCGTCGTCTATGAAAAGGGGTCGGGCGAAATAAAGGAAACAAACACGTTTATTTAGAACGTTGTTTGTTGACCCTTTGAGTTCTATGGACTACGCGTATATGCGTCCGGCGAGAATCATTGGACCATATATGGATGCACATATACGTTTTTTTTTTTTTTTCTTTTTTTGTCGATGTCACGCGTACCGCAGTGACAATTGTTGTTGGAAATACAGTCCTATCACGCCCGAACGAATTAAGTTTAGGAGATTTTAAACATATAATTCAAATTTCTTTTTTTTAAATGATTAAACCATCCAATTGTATCGATATATATATATATATATATATATATATATATATATATATGTGCATATAAAATTTTTATCTTTCGCGAAATGAATTTAACATACATATACAAAGTACTTACGTATCATAAATCTGCACATTTGGTTGTTTAGAATGTAAGTTTAAAGTTTTCCACAATTTTGGTTAGGTTTGTTAAGTTCAAACATTCACATTTATTAACATATCTTCTACATAATTTAAATTCTTTTTTAAAATAATTCAATTATTTAATTGCATCGATATACATATGAATAAAATGAATCTAACACAGATATAGAGTAATCACGTAATTTAAAAATGAATATTTTGTTGTTTAAAATGTAAGTTTAAAGTTTCCCACATTTTTGGTTATGTTTGTTTTCAAATATTCAGATCCGTTAATCTATCTTATACATAATTCAAATTCTTCTTTAACATAATGAAATTATTTAATTTTATTGATATAGATACAAGTAAACTGAATTCAACACTGATATAAAATATTTATTTAATTTAAAAATGGACATTTTGTTGTTTAGAATGTAAGTTTAAAATTTCCCACATTTTTGGTTATGTTTGTTTTCAAATATTCAGATTCGTTAATATACATCTTACACATAATTTAAATTCTTCTTTAAAATAATTGAGCTATTTAATTGTATCAATATATGTATACATACAAAAGTTTTATTTTTCGCGAATCCAACGAATTCAACATAGATATAAAATATTTACGTAATTTGAAAAATGAAGATTGAGAATGAAATCATAAGGCAAGGAGTTAATCGCGCAGCGATGTATTCGTTATCCTTGGAACGGAATATACATATGCATACGTGGACATTTGTATATCGTGCAATTTAAATGACTGTTAAATTATTTTTACACGCATCTGTACATCTCTTAACTCGAAAAGAATTAAAATTTTTTCAAATACCGCACGCACCTTGGAAACATTCGCGTTCTAAAGAAAAGAAACTTTCTTGCGATCAAAGACACCTGTGTTTTCCAGCTTTAAATAGCCTTTGATATAAAGAAATATACGGACTAATGAAATGAAAATGAACGCTTATTGTAAAAATCTATTTCATTATTGAAGCATCGATCTCCGACGAGGATTCCATCATCCAAAAGATAAATTCCACAAGAGTACGAGAGACAAAGGTGACCAAAGAAAATTGATAGATTTAATCTAAAACATAGTGTACATAAGTACGTATCTAATGCAACAAAGGCGAAGACAAAGTCAGTGTCTAATTTAATAATAGTACATCTCGTGGCGTATCTAGAGTAGGCAACATGGCGGCATGTTCGGTGCGTTACTTCGATGTTGTTTGTAATTAATGCATCGCCCCTTTGAAGGCACGCCTCGAATCGATCGACGAAATTCGACGAACGACGACGACGACATAAATCATTTCTCGTATTAGTCTCAAATGTCGCTTCGTGCTCGTAGAAATAGACGGGCAAGCGTGAGAACTCGAATTCGTCGTGCAATCGTCATTCATGGTTGAACACACCAGTGTCGATTAGCGTCGAGGTGGACCGAAACGACTCGTCTCGTTGGTAGACCAGAGTTTTGTATGAGAAGAGTCAAATCGGTGTTTGCACGTTGCGCGGGAAAACCAAGGGGTAACATGGTGAAAGGTAGGGATGCAATTTGAGAAAATTCGTCCACACTTTCACTGAACATTTGCTTCTGATAATCAGGTTATGTTTTGATAGGTTTCACTTTCTCTCTCTCTCTCTCTCTCTCTCTCTCTCTCTCTCTCTCTCTCTCTCGAAGATAGCTTTTCCAGAACTTCGTTTTCTAACTTCTCGGAATAAATTGCCAAGATCAATTCTTGCTCGTACATGTGCAATTGCAAGAATGTTACAAGATTCATAGGTGAATAACACACTGCACGAAAACGTCGAGTCCCGAATGGCTCTCCCTCGTATTTTGTATGTCGCTATTCGTTATGAATAAGTAATCGTGCGTGTAGTAAAATCACTTGTAATTATCTATGATAACAATATTTCCTGTGTCAATTGTTATCATAGATACCGACGCACGTCTCTCTGTGACAGCAAGATAATCTACAATAATAGTGCAGATATTTGCGCTGTTAGATACACAATGTGTTTTTTTTATTGCAATGATAAGACATAAAACACGACACATGATATACGTGTGTACAAGATGTATATAATTACAAAAAATAGAATAAAATAATTAGGCTAGTGAAATATAATTAGACCAATAAAATATATAATGGCATATAATTTTTTATGTTGGGATATCTTTTTTTTAAATTACGTGTCACGTTTAGAAGAATTTATGAAATTTAATGTTCGTAAACAGCTTGGTTTAATTGCAGGGAGGCGAAAACGCGTGCAAACAAAGAACACAGTTCATATGAGGACTGCTTTGTCCAGCCAATGTGAGGCAAATTCACCAATGAAGAAGGAGGCCAAGTTGAATGTCAGTAAAAGTGTTAAAAATGTCAACTTGGGCCAAGTCCATTCAGTATCCGAGGAACACAAACCACATGCGTGTATAAATTCCTTTTTGTATGCACAAGTATGTAATCTTCATTTTCAATACCTTGGAAATTGAATAAAATTTCAAGCAATTGCAAGAATATTGGTTCATTTCTTAATTTTGAATGTTTTCTCTTTGGGTTATGTGGAAAGATTTTTATTAAAAATTACATGTTTTCAAACGTAGATTGCAGATGTTTCTACAAATGAAGCTTCTACGATGCCTATTGAAGAAAACTTTTTCAGAAGCGAGGAAACCAGTGATATACAAGACGACATTCTTATAGACGTTGGTCAATTCAAAACAGATGGTAATGTTCCATTAACGTTCGCTTAAGTGATATTGTTAATAATTCGGTAAATACAATTTCAGAAACACCCGTCGCGGTACCTATCCATGGTCCTTCGACACCACATAGAATTAAGATGCCAAGCAGTGAATTGGAGGATCTAGATGATAGAAATGCAAATGAAAACATGCATAAGAAATCTGTCATAACTTCTGCGCTTAACCTAGAGCAGCAGTCATTTAAAAAGCCTGCCAGTCACAACCGTAGAAAATTAAATAGCAATCAGTCTGCCATAAGTCGTTCGATAGATCCGTTGAATGCCAAAAGTACAAATCACAAGCTCACTGACTACTTTCCAGTCCGCCGTAGTGTAAGAAAATCGAAGAAAGCAGTGTTGGAAGAGAAACAACGTGACATGGAGAATAAAGTGCTTTGTCAAGTGGAGGAAGGCTTAGAAGTAAGACGCTTCGACGAAAGAAAATTGTTATTTTGTCGCAAACTCTACACACTATGTCTTCTTTTCTTTTTAGATAAAACACTTTGCTGGTAAAGGTCGTGGTATAGTGACAACGCGAGAGTTTATGAAAGGAGAATTTGTAGTAGAATATATCGGTGAACTAATTGACCAAGTAACGGCGAAGAAACGCGAGAAAATATATGCACAAGACCAGAATACTGGATGCTACATGTATTATTTTCAACATCGTAATCATCAGTATTGGTAAGTATCTTTTATTACCAGCGTTGTTATTTAAAATGTAAAATTATCGTAAACTACCATCTACAATATCAATATCAATATCGTATTTCTAGCGTCGATGCAACAGCAGAGACTGATAAATTAGGTAGATTAGTAAATCATTCAAGAAACGGTAATTTAATCGCTCGAGTCGTAGAGGTGGGATCGACGCCGCATCTGGTACTGACGGCGAAAGAAAATATACCTATAGGAGTGGAAATTACATACGACTACGGAGATCGAAGTCGCGAAGCAATTCGTCATCATCCATGGTTGGCATTATAGCGCTTTCAATTATTGATTAGTAGCATGATAAATTGTACAGCAGTACATCGTTTAATTAGTTTTGTACGTACGTCTTATGAAGGAACGACAAATATATATGTATATGGAGAGAGAGAGTGTGTGTATGTGTTTTAGTCGAATTTTACAAATTAATCTGAATAAGAATGTCTCTAAGATGAATGTATCCTTACTTTTAATATAACGAAATATGTAATTATATTCTTCCGTACGTGTGTAACAAAGCAAAAGAAACTGGAGATGGTTAATAATTTTGTAAGATAAATAGTATAGCTAGCATACGCGTCTCTTAAAACTATCAAACTGACAAAATAGATATTGATTCTTTCGTTGCAAATTTCTTTTACATACTGTTGCTATTATCTTGAATTATCATTTTACGACTGTACAAACATTTTTGTTTACAAACAAATTTGTACAGTATCTTCCAAAAATAATTTTTGGATAGCAAATGCTAATATATTTAGTCTTAGATTTAGTCTAGTATGGCTGAAGCTGAAGCTAAACTATTAAATATCTCGATATACTAGGCCAAAACTTTCTCCTAGTTGAAGAATTTATACATTGATCAGGGAATACTTTAGTCTCTGCAGCGCTACGATTGTGTTACAAAATAGTAGTTACTTTTCGTTTTTTATTAATTTGACACTGCCAAATTTCAAATGATTGATGGAGAACTAGCTCCTAATCAAATTCACAGACGAAAGAAGTTGCGAATAAAAGTAACACAAATGAAAAAAGATAAATCGATGGAAGCGAAGAAAAATGCCTTCACACATAAAAAAAAATAAATAAAATATCTATGATCGATTAATTATACTAAATATTTCATGTAATTTTATGTATATTTTGCACTAAGTACTTTCACCAATATCTTATCAGTATTTCTATTATCAAGTAACGTTTACTATTAGTTTTAAATATATTTTATAATAAAACAATTGCTGTATAATTTAGATATTTATATAATAATTTATTCATGTTTTCATCAATATGTTAAAATATTTTGTACAATTATATAACATAAATAAATTTTTAAAGTTGAAATTCTACGTTGACATTAGTATTGTAATAGCGTGTGTTAATATCGATCATTATTGTCATTACTATTGGTATTATAGAGAATTTATATAAAACCAGTTTTATTTTCATGAAAATTGTAACACATGTAATTTATTTCGAATCTCTGTAAATAAATACACTTGACACTATATATTTTCACGAAATATATTCTTTTTTTCATCATTATGCAAATATTCGATTTCCAACGCAAAATAATACATTTTACATCATTTCTCATTCATTATCTGCTTTAATTTCTTCATCATCCTCAGAATTTTCACCGCTTCCTATAAAAGTTTCTTCTCCCGATTTTAAAAATGACGGTGGTAAAAAAGATGAAAATTCAGCTCCTCTTGGCAAACGTATGATATTACTGGTCGGTGACTCTTCTTCTGTCAATGCGTTATTCGTATTCTTCTCTAAATCTTCCATACTTTTATCAATCAACCTGACATCAGATCTTTCAGACAATTTACTTGATTGCAGTTTTGTCGCATCGTTAGAAACTTTATTATTGCTCTCTATCGAGGAAAAAGCGTCAAAAAAAGGCATCGGTGGAGGTATAGGAATTCGCTGAGACTTGTCATTTGAGATACTTTTCGTTGTTATAGCTTTGTACATTCGCTCCAGTGCCCTTGACTCTCTTTCAGACATGGACTTTTTCTTATCGATTAAAGCGTCCTTTAATTCAGCCATGAAATTTTTAAACAACGTTTTATCCCGTTTCTGATAGTATAATGATATTTCATCGGCTTCCTCGCTCAAAGGTTTCAAGTATTCTTCTTTGATGTACTCTTCAAATACTTCATCCATAATTTCTGGTTCTGAATCAGTTACAACACGGATATTCGAATCTGCGTCTGACGTTGGAATATTCATTTCCAAACGATCGATCGCAGAGTGATTAATTCGCGATTTTATAAGAAACAAGCTACTAAACTCGATAAAGTCTTTCGCGGTTTCAACGCACTTTTGAGCTGCACTTAACTTTTGCATTGTGTTCTCCGTACAATCTTTGTCTGCTAGATTTTCAATTACATCGTTATCAATATCTTGGAGTATCGACAACATGTGACTGTAAGCCAATTGTAACTTATTAGAAGCTAAATAAACGTGCATATACAAGTCTTGCCATTGTGATGAATCTGGGCCTCTGGAATAATAGAAACATATAAACAACCTGTGATTTTTTAACATTTACAAGAACACATTGAGTAGGCATCTTTACCTGTATTTATACATGGGTTCCAATTTGAAACTGTAATAAGCATCGATATGCTTTGACAATTTATTTTTATACGTGCTTAAATATCTGATTAAAAATTCCATTATACTGGCCAATTTTAATTCGGGAATTTTTTTGTATGATTGCCTCCAAATACGATTGTCGTATGCTATAGCTAATAGGTGCAACATCTCAGACTGGGTGAGAATATAAGTATGATACAGGGTCTATTAGAAAAAATAGTATAATATATAATTCAACAGAGATATACAACTGTTAATCGTAGAATAAGTACTAGAAGACATTTCGTTTCAACCTTCAATTTTTGATAATTTATTTCACCGTGTACTTCAAATGATCTACTCTCAAATCTTGTTAGTAAATCCTCATTATAAGTATCTATCGGCAACAGTCTTATAAGAGTTAAGGAAGCATGGTAATAGGCGCAAGCAATGTCCCCTAAATATTTAACTAAACTTTCCATTATAGGTTGTAAGTATTTCAATCTACCTGCTGTAAGTTCACTGTTGAATTTGATAAATTATATAACAGTGGTAACATAACGTTATATAATAACCTGATAAAATTTAAAAGCTTACGAAAATTGTTGGAAACTTTTCCCTTTGTGTAATTTTATTTTATACCCATACTTCAAAATTTTCATTCCTTTTTTACAAAGATCAAAAAAATCATTCTGCAAAGACACAAGAGATTTTAAATTCCCATGTACCTTTATTCTCAAGAATTCCATGTAACTAATACAATATAATATAGCTAATGCAGACAAATTAGCAAAATTTCTATATTGGGTATTATGAAACGTATAAATTGAAAATGATAAAACTGTGCCAAATATGATAAATTTTAATATCATAGTCCTGCAAAAAAGAATGAATATAGTTACTATTTTATCCAATTTAACTATATTTTGAGAAATTCAGAAATTTACCTCCACGGTTTACATTCATATTTGTCAAGGAAACTGTATATTGCACAACCATGATCATTTAAAAGAATTTTTGCACTTAAAATAGCTTCAGTCTGTTTGTTGGATATGCTGTCATCCTAACATGAACAAAACTTTGTTATAAATATTTTATAGTATTTAATATGGATGTAACGAATATAATATTTGATACCTGAATTATCTCCAAATATATAGAATATAATTTTTTAAAAACATTTCTTACATTAAATATGCAATCCTGAAAATATACAAAGGTTTATGGAATGTGTATACTACATGATTTTCGTTGATTTGCTTGAAAGAAAAAGAACTTACAAATAATTTAGAAAATTTCTGCTCATTTTTAGGCGTTGATTTTTCTATCGTTACACACTCAAAATCAATGTAACCTAATTTATGTAAATGTTCATATAAAAATGAGTCCTGAAAAGCGAAAGATATCATAAAATATTAAACATTGATGAATTATCGTTTATCAAGCAAATATAATAAAAACTTGAATACTTTTATGACAACATCTTCATCTTCATCAGTGATATCCATAATATTTATATTTACATATGTATATGTATTTGAAAGAAAAATACAAATTACATTACGTTAATTCGAGAAATCATGTTTTCTTTATATCAGTAATATACATTTGTTACAACGTTTTGTTGATATATTTTAGGTTAGGCGAGCACATCTCATGTATAACTTTATTTTCTCGTTGGTTTGTAATATATAACTCGTAGGATTTCATTCTTTTTGCCTAATACAGCTTTTATTTGAAATCTCGTTTAATTTATCCGGTCTATAAGGTAAATAAAGTATAGAACAGTTTTTATTATTGTATTATTGTATGATACACATCTCACACTTTACTTCCAACTAGGTTAGTTTGCACGTTACATACACCTGCAAACGTGTTTATTGCAAACAGAAATTTCATGATTATTTTACACACGCTAGACATTGTACGTAAACAATGAAGAATTTGATAGTGAGACAACGCGCTAGCCGTGTTTTGAACGTTCTGGAAAATCAAACTACAAACTTGAGTGACTTAAACACATTGTATGCCATTGATTCAAGCAATGATGATTTCTATATACTTTCAAATAATAAATTGTGTAAAGTCCCATCGAATCGTGTAGAGAATACAAGTTTCTTTGACATTGATGAAAGTTTAGAATTCATCAGCTTGGAATATTGTAGCATGACACAGGAGTTGTATGGTGCCTGTAAATCAGGTAGTATTCTGAGATTGAGCGTAGAACCTGAGTTCAAATACGAGTTGATGACTGACTTGAACACAGACTTGCAATGCATGAAACTAAGCCCTGATCACGAAATGATTGTATTGATCACAGTCCATGGCATTGTGATTACAATGGTATCTACGTTTCAAATAATCTCAGAAGTGGATTTGCACACACAACATTTTGGTCAAAAGCAATTTGTAACTGTTGGCTGGGGCAAGAAGGAGACTCAGTTTCATGGCTCTGAAGGAAAGAAAGCAGCAATAGCTAAACCAACAGAAATCAATGAAAATAACATAGACGATGGTTCTTACAGAATAACTTGGCGCGAGGATGGTTCATTGTTTGCTGTTGGTTTCTTACATTGTAGGAACAAAGTTAGACAGTTTAAGATATTCAACAGAGAAGGTATTTTACTATACACAAACGAGGCTGCTAATAGTTTAGAAGAGTCATTGTCGTGGAAACCATCTGGGAGTTTAATTGCAACGACACAAATTTCGCAAAACAAACACCTCGTTGCGTTCTTTGAGAAGAATGGTTTAAAGCATAAGGAATTCTCACTTCCGTTTAAACCAAAAGAAACCAGAGTACGCGTGAAAATTTTCAGTTCTTGTTATTTGCGGTAAATGTAAACTTAATTAATTAATTAATATTTCAAAATGTTTCATAGGTGAAAGATTTATTTTGGTCTCCAGATTCAGAAATTTTGACCATTTGGTGTCAGATTCAGGCAGATTGTTCTTCAGTTCTACAACTATGGACAGAAAATAATTATCATTGGTATTTGAAACAATCTATTAAATTTCCCACGGATAATTCGCTTGTACATGCAACGTGGAGTACAACGTCTTGTTCCAAGAAGTTGATCATTCTGACATGTAAAGAACTTATCACTTGCGACTATAATTGGTCCGTTGATCACAGTAGAGGCATAACTGTGCGTGATAAGTCTGTTGTTGGAGTTATTGATGGAAATAAATCGCTAATGACCGGACTTAGAGCAGGAGTTGTACCACCACCAATGGCACATCAAATTTTAGAAACTTCTGAATCCATAAACGTTATTGCTTTTGCACCAGATATAAAAGATAAAGCTACTTGGATGGATAGTAACACATTCTTTTGTGTTACTGCCAGTAAAAAATTAATATTTTACAGACATTTAGTGGTAAATATAAATAAATTATAAATTATACAGAATGTCATTAACATTGAAGAATGATTAATAACACGTTTGAAATGTTAGGATTCATGCCTCTTAGAGTATGAACATATCGGAACATATGATATTAAGTGGGATATTACACTGGAATGTGAAAGTTCCTTCTACGATATGCATCACTTTTTATGGCTTAACGAGAATAATGTTTTGTGTTCATTATCAATGAACGAACAGAGTTTCTTATGCGTTTTGACGTTAAATGCGATAGACCAAACTCAGGGACAAGTGCTACTGAGGTATGTATGACTTGTATAAAAGATGTTTATCTAATTTTAATGTATAGTAAACTAGCTTTAGTTTCAAGAATTAATAATTAATTTAATATTTATAGCCAAATGCACATTATGGATGGTTTAATTCAACATATAGTTCCTTCTCCTGATTCAGACGAAGCCTATATAATTGTGGACAATTCTATTGTAAAATATACAAGAGAAACAGAACTAGTTCCGATCAGTATAGAGTTGCAAAAATATACCTATAAAGTGGAAGTTGTGAAAGTTAGTGGGAAACACGTGATACTGTCATTATATCATAGAAATTGTTTCGCAGTTAATGGAAAGCAAATTGCCAATAACATCACAAGCTTCTTCGTTCATTCAGAATTTTTGCTTCTCACAACTGCACAAAATACTTTAGTATGCGTTCATTTGAACGAGAGTGATTTTGAAGAATTAATGAAGCAAGATTTGACTGTGAAGCCATGGGAGAATGAACTTAATGATAAATCATTCTTAGGTATACCAATCATCAATTTATAATTGGTCGAGTCACTTTTAATATGTACAATTAAAATATGAGAATTTTCAGATACGAATATTAGAAGATTGGAGAGGGGATCTCAATTGATTGCAGCTATTCCAAAAGATTCTAAGACCGTTTTGCAAATGCCTCGTGGAAATCTGGAATGCATTCAACCAAGGACATTGTCTTTACATATCATCGGATATCACTTAGACAATTGCGATTATTTATATGCCTTCGATCTAATGCGAAGACAACGGATAAACTTGAATTTGATTTACGATCATAATCCAGAGAAATTCATCGAGAATGCAAGCAAATTCGTAAACCAGATTTCCAAAGTAAGTTGGTTGAGCTTATTTCTGTCCGAGTTAACAGATGAGGATGTTACCACGACAATATATGCAAATTATTACCGAAGACATCGATTAGAATCAAACAATCTCCAGCTGAACAAAATCGAGTCGATTTGCGGTTTATTGCGGAATATAATGGAAGAAAGAAATAGCGCCAATCATTTAATCCAGCCAATATTAATCAGCTTAGTGAAAGACAAAAGAAAGCAAGGGATGGAAGCTGCGCTTACAAAAATTAAGGAAATTCAAAAGCTAGAGGATAAATGTACGGAAAACAAAGAGCGTATCTCTGACGAAGCGTTAAAATATTTATTATACATAGTGGATGTGAATGTCTTATTTGATATAGCTTTAGGAATGTACGACTTTGATCTGACTATGTTCATTGCCTCTAAATCACAAAAAGATCCCAAGGAGTATATTCCATTTCTAAATGACTTCAGAAATCTTGATGAGAATTATATGAAATATTCTATAGATTTATATTTGAAACGTTACGAATCCGCTCTTGAACACATTGCAAAAGAACCGAATAGATTTAACGAGGCTGTAAGTTTGATAAGTAATCATAATCTGTATACGAAAGCTTTAAAATTATTTGAAAAGGAGAGCAAAGAGTACAAGGAGGTGGCGAGAATTTATGGTGAATTTTTGTTGAAAAAGCAATGCTATTACGAGGCCGGAATTATGTTCCGCAGAAGTGGCGATTTAAAAGAAGCTTTAAATGCTTATAGATTAGCTACTAGCTGGCGAGACGTTATTATCCTATCTACTCAGATGAAGCTAAGGTTAATATTACTATAATATAATATGATGTAATATAAACAAAAATTTGTCATAGACTTATAAATTTATAAAATACTGCACTATATTTTAGTGAAGCAGAAAAAAATGTGATTTACCACGATCTTGTAAAACGTCTGGAAACTGATAAAAAGTACGATGAAGCTGCGTATATTTTAATGAACTATTTAAGAGATACAACGGAAGCTATAATCTCTTTATGCAATGGCAAACAATGGAAAGATGCTCTAAGAATCGCACATGATACCAACAATTTAGAATTTATAGGTAGGATTTATTCTTTCAAAAATAGTGTATATGTATATTAAACAACGTTTCTAATCTATTGACAACATTATTAATTAAATTTGTTATATTTTAGAATCTCATATAAAACCAGGCGTATATGAATACGCGGATCACGCGCTATCTCAAATACGAAAAAATAAACAGGATTTTGAACAACATAAATCGCGTCTTGCAACAGTCAGGCATAATATTTCTCAAAGGAACACAAAATCGTACAGTGAAATCCTTTGTGACAACGAGTCGATTTACGATAAAGGCATTTCAGATATTCTTAGCGATACGAGTAGTGTTGTTGGTTCAACTTCGAGTCAAATGTCAAAATCGTCTACTATGTCTGGGTAAAATATATTTAAAAATCACTTCAATAAAATTTGTTTCATAAATTTATGTTGAAAATTACACATATTTATGTATATGTTGCTTTTAGAAAAAGTTATAGATCAAGCAAAAATCGACGAAAACAGGAAAGAAAGCTTTTAAGCTTAAAAGAGGGCAGTGTGTTCGAAGATCTAGCATTGATACAAGCTTTGTATCAAATTATCAGCAATACATACAAAGAACAGAGTGTGTACAGTTTGTACATTTATGTATAACAATCAATTTACCATTAATTATAGTATAAAGTTTATATGATAATATTTCAGATGATATGCATATATTGATACAAATGCTTGTACATTTCGATGACGATGAATATGCCAAAAGTATACAAAATTGTATGGAAGAGCTGCTTTTAACAATAGAAAAGAGCAAATCTGAAATCTGGGATAAATCTGCACCTTCAAGTTTAACAGAAATGGTACACATTACATATAATTAATAGCCATATAATTAATAGTAATTTTCGTAATCGTAAAAATTTTAGGAAAATGTAGAAGTTACGACGTCGATGGGTTCACAGGGGTTTTCTGTCTGCTACAAATTAGTTGGTAAGTCGTTTTAAAATATTGGAGGAGACTTTTATCTTAATTGTTATTCAAATTTCCAGAACCTTATATTGTACGTCCACCGGTAGTTAATTCTTCACCTTGGAAAATGAACATATTTTAATAATTAATTGCAATAAATACTTTCGTAAAATATAATTTTGGATTATATCTTACAATTATATTCTTCCTGCTTTCAAAAAAATACTATTTATTTCTCTTTATTTTTCATTTATTTAATAAATTTCTAAGTTATCCATCGATAATTTTTCTATAAGTATATATATATGAAATAAAATATGTTACAATAATTATTATAATTTATAACAAAGTTTTGCGAGGAAAACTCGCAGCCTTATGATAATTCCTCGACTTATAAAGTAAACGTTTCGATACAAATTTAAATATACATACTGTAATGTAATATTTAAATTTATACAAATGATATGATAACTTAAAAAAAACATTGTTACAGTTTATTTTCTATTGAAATTTTTTTTTATACATAAATTTTATACAATATTTACGTTCGAAATGCTGTCTGGCGAAACGCCAGATATGAACAAATACGTTCATCGATATAATATTTGTGAAAATATCGATATCAAAGTATAGATTATTAATATCGTCTGTAACACTCGGATATTTCCATATATTAACATTTAAAACTATTTATAGAACTAATATCAAAATAAAAATGTTTTTATAATCACGAATAAAAGTTAAAATTTCTTCAATATTCCAGTATAAAAGATATGATCTATAATTTAAATACCTAAAAATCTTGTTTTAAATCGGATAAAAATTCGGCAAAATGTTTAGTGAATATCTCAAAAAACATTTAAAAATTATTTTGCCTTTACTTTATAATTTTGATTAATCTATAATCTATAAAATATGTCAATGATATTTTGTATTAAATAATTTAAATATACTTGTATTACATATAATCTAAAATAACTTTTGCATTGTTATGTCTTTAATTAAAATTTAATTAAATTTTATAGCATTATTTTTCAAATAACTTGAATTCCAAATCAATTCCTCCCTATTTCGCACTTTATCTCATTTTGCCGAAAGTTTACTGAATTTAAACAGAGATCCTTTGGCAAACGTTGTTCGACAGTTTTCTTATAGTAATCCAAATATATATATACATAATTGACTATACTCTCATGCTACTTTCTTTTTCTTTCCTTTACTAAAACACTTTCCCTATAATTACTCTAAATTCTGTAATTACATGCAAAGATAAAAAAAAATCTTTAATAAGTAATTTCCATGCTGAATATCTGGTTTCGATAGATTAAATGTTATTCAATAAAACGCAAACCACTCTGCTCGGTACTAAAAAATTAAATTATATCGAATGGAAATACTTATTAAAGTTAATTTTTCTTTCGTGCGACAACTCCATAATATTCAGTATTAAAACGTCCCATTTTTAATAGAACCTATATATTTGAAGCTATTTTTAATTAAAACGAGACTATCGTCCGCGAACTTTCAATTTAATCGATGAACAGAAATTCCGTCTGAAGTATTTTTTTTCCGTGTGATTTTTTTATAGATAAGGAATCACTTGTTACCTTACTGAATTTTGTTCGTAGCAATACTTTTATACGTATTAAAGGTACATTTTATCTTTAGTTATTTTCAAATTATTTGATAGATTTCGGAATGGAAGTCATTATTTATTACTTTAACCAACAGTATAAATGCTTAATTATACCACTTTTTTTTTAAAATGGAAACATCGTAATGCAAAAAAAAAAGACAACAAATGATGATAGTCTCGTGCTACTTTATTCGTCTGGTCTTCCTCTAAAAATGTATCATCATCCTATATGTACTGCAATTCTTGTCCAACGAAATATTGAACAATCGGACATCTCAGTACTTGCCTTTTAGAATGAATATTATACTGCCTCCTTATCTGCAGTAGCTATAGTATTCAACAATGCCGATTTAAGTTCGGGACGAGTACTAATCTTCATATACTTCACATGAGCGTACTTCTTCCTTACAGCTTGATACTTAATCTTATCCACATTAATTATAATACTTGCTGTTTCCCTTACCACAGGGAATACGTCGTCCTTGGAATAGGTACTGTAATGTGCCAAGGTATTTGTCCAGACAACCTTTTGCTCGTCCTCGTCATCATTACTATAAATTCTGCAAACAATTGTACGTGTAAGTTATCAAATTTACTCGGTTTGATCGGTTATTCTATATCAATAAAAAGAAAGTGACTTCAATCCTTCAAGATAACATTTCAACAAGCAACTTACAAGAAAGCTAAATATATTGCTGCAGCTGCAATAAGACTCGGGGGATAGTGACACATTTCATAATGGACTAAGCTTTGTTCAAGGAAATATTTAGCCATTGTATGATGTATTGGAAGAGCCTAAAAATCATTTATCAAGTTGAAAATATAACAATGTGAAAATTAATCGGCGGTGTAAATTTACGAGTCATACCTTTCCAGCTTTGCTATATCTCCTTAGGAAATGTAAAGGTAACGGTCTACCAAAAGAGTAATCTAAAGTTTTCACAATAAGCATTTCCATTTGTAATATCTCTACCTTCGAGTAAGCATTATCTGTGATATATACAAAATCATTTATATCTGGAGAATACATCTCTTCGTACTTGCTAGCAATAAACATAGCAGTCACACCAACTAATTGCAATCTTTTCCTGTCTATTGAGCGGAAAGCCTGTTGAAAAAAGTGAAAAATTTACTTTTGAGAAACACCATTGATAATACAAATACAAATAGGTAATCCTTATATATAGCAACAAACCTGTAGAAATCTATCAATGGTGGCAACGGTCAGGTATAATGTCTCCTGCATTAAATGAAATTGTTGGTGTACATCCACTAACCAATCTATAAGTACGCTCCTCATTTTTGGTGTAACTTCTTGTCCACTCAGATATCCTTTCGAGATGGGGTACATACCTTCCAAAGTTCTCAAGTATTCATAAATGTTGTTACTGTAAATAGAAACTAGACTGGGATTTTCCTTATCCTCTTCATCAATATCCTCAATCTCTAGTAAATTCGAGGAGAACGATTGGATCTCCTTTTTGGAAGGCAATGACACCTCATTATTCTCTTGAGAAGTTGTAACCTTTACCACAGGTTTAACTATTTGCACAGGTGGTTTCTCATTCAATTTCTCTGGTGGTTTGATTGCTTGTTTCTGAACTGTGATCTTCTTCTTATCCTTTGTCAGCAAGCTGGTTCTATCAACAGGCTCTATACCTCTTAATGTATTCACTTTATTTCCTATTTCACCCAAAGCTGCTCTCCTTGTTTTTCCAGCTACCGTGGTCACTGAAGACTTAACATTCTTCACATTCTCTTGATTTACAATATTCTGAAAATTTATTTTAGCCTATATTTATTTTTCTAATTTCACTTACCAAGGAAGATATTAACAACATTTTTATTCAACAAGTTCTATCAACTATTTTGTCATAACGTTACAATATATAGTAAGTATGAAGTAAGTACAAACAATAAAAAAAATACAAAAGATGTGTAACAGGTATGAATCAAGTACTGAATTAATTAATCAATTAACCAATCCTTTCTAGTAAAATAATAACTGAATATGCGTGATCTTTTAAATAATTAGCATTTAATATATTACAGTATAGAAATACAACATTATACTATTAGACAGAATTAAAAAGATATAACGAAATTCGTCTGAAATACAGAAAATCAAAACAGCAATGGTGTGCTTTGAGCAGTAAAATGAAATTGCGCCGAAAATATTTGTGAACGCATTTCCGTTGAAAGTAACGTAACTTGCGAAGTAATTCGATACTTTCACAATAATACTTCTAATACTTGATAAATCAAAAACTCGGAGATCTCTGCGAAATGATCAGGAAAATAGGCGACAGAAAAATGAGGCTTTAAAGACCAAAATGTACGTTAACACGAAAAATCGGAAATTAAAATTCTTTGTTGCCAAGCAATCGAGACACGTTATATCGAAATTCGTGCTGTAAATGGTAAAACGCACGTGGCATTTTGAGTAAATCGCGATGATTGTTACTTCGATGGGCTTTAAAATGAACGAAGGGCATTTAAAGATATCAGGAACGGACTCTGCTCGATTCGCCTACCCTCTGTTTAATGACCAATTGACGAATAATACTATTAATAAAAATGTATTATTTTCAGCTTACCGTGAGCGCCGTCCTATTTCTTAAAGCCATTGCTAATCGAGTCAGAAAATAATTACATGCAATACCAAATGCTCGTCTTCCGACTAGGCTGCTTCCACTGTTTCCCAAACAACGTTTGCCTCGCAGTAACGACTCTGTCGGTTTGAATTTGTTTAGTCGATCGAACGGAAGTTGACCTTCTGCGGATATTAGTACACAGAGGAAGAAATGCCGCGAAAATCACGACCGCCTATTGGCCGGTCAAATGGCCACGTATTTCAAACGCGTTTGTAACTACGTTTCAATTTTTTCTTAGATTGATAGATTTCAGGCGGCTTTCTCTGGCTCGTTAGATTTGCCAAAATCGGCAATTAAGAAATTAAATTTTGTTAGCCACTGTCGTAGAAGTATTTTTTTTTGTTTTTAAGAAACGATTTTTCCTCCTTTCTTCTTTTCTTCCAGTCCCGTTAAGTTAATTTCATTTCCCGAATTAGTTATTTTCTCTTTCCAATTTGTTAAAAGAGTTACATATCGAAAAGTGTTGTCAATTATTTAGCATTAAATCTGAAATAAATATCATTTACCAGAACGGAAATACACACGTATGCTTACCATTATCGTTTTTCTAACATAAAAACGATATGCATCACGTTACATTTTTTATACTTGTTTTTATTTCTCACATTAAAAAAAAAGAATAGAATGAAAAATAAGAGAAAAAAATAAAAAATAATATGTGTATTATATTGAAACAGGTAGTTGGTTCAACTGACGTTTCGACGTGATTTTCTACCTGAATATATACATATACACATACTTACATTTGTGTACATTGACTTCATGCCTTGTTTATCTGTTCTTTGTATATAAATATTCATTGTAGTATAATTAATTAAAATTATTGCCGTAAATACTATGAACAATACACGAAGTGAGAATTTCGTGAATGTGTAAATTCATAAACGATTGTTAATTGATTGTGAGTTCAAAATGACAATAAACATCGATATTAAATTAAAACGGGCTAGCAAAATATATCACGAAGGGGTATGTAATTTAACATAAGGGCCAATGTAATTTAATATAAGAATATTGACGAGACAACAAATATCGAGGTTATGTTTCAGGAAATAGTTGCTGGCTTTATATTACTGCAAACAAATTCAGATGTTAAACACGATGGGATATTTCTAAGTATGGAAGGCTCGGTCAATCTGCAACTTAGTTCGAAAAATTTTGGTATTTTCGAAGCATTTTACAATTCCGTAAAGGTCGGTCTAACCTAAAAAATTTACAGTTCTGTTAAACTAGAAGCCATGTTAATCAATTGATTTCATCGTTGCGTTTTTAGCCGATACAATTGGTCCAATATACTTTGGACGTCGCTCCAAGTGGTAAAATACCAAGTGGTAGGACAGAAATACCATTTGAATTACCATTGAAACCCAGAGGGACTAAATCTCTATACGAAACTTATCATGGAGTCTTTGTAAATATCCAGTATTTCATACGCTGCGATATAAAAAGAAGTTTCTTGGCAAAAGATGTTAGCAAGTCATTAGAGTTCATAGTGGAAGACAAGGTGCCTACCAAGGTACAGAAAGAGCCCAATAAATCAGTGTGTTTTAATATTATGCCAGAATCTTTGCAAAACACAAGAGACAGAACAAATGTACCTAGGTTCCGTATTTCTGGAAAATTAGATTCGTTGTATTGCAAAATATCTGAACCACTGACTGGAGAGGTAATGATACTATGATACATATACTTTCTCTAATGAACCAGTATGAAAAAAACAATATTTTTAAATGGAAGGTGGTAATTGAACATTGCGAAGCTGTGATAAAGTCAATTGAACTACAATTGGTGAGAGTAGAGACATGTGGTTGTGCTGAAGGATATTCCAGAGATGGTAAGGTGATAAAATATTAACGTTTAATTTGTCGTTTTGTAATACTATGCCTGTTTCAGCTACTGAAATACAAAATATACAAATTGGAGAAGGAAATGTTTGTACAAATTTGCCTATACCGATATATATGATATTCCCACGATTATTTACATGTCCCACATTAAGTACGAGTAACTTTAAAGTCGGTAAGATCATTGTACGATTTCCATTTTAGACTTGTTCGTAACTTTGGTGATGAAAAAAAAATAATCATATTTCGTTACAGAATTCGAAGTAAATTTAATCATAATATTTGAAGATGATTATTTAGTTACGGAAAATTTCCCCATAATATTATCAAGATATTAAATTTTGTATAGAAATACAGTATTTTATATAAATTATATATATTATTTACAAATTGTATATATTTCTTATAATAAATGCAAATTTATGTTAAATTTCATTGAAAAGAATGTAAAAAAGAAAATAATTTTTATCCTAATGTACATATTAATGGATGGATGACTTATTGTATTAAAAAGTATGTTTTACTCCAGTCCAACTTTTTGAGCAAATAATTTATAATATTTTTCAACTTGTTTGTTGTGAGTCAGTCCCACTGAAGCCAATAGTACCACATAACCAAGCACGAATGTTAATAATTTATGTTGTTTGAACCATGCTAACAATCCTTTATTATCAGTACATCTAAAACATTGGAAGTCGATTATGCTTAGAAAAGTATAAAAATAATAAATATTACACTTATACCTTGCTGCTTGAACTTGTTGACTGTAAATAAGGAGGTATCGTACTCTTACCAATTCACTGTTTGTTACCAAATAATACTTATTTGGAACTCTTCCACCTATAGAATCTGTGACTAGATTTCTAGCATTATCTTCTATAAAACATAATTGTATTAAAAGTGATAAATGATACTTTTTTTCAAATATATTTACCTGAATCTCCAGTCTTTACATCTGCATGATTGATGAGTTCACATAGAGCTATACAGCTCATTTCACTTCCCAATACACTACCTCCCCATCCATAGCCAACTGGACTATATGGTAAACTTACACCTAACTCACTTGAAAGATATATTCCTTTACCAAACAACGAGTTCTAAAATTGTAGTTAATCACATTGAAACATGCGTAGTTAAAGATCACATCATGCTTTGGCTAAGTTATTTTACCTTACACATACTCTGTTGTAGACCATAATGTATAATGGAATGAAAATTCTCTAATCGACTTCCGTGATAAGCATAAAATGTTGTGTGACCTTGAGCAATTGTTTTCCACCTGTCTTCTGAAGTAGATTGTTTTGTGTTTGTGACTTGGAATATTAAATTTGGCGCGACTATCGACATTTCTGAAGGTACTTTTCTCAATATTGAGTCATACTGTGTTGTAAACATTTTTCGAATTTTCACAAAGTTTAATCGTAAAATCAGAATGAAAATGAAACTTTCAAGAAAATTCACATTATTATACATATAACGAAACTTACACTTTCTTTTTTGATGCTTTTAATATAAGGATCTCTCAAACGCACTAAAACCCAATGCAACAAGTCTATAGCTGTTCCATAGTTTTCATATGCGTCTGGCTCTGATAATGCTTTCAATATCACAGCCAGTGGAGGAATTACTTCTATAGCTCTCCTCTATAATTGAAATTAATATATTCAGTGATTATTATTCATTACAATTATTAATGTGAAGTTAGTAAAAGCAATAAGACTGATATTTTAGAAACTTTACCAAAGCTTCAATATCCTTGCATTCATTTTTTATATACATTGATGGAAATGGCTTCAAACAAGTGTCATAGCGATATGTATTACAAGCTGCTACAAATAGGGACCATTTTAAATCAGCTGCTCTCAAATCCTTCTCCAATACATGTTTCAGACATTGAACTTTTTTTTCAATGTCTTCCTGACTCATAGAATCTAATCGAGTTGTATACAATGTATCTAAATCTGAGTCTCTGGAAATCCTTTGATCTACACTTTTGCTTTGATTATTTTCCTCCTTTTCACTGTGAATGATTTGCTTTTTACTTGTTCTATCCATCATTGTGATAAGTCAGACCTAAATTGAAATTTTTAATAAATTGTTATTTAGCTCTAACTTCAATTAAGAATGTACCTACCGAAATTACAAGTTCATATAATTACAAAATCTCAAGTGACACAGTATCAACAAACTTTGACATAATAATAAGTATCAAATCATATCACATGACAGTCATAATGATCATAATTTCATCCAATAATAGACAAAATATATTAAGATATATTAAACTGTCTGATAAATATGTTATACAAGCAATTAATGATTTAGCTCATATAAGAAATCAAATAAATAAATAATAATTACATTTACTATAACATTCCATATGAATAACATCCTATATTTTAAGCATATTGCAACCGGTATTTTTTAATTTATTTCTGCAATTTCTAATCATTCAGTAATTTGTCCCTATCGCGTACAAAAAAAAAAAGAAAAAAAAAAGAACAAAGAAGTAGAAAAAGTATAAAAAGGATTTCGAAAGCAATCAACGTAAAGTCTAAATATCATTCAAGTATTACAAACTACATGTACTCATCCATAAGTACTTTCTTTAATGCAATGTTATTTTTGACAGTGATGCAACTTTCAGAAATTTAATATTCCTGCAGGAACATTGCCACCCTAGCAGCTTTTCTAATGTCCGTGTATTTCCGTTTAAAGCTGTTCAAGCAGACATTCAATAAAATGCAGTAAAAATTTTTTAATGTAATCGATACTATATTTTTATCTTTATGCCAATTGTACGAACAAAACGAAATATTTAAGAAAAACAAGTATCGATGTATAGGATTAATGTTACTTGTGTATTTTAATCCTTGAAAACTATCATCGCTAAAATTTTGTTCCACGCAAATTTTTTTTGATATTGTAGTTTTATATCCTAGTAATAACACTGCGACATTGTTTGTTAATAACTCTTCTGCTTCTACTCTAATTAATTACATAAACTAGATAATCTGATTAAATACAACAAAATCTTTAATGATGTTAGATTTATTAATTTCCGGAAAAAGAAAAAATGTAAATGGAGCGAAGTTCTACGCTATAGTTTGACAATATTAACGTGATTTTCTTTGATGATCATTTTTAAGGGTTAATACATTTAGGGCATTTCTTCCTAATTCATGTTACGCTTTAAACTGGTATTGAATAGATACACTATGATCAGTCATCAGATGGCTTGTAGTATTTCTTTAGATTGAAAAATAAATGGCAAGTAATGGCTTAAACGATTTACCTTTATAGTGAATTTAAGATATGTTTAAATGATATAAAATTTCCCCAGTGATTTGCAACAATTGATAACAGGCATCTTCAAAATGAGACTGTTACGCCAATAATGAATAAAAAGAAACGAATTATTCAAAAATATATATGTATATATATATGATCTTCCGTGTTACAAGGAATTTGTACAGAAATCATTTGAACATTGTCCTGTAATTTTTTTATCACAGATCACATATGTTTCGTTGCGTTCGTTTGTTATGCCGCTCTCTCGCGCGCTCTCTCTCTCTCTCTCTCTCTCTCTTCCCTCTTCTCTCTTTTAAATTTTAGTTTAATATTATTTTATATATTCTTATTCAATTTTTCATCAAGTTCGTACATAAAAAAACCAAGTTTCGATCATGAGTTATTTAGGAAAGAATATTTATTTCCTATACGAATCACATACATATACATATATATGTACATAGAGTAAAAACAATTTGTTACACGCAACTCATTAACAATAGTACGTTAGCACGTAATGAATACTTAGTTCTGTTAGAATTACAAATAGATCATATGCTGTCCCATCAGTTTGCAAAACTAACGACTTATGAAAGGAGATTTTATTAAATAGTTTTTTTTATCATCGCTAAAATCCCGTGAAGTTTAACGTTAATTCAAACGCCATTGGCGATTCTAGTCATTAATCTGCAAAATGCACGCGCGTAATTCTCTATACGACGTTATCGTATAGGGAATACTTCGTCAGCCGGATTGGTAGCCGTGTAACTCAATGTCATGCTTCAAGGTAAACTGTCGATGACGTCAGTGTACGTCACTTAACAAGTGGGAGTGGATGGATAGATGTCGGCAGCCGCGGTGGTTCTCGCGAATAATCGCACACGAAATTCGCAGCGAACGATCGGCCCCGCGTCGTCGCGATAATGCCGTGTGCCTCTTAGCGATGTAGTTTTCTCGCAGCGGACGGAAGGAAAAAGAGAAAAGCACAGGGGGAAGAAGGGGGAAAAGAAACAGAAAAGAAAGAAAAAAAAACAACGACGACGACGGAGACGGAGACGACGACGACGAGGAGAAGGCAAGCGACACATCTCGCCACACGTGTTTCCGCGGTAAATGGAAAAACACCGAAATCGGTTTGCGCATGCCCGGCCACCGATGACGTCACGAAAATTGTGCTTTTGATCAAACTCGTTCACTCGCCGTTCCTTTTTTTTTCACACCGTGGACGTAATAATGTGGAAAGTGAAGTAATTGCACGGGAAAGCTTTGTAGGAGCCGCGGAGAAGCCGGTGAGAATCGTAAGTAGATTTTGCTACTCCTTTATCGTTAACAGAAGTCATCCGTTGACTTACAGTCTGTTAACATGGCCTTCACATGCACGCACACATACATACACACGCACATGTGCACGTACGCGTTGCACATGTACGTGCGTACGTATGTACACATGCACATACTACATACACACACACACACGGCAGGCGTTCATGATTTTTGGGAAAAAAAAAGCTCTCGCTTTCGTTCGTTCGAAACTTCGATCGTTCTGTGCACTTATCGAGCTTTAAGATAGATTTTTTACGAAACCGAATAAATCGGACTAGTGTGTGAAACGATTCCTTCGTTTCACGAGATATGTATATTGATCTTGTTCCCCCTCGAGGAAGTATCGAAAATGACAGGTCTTATTTTCATTTGGACATCGTTATTCTCTCCGCCGATATCTTTCTGTCTCTGTATGCTCTTTACTAATTAATAATTTGACGAGCAATTCTTTGTCACGGTCGTTTCTTTTCTTTCCTTTTTTTCCTTTTTTTTCATTAATTTCTTCTCATGACATACAGAATTTACGGAATTTTATCTCGTGTCTGTGTGTGTCAAGAGGAATAATATTTTGAGAAAGAATCGATTTTTTTTAACTGGGGTTTGAAAATGATTGACCTTTCAAGGTGTCTCACACAGCACCAGGTTAAATTGATATCAAGTTTGATACCTGTTCCTTTTGTGTATGTATGTGTGTATGTGTGTGTGTGCGCGCGCGCGCGTGTGTGTATGAATATGAAAAACAATCTTCCATGATCAATAAATATTCAAAGATTCTTTTTGTAACAAATACACAGTGTATTAACATAATCATATACCAGTTGTTGGCAGTAACTAAACCAGTTGTTTAATATTTATCACAACTTTAATGAATGATACAAATAATATACAAGGTAATATACAAATAAAAAGAATATTTTCTATCATCAGGTTGCACAGAAAATATATATTGGGTCTAAATATATATATATATATATGCGTATAAAGCATCAGAATGATTTTTGTAACTTTCATTAATAAGTCAAGTTCAAATTAGTTTGCCCAAATGTTAAATAGTATTGACGTATTGATCACATAATATTAAATATCTTGGTTAAAGTTTCTGTAAATTGATACATTAAGTTGTAACAAGTTATTTCCAATGTTCAAATAGCATCGGTTAGATATTTTTGTATTTATGTAAAGAACTCACTGATGAGAATCTCATGCAGATTGTTTATATTTACATTTTTATTATTGTAATTGATTTTGCATAAACAATTCATGTGTAGTTAACAGTTCATACAGAGATTTGTAATTCTTTAAAAAGATTCTTTGATAAATCTTAATACGTTGAGATATTATTGCTACTGTGTAACAGTTTATAGACTTATTCTACGCACATGCAGGTTATGAACATTTTCATAAATTAACATTAATGAAGACAACAGTTTTATGCACGAAGTTTGCTTTGAATATTTTTAATATATTAACATAATTTACCAGTTTTTTTTCTAAATAAAATCTAATCTCATCATACGTTCAAAGTTTTTTTTTTTTCGTATATTGGAATAATGCGATGCACGGCAAGGGCTTATGAAAGTTACCACGGCGATGTACGTCGAATGAATTTCATGATTTATTTCTTTGTAAATGCAGATTTTTTCAGAACATTCGTATTTATTGAGAATTTTGTAAATAATCGTGAGATGCTGCCATCTACAGACGTACATCTCAATTGGTAATCGGTGTATCGGTAAAGTAGAAATCAAAATTACAAACGACGAGCAAAATAAATACGTATTTCTTTCTGTGCCTTTAAACTTTAAGCGTTTATTTCAAACGTTTTTTCATAATAGCTCGAGAAATAGAAGACTTGAAATATTCTTGTGGGAACATAAGAAAATGAAAAAAATGCTTGTATATTCCCTAGGAGGCTGACAGTGGTACCTCATTTAACATAAAAAAGACCCTAGTTAACTTTATAATTTACGTCATTCTTCCCCATCGCGAGTGATCTGTTTTCAAATCCGTTTTCTCAGAAGTTTTTATTTCTTTATTTATGGGCGAGTCCTTGTATCATACTTTGGTCAAATAATTTTACTTTAAGCTTTGTGTCATCATCGCAGAAAGTGAGAAAAAATACATTTAGGATAATGACGTTTCTAATATGCAATAATTCTCTGCTGTTACATTATATACAAAAGTACTTTTATGCTTTTTTTATAGTAATTGCAAGAACAAAAAGTTTGATTGGTTTGGTAATTCTAGACTTTGATGTACGTATCTGAAGGAAATAATTTAAAATTCAGTTTCTTTCCAATGTTTGCAAAATAATCAATTAATAATATAAAGTAACTCGAGAAAGTGTTTTTGAACTTTGCAGTAAGAAGATTTTGCAATTTCACTGGCACTGTAACGAGACACGACTACATGCGTAATTGTATTACCACAAAATTTGAAAATCAAATCTGAAAGTTGCAAGGTATTCACTGCAAATTCTCTTTTATTGCAAGATTTTAATAGAGATATTGAATCGTTATATAACATATAACGAATAGCTGTCACAAGTATATAATAAATGTTAGAGATAATTCCACCGAATATTGAGGCTTATTAATACATGATTAATACGTGTAGACGTAATGAACAATGTGGTTACGATCTGTATATTATTACAACACTGAAATGAAAAATGAAATTGCAGATTATTCTGTTGTACTGTAACATGCCGTACGGTTGAATTTATGAAATGAGATGTGCAGACAGACGTGTTGGAACAGTTTGGCGAGGTATTGTACGTAGTAGTGTGGATCTTTCACTGGCGCTCGGCGGGAATCAATGCGTTGATCCCTGTTACACACGTTTCGGCGTAACAGTCTGTAATCAGATGTAGACTTATCGCGCGGAATCTCGCGGAACTTGAACCTCAAATGGGTACAAAGCGCGGTACAATGTAGGCCCACTCGAGTCTATGGACACATACACATACACACACATACACACACCTATTCATATGTACGTGAAACTCGTATGACCCGAACGTT